GAACGACGTTGCCTAATGTTGATTTGTACGCGAAAGACTGCTCTGGTCGGATATCTCTCTAATGGGCTCAGAAACAAGGGCATATCGGCATCACCCGCCTATAGACAAGGATCCGACCAAAACTTAGAGGCGAGCTGCTGTTGGAGAGCTTATGAAATTTTCAATTGATTTTTGGGAGGAAGGGTTTTGTAATGTCTGTATGGGTTCTTTGGATGGAGGCCCATGGTATCATTGTGCCGTCTGCAAAGGTGGCGCTTTTGCAATATGCTAGGAATGTTATAAATTAGGTGCTCGCTGACTTGGGGAGTTCCATACTCTGTCCTTGCGAGAATGTTAGCTACGTGTATGAATTCGAATGATTTGCAAGCCTACGTATACACCCCCATGTCGCTCTTCATAACGATAAAATATCAAGCTCTGGGACATCATAGTCGCCCGCCAAACACCCGCATACACAGGCCCCGTGCGCTATAGTCCTGGACACTCTTCTATTGGACTCGACCTTAGTCTGACCTCGAAGATCAAAGTTGAATATGGAGGTTTGAAGTTCAAAGCTGAATATGAAGGTTTGAAAGTCAAACGCTTAGATACGGCAGGCAAAATGACCATCATATATGATCACGCATGTGAAAGTCGTCTGGGCGGGCAAGTCTTGTTCATACCAGCGGATCAGTGACGGTAGGGCAGCGCTAGAGCGTGGTAGCTAGCGGCTGCTGTACTTTGCGCTACGTTGCCTGCCGAGATGCAGTATATTCTTTTCAACAACTGCCGCATCATGGCACAACTGAGACACAGGTCAGGTCAAGCCTCCGCCGCCTGGGCTTGGGTGAAATTATACTGAGCACTTATTATTTTTTTTCTTGCATTATTGGTATGGAAATGATCTGATTCTGGGTTTGCTCGACGTGCACTGGATCATGTCTCCCCTTCAACCACGACCCTTGGACTTTCAGCTAGCCACAAGTTGGAGACCGGGTACGAGTCTGCCATTGCATGCCCTAGCCCTGGTATAAGTCCCTCCCGGTCAAGATACGTGGCCCGCCGTGCTCTGGAGAAAGACCTCGCAAATCTCAAGGCGAGGGTCGCCGCAATTCCGGACGAGCAGAAGCGCATCCTTACTCCAGACCTGGCAATCAACGACGACGCTCGAATTAGGGATGTCGTTGACCAGACCAAGTACTGGACGGGTCCGGGAGTCATCGCTCCCGAGCCCGGCAAGTTCAAGGTTGGCATTGTCGGGGCCGGAGTCGCGGGTCTCTTCTCTGCCATGCTGTTCGATTGGCTCAACGACATGGTGCCCGATTTGCACATCGACTACGACATCCTTGAAGCAGCCAAACCAGAGAGGCTTGGTGGCAGACTTTACACTCACTACTTCTCCGAGACCACGGACAGACAGAAGGAAAATGGTTGGGTCAATCATGATTACTACGACGTCGGCGCCATGCGTTACCCAGACAACGACATCATGCAACGGTTAGTGGATTGCAACCGTGTCGTCTTCGGAACAGGCACTAATTGTTCTGCAGAACTTTCAAATTGTTCACGCTCCTTGGCATGAACAAGTTGGAACCAGGACAGAAGGAAAAGGTTGAAGATTTGATCCGATACTATATGAAGGATGGAGAGAACAAGGGAGACCCTGGTGTCTGTCCGGCATATTTCAACAATGTTCGGACCGTGGGCAGGATCTTCGACCCTCCTTTGTCGGCAGAGCATCCACCATGCGACCCGTACAACTTGAACAGCGGCCTCCCAGAGGGGGATAAGATTCCTGAAAAGTAAGACAGCTCTCCGAAGTTAATGTGCTTGGCTAAGATTTTGTTTGTACAGTCTTCTCGGCAAGAACCCCTCGGATCTCGTCGAGAAAGCTTTGAGTCCAATGCTCGTGATTGTCAAGTTCACAATCGACGAGCAGATCAAGGCGAAAGAGGAGAATCGAGAGGTCCATGATCCTGCTTTCTGGGACTCCTTGATGATGAAGATCGATCACATGAGCACGCGCCAATACCTTGCATTGTGAGTGCTGCGGCCCTTACCAAGTGACATTTCAGGCTGACTTCTGTTGATCATGTTCCAAAGGAATGGGAGTGCTTTCTCGAGCGCTTCCACAAGAAGTATTGCGAAGAAGAGGGCTACGAGAAGTGGGAGCCGCCCAGTTACAACTACAATACTATTGAGTGGTTGGAAACTGCCACATAGTGAGTCTCATTCTTCTTGTTGGTGTTCCTCGCTGACCGGAATAGCGGTACCGGATGGTACGACCAGGCACTCAGCGAGGCAGTCTTGGAAGAGCTTGACTTCGACACAAAGAAAGATCCTACAAAATGGTGGTGCATCAGCGGCGGAACACAGTATGTTCCAAGGGCCATGGCCGAGAAGATTGCCGAGAAGAACAAGAAGATCCAGTTCAACAGTCAGGTCATCGCTATGAACGCCAATGTGACAGATCACATGGAGAAGCAGAAGAAGAAGGAGCACGCCCCTGTGACCATTACCATTGAGAAGAGCTACCCGGGCACCCAGCAGCCTTCCGAGACACGGAAGGAAGAGTATCTTGCCGTCTTCAACTCGACGACACTCGCCGCCATGCAGCGCATGGACCTGCAGAACGCGGGTCTGCTGTGGGGAACCAAGCAGGCCATCCGCGCCCTCGGGTATGGAGCTTCGTGCAAGGTCGCCATTAAATTCAGGACGCCTTGGTGGCAACTGAAGCCCTACTGCATCAATATGGGCAGCTTGTCGCGTACGGACCTCCCTCTGCGCGTGTGCGTCTACCCATCCTACAACATCGAGAAGCTGGAAGGCCACGAGCGCTGGTACAATGACGGCAAATACAATGAATCGGTGCTTCTGTGCTCCTACACCTGGGGCCAAGACGCACAGCGCATCGGATCCTTGATCTCACGGGACGACCCCAAGGATTGGCAAGAGGGAGAAGAAAAGGACAAGCAGCTGAAGTCCCTCCTCCTCCGCAACCTCGCGCTGCTTCACGCCACTGACAGCAGTGATGAGAGCTACAAGGCGCTCCTTGATAAATTAGAGTATGAGTATGTGTGTCATCACGCCTGGGACTGGCACAGGGACGAGAACATGTCGGGAGCTTTCGCCTACTTTGGCCCCAGCCAGTTCTCCGAGATGTGGCAGGAGATCATCAAGCCCAACGCGTTTGGCCAGCTCTTCCTGGTGGGCGAGGCCGCGTCGTCGCACCACGCCTGGATCGTCGGCGCGCTCGAGTCCGTCGTGCGGGCGGCGTATCTCCTCTTCGAGGGGCTGCAGTCGGGCGCACCAGATTTTGTCCCATACCGGCAGGCTATGCAGCTGCTGAGCAGCGGCACGTTTGACGGACAAGCCAAGGACAAGGCCGGGAAGGAATCGCCGTTCTGGCCGCTGCCGGCTGAGATGCCGCGCCGGCAGGAGGGCGTCAAGAGGAAGGCCCCGCAAACGGACCTTCCCAAGGAGGCCGTCGCACGGGATAGGCCTTTGACATATCCCGCTGCCGTCGCGGCGCTGAGTCGTGTGGAGTGCTTCTTCGAGATTGGTGTGCCAAAGACTTTGAAGCCGACAGAAGTGGCCTAGACAGTCGAGGTTATTTAGCATACCTGGGACCCCCTGTGTTTATAGCCCTGGTGTTCCTCTCATTTCAAGTGTCACTCGCTATGAGGCAACAATACTATTTGATCTTTAAATACGTCTTGAGTTGCAGTAAAAGCAACGCACGACAAATTCGCAAGCCGACTTCTCCCGCCTGTAGGGGGAAGAAAAAATGCTTCTAATCAACAAACTTTCCGGATTGTTATAGTGGGCCCCTTGGTGCGACTATACTGCCTTCATAGTAGTTATAGTGATGGTTATAATGGCCGTTATTGTGGGGTTCCACCATACGAATCCATTATCTACCTACCTTACAACACTTGTGGAATCCACTAACCTAGTAATACTTACTCCAAAAAGCTTGAACCTGCGAATATATGAGCAATCAATGGCGCAAAGCATAGCGTCAAGACGGATATCCAATCAGTAAATGAGATATCCTGGCTTTGATGATTAGAAGGGTCAATTATCAATACCATCGTGGCAAGTATGGCATGATTATAAGTATATTTGTGAATAACAGGACGTAGAAGTGAATCGGCAGACTGGAACGTGAGAACTTGGATTTACGGCAATAAAGACTTGGGAAGAGGCAAGAGGGGAAGGTAAGGCAAGTTGCTTTTGACTGCTAAGCCTTCAAACCACGACGCGCCCAGTTGCTTTGCCCCTACGCCCCTCCGCTGGAAGATAGATTGTGTCGCAAAAGCCTTACCGCGACATGGAACCCTGACAAAATCATTTTGAAGCTCAAATTCGTTTTCTCTCTAACCTGAAAACTTGATTTTTCAAACGACATCAGGCAGACATCTTTCTAAAGAACACAGCTCTTCTTCTTGCCCTGGTTCCAATATCACTTTTGATCACCATTGTGAGGAATTTCGATAAGAAAGATCCTGTAACGACTATACTCAGGATAAACCGAAGTACCTGGTTCGCTCGACATCTCAGCTTAGTGCATCTTCACACCAAGGCATTTGCCGAGTATTTCCGTCCTTATCTAATCAGCCATCTTGGGGAAAGCAATACTAGGCAATAGCGAGATAAAACGTGTTCAATTTTAATCAGACACCAGAACATTCGCCTGCAATCTGATTCTGGACGCTTTCGGACAGATTTTGCGCATGGCTGATGCGCCACGATCTTTGGCGACAGAGCGGCGATAGGTCAACGGGTAGACCTCCCTTCATAGTGATAGCCAAACTGAGCGAGCTGCACAACAAGGTCGATCAATGCTAATTGAAATTTCGGAGAATCTATCACGGCGACAGGCGCCTGCTGGGGGCGGTCTGGGTGGACCCCGGAGCTGCATTACAGGCCACTTAGTGGCAGTCGAGGAGCGTCATCTAGCAGAGAGAATCCAATCGGGGACGAGCATTGGAACGGCTTCGTCCTGAGCCTGGTACGAGCTGCGAAAAAGATCGAATCTGCCGGGTACCAGACGCTCAAACCTCAACACTGGGGCGGGGCGCTGCTGCTACTTTGAGATGGAGGGTCAGCTTTTATCATCACTCGTTCGTTCGCTTTGACAAGGTTGCAACACTTTCATGGTCCGCCCCATAGTGAAGGATGGTGCAGCATGTGACTTAGCGACCCAAGACGTCCTGAGGTTTGGGGTGTGAATGCAGCACAGCCTGATCTGACAGTACCTGTAAATACACAGAGCACCCCCGCTGATTGCACAATGTCTTCCCGCCTAGGCATCTCAGTGGAATCTTCGGGGTCATCATCTTTAATGCGCAATCATGGACGACGCTGATTCCCAAAGCCTGCTGAGATTCGTGCTCGGATTCTTCTCTCGAAGGAACCCAGAAAGTCCGGTACATCCGGCATCACTAAGTTCACGGAAACGCGAAGCCTGGCTGCGGGTAGATTCATTTATACAGCGCGATGAAATCTACAAAGCTGACCGGGATAGCGTTGCGAGAACTCTGCGCGCTTTTGAAACCATGGTTGAAGACATTGCTGGTCTTGAATTAGATTCTGTAAGCCCTTTTGGTAGATAGCAAACACCCGCCTTTGGCCTCTAATGCTATCGGAGGTTACAAATAAGCTGCGCTATTTGAGGACCTCTCGATGTTCGAGTATTATACAGCCCCAAATTCTAACGTGTGGCTACGGGGTAGGGCTTAGAACAATATCAGCCGTATCCAAAGCTGCAGGCAACGCGCCGCATGATAGAGGAGCATTCGAATCACGATCGGGATGCAAACCTAGGAACTGCCATCTCCGGAAGCAAACGCAAACGAGAAATCGACGATGTCATTCAGCAACTTTCTCATTTGAACAAAGAGCCAAAGAAACTCATCACAGACAGCGGGGCCAACATAAAGTCTAAAAGCGAAGGCTATCGCAATGCGCTACATTCAGCTTTATATGAAAGGTACCAGGAAGACGTAGAACACCCAGTCGATAAAGGAGTCGACGTCAATGCTCAGCACGAAAAATACAGCATCGCTCTGCAAATAGCTTCATATAAAGGGCACCAGGAAGACGTTCAATCCTTTATCGACAGCGGAGCCGATGTCAATGCTCAAGATGAAGAGCACGGCAATGCTCTTTATGCTGCTTCATATCAAGGACACCAGGAAATCGTTCAGATCCTCATCGATAGCGGGGCCAACGTCAATGCTCAGCACGAAAGATACGGCAGCGCTCTGCAGGCAGCTTCATATAAAGGACACCAGGAAATCGTACAAATATTAATCGACAACGGCGCCGAAGTCAACGCCGATCATCCAAATATACCGTTCAGCATTCCCAACCTAACTGGAGCGCCTTCCCAGGCAACATTCCGCGATTCCGCTCTTGGAACGTCGATCGCTCATGAGAGCTCAAAACATTCGATCGATCATAAGATTGATACGTCTACTCATGATATGGCCACGGTGGAAGAAGTTGACGACAGGCTCGAACTTGACACAATCTACACGCAAAGATCAAACGACTCTATCGGACAGAAGGTCTATGAGTACAAGACTGATCTGACGGCCAGATTGCACCACGAACTATTACTTTGTGCTGCTGATCAAGAAGATATTGCCAGAATTTCAGGATCCTTACCTCAACTCCTCCAGTTCTTCGCTTTCAAAATCGCCAAAGAGGGGGAGGGCAGGGAATACCAAGACACCAAACGATTCATGCTTAAGCATCGAAGGTGAAGCTGCCCCATCGCATGGAATCCAGAATTGTTCCCAACTAACATACTTCTTAGGTCTATTGCCGAGCAACTGTCTGCTAAAGCTAAAGAGTCTCATACAGTTTCAGAGTCTACGAGGGCACTGTTGCCATTGGATGCCAATTCGAAAGATTTCTCACAAAAGTCGGACTCGGTCATTGAAGTAGCGGAAGAAGTTGGGCCAGAATTTCGAAAGTTGCCATCAATGTCATATACTGACGAGGTGAAAGCTTGGATTTCCCAAGTGCGACACGGAGCTAATCCAGAAATACCGCTCGAATCTGACCATGAAGACGTCGATTCAGAGCTCGCTTTCCTGGACGGGATCGAAGACTTGGAAGATCAATTTTGGGAAACAAAAGGGGACGAGTTCTCGAAGTTGGTAACCGAATCGCGTGCTTACCAATGGCTGCTTGAAAAGCTAAGGAATGAACTTGAGCTGGGGATTCCTACCGAGTCATCAACTCCAAGACTGTCGGAACTGGTTTTCAGAGCACTAAACGAGGGACAAAAATCCAGCAGGGAATCCACTCCTCGACGCATTGATGCCGTCTTTGATGCGGAGTGGTCTCCGCACTCCTTCTTCAAGGAGCAGGAATACGGCGTTCCGCCGGATGAAGCTGTTGTAAAGGCATTGATCTTAGTTGGCACCATCACACAAGCAGAAGGAATGGCTTGTGGAGACTACCTTCTAAGGCAATGGCCAGAGTCTGCACCAAGTTTTATACGGTTGGTGAAATCAGTGGTCAGGTCAGCAGAAGGCACATCACACAATGGTACGTTACTATCCTCCTGGGACGTGCTAACTCAACTCTGATACTTGGCTTAGAAACGCTCAGCGACAATACCAAGCTTTCAGCCTTAGTCAAGGATGGCCGCTTATTACTAAAAGCTTACGGACATCCCGATTCGGTTGTTGAGATTGGCGAGCAACTCATGTGGATCAGCTGTGCTCTTCGGTCCTCGAACTTCAGCGAGGTGGGTACTTGTCAGCCTTCTGTCGGCACGATTTCAACCACAAACCGTTCAGATTCATGTGTTACAATGCACATCGAACTCACGGCTACACCCAAGCTTGCTAGATTACGGGGATCTGAGAGTGGCGCTTGCTGGCAAGGGTTATTTCAAAACCCATTAGTAGTAGAATGTTACCCTATTGCTCTCCGGTGTTCTGGGTTAGCAATGGGACTACAGCTATCACTAAACACTCTGATGGCCCTGGTACAAGATTCCAGGCTTGTGTCGTACATGGGAAAACTGTTCATCAAAACATTCTCGACCCTACTGGTGGCTGTCAAGATAGTGGACAACGTCATTCTATGGCATGTTATTTCGAACAAAGATAACAGCTATATTTACTATCACGATCAGCGAGTCGATATGCTTGGAATTGAGGTAGCCTCTTCCATCTTGCAGCAAGTCGATATAGCTGAGATGAAACACGTGGTTGGTTGGACGCCGAACGCAGACAACCTAGCAGGTTTGCACTCCCTAATTGCCGTTATATATTCGATAGTGATTAATATCTTCTTAGGCACACAAGGCGGGCAATATCAGATCCGTCTATCAGGGCTGGCACATAGCCGGCCCCTGGAGATTGAGCTCGAAAAGCTAACTATCGGATTCTCCAAAGTCTTTGCTGGGAACGTTTCCGTGAAGTTTGGATGGAGAGATAGACCTGTTCATGCACGTGATGAAGGTGATGGGAAACTGAATATCAAGCACATCTCGAAACACTTCGTAGTCCTCTACGATGTTGAAGACCACAGAGGGTTCCTTCTAGATGGTGCGACAGCTCTCCTTCACCTGGTGCGGGCCTCAATAATCGAGGACCAAGAAATTGGTCTCATTGACAGCCTACACGATGGCCAAACGATAAACGACTCTATACAACTTGACAATGATCCTGACCCGAAGCGACGTGCTATGAAAACTCTGTGGAAAGACGACAACGCTTGCCTCAAACTATACAAGCGTCTCATTACAGGAGATACCAAAACTGAAACAAAAACAGTATTTCAAGTTCCCTCAAACCCACAAAACACAACACAAGAGATCTACAGCCAAGAGGAACGCTGGGTGTTCTTCAAAGACAGAGTATATGATATCTGGTGGATGCTCGATCAGGCTATCAACATCCAGACCGACGATACGGCGCTCAAGGCAAGTATGAAAAGTTTTATGGGCAACACCAAGCTCGAAGGGTACGAGTTCCAGGATCTTGCTTCTTCCAAAAAAGCAGATTTACAATTTGCCACTCCTGAGTCCCACAGCCAAGGCTGGCTTGATCTTGTGCGAAGATTACGAGCTGTTACACTTTTCGGCCGTGGATTCGGCGAGATCATTCAACACAATGACTGCGACGCTCAAACTCATCCAATGTGTCCGGGCTGGAGATCCGTGCCAACAGATCGCGGATATCTGGTTGTAACTAGCGCAACCCTGAAGAGTGTACTTGAGCGCGACGGCTCAGACCTGTGGCTGCTACAGAACCCATTCGAGCCATGCAAGCCCAAGGTCCAAATGTGCGATCGGAAGCACTTCATGATCGCTAACCAGAACCAAAAAGCACAAACACGAAGGCTTGAGTTTCCAGAACGTGGAGCGGTTGTTATTGGCCATGAAGCATCTCCTGTGTCAAGGTTCATAAAATCCATGAGTACACGACAGGTGCACGACAACGACAAGGCAAGTTTTACGACTGGGGCCAGCACAGATTCTCAACGCTTGCAAGATTCTCGATCGGAGGATACATCTCGAGAAGCCGCATCATCAGCAGCAGCCAGAAACAGTGATATTGTAACAAGCGCAACATCATATACTACTGTAGACACACCACAGGACGGTCCTGAGAGGTTGCTTGTTGGGAAACTTCAGCACCCGAATGAACATCTGGCGATATCTAATATCGCCAATGCCAAGCTGGTCACGCCTCTTGAGCCAGATGTAGAAGCGGAGCAAGCCAAGAAGTCTCAGTCTACGCATTTTACAAATTCGAATGCAGGCATCATTATTCCAGACTTCAACCAGGAGGGAGCTCAGATTCCTGACTTGCCCGTACCGGAGAACACTGAGAGCGGAACGCGGAGATCTGGTACAGTTGTGGTAGCAGGCGTCCCGTCAGGTACTCTCCAACCACTGCCAAACCCGAAGAGCAGTGAGATGGCCTCACATGGCCGAAAGCAGTCAGTTCATGGAAGGTTCAGGCAAATGGTTAAATTTCTACCGTTTCGATCTTCGAAGCGCAAAGACAAATGACTTCGAAATCCATGACTCGAGTTCAAGCCTTGAGCGAATCTACCTGTATTTACTATATAGGAGATAGAGGGCATTCTTCTGCTCCATTTGCACTAAATCATCTCATTGGGAGAAGGTACAGTGACTAAGTGAGAAATATGGATCTTAGCGAACTTGGTGGGCGGAAAGAGACGGCGGCTTCATCGTCGGAAACGTTATTATCAATCCCTGAGGGTAAACAAGCTTTGTAGAGATACGTGGTGCCTTCCAGCCTATGAAATAGAGTCATTAGTAAGAGTGATGAGACAATCTTGCGCTGATGATCCTGACGCAGATCATTGAGATGATGCGACTTGGACGACTCACCTCCATTGTTCAAGACCACTATCAATATTGGGGTTTTATATTTACTTGCGACCCATAGCGCACTCGACGGGGCTGCGCACACGAAACTGCCGTCACCAACTACTTGGCAGACGAGTGTTGACTGACGATTGTGCTCCTTTTGTTCGAGTTCCGTCTCTGCCATCCTGACGCCCAACTGCTACTTACTTCGATCTCAGACCAACCACAACGAGGTTTCCTCAGATGTTTTGAAATTCGCATCGACGTCTGGCCCAAACAACCTACCAATACCAATCCGCTCGAAGCATGGATTATATCCTGACCTTCCAGCAACAGATTTCACGAACAGCACAACAAAGGCGGCATTGCAGCCCAATAAATTCCCATGCCCCAACCACCGCGGACCTTAGCCAACCGAGTGAGGACCAGAGCATAGATATGCTCATCGTCAACATCATTGTTAGGCCCGTGGTGTACATTTGATGAGTCAAAAAATGCATCAAGCGACGCCCACCTCGTAATGATCTGAGGCGCCTGGGCTCGAGATACACTCCGCCAACCGTTTCTAGCAGTGTCGGGCCAATCATGTGCAGTTAATATCGCAGCTGACTCGGCATTATGCTCAGTCTCAAAAGGTGAACTGTGCAGGCGGACGGGCAATAGGATACATCTGAGCGCCAAAGCCACGAAGCGTCGTGAGTTACCATACTGCTCTAATCCTTCTTGATCCCCTCGTGAACGTTCACTAATGATTATGGAGCTGAAATTGGTGTCATCTGCGTTGAAGTCAGGTCTGAAGTGTTCATCAACCTGGAGAGCAACCGCTTCGACCACGCGGCAGACGTCCTCGTGTGGCTTGTGTGGAGCTGCCCACTGGATTCGCTGCCCAGAATGGGCTGTTACGCCTTGACCATCAGTCGATACACTTGCCAAAGATGCCCAAACTATAAGCATAGTATGCATCTAAGAGGCGTCCGAGAACTCACTGCTGCCAGAAGTATCGCCCAGTCGTCAAGCCCGGAGGTTTTTATAATCCAGAATCGAGCATACAATCTCATTGCGACAACCTATCGAACACATTATAGATAGAATGATCGATATCACGATAGTTCCTGTCGGCGCTAACGAATATGGATTGTCGAAATTAGGTTGGACGTTATCCGGGGGTAGCATAGCTGGCACAAGCGCCAGCTGCTCCGGTGTCAGGCCATCCAGGGCAGAGGGATCCATCGTTACGATGGTAGTTGGCTCATACAAGTATTTACTGGGTGGCAGAGATGTGAACAAAAAAAATGGAAGGATTTCCCGTCTGTGTTCTCCAGGAATGAGTGCGGGTAAAAAGAAGAGGAAGAAGGAAAGCTAGCGGACGAGGCTTGAATATAGTGAAGTGAGGAAGGGGGAAAATGTTGGTGGAGGGGGCTAAAATCCTTCGCGGCGGACATTCTTAATTAGTAGACGTACATAGCGACCAAGGTATCTATCATACGTACTTTATTAAGCAATATTAATACAGCCTTCTTACTCAAGATTAATGTCCAACGTTTGGTTCTGGCCCGATAGACTGCACACATCGTACTGTGATCAGAGCTTGGTAAAACAGAGCTGATCTGCCAAGGATATCATTCCAATCCAATCGCAGGTCATAGTACTCAGCACATCAATTACGTGCTGACTCCGTGCTTCTTACTATTCAGTTCGTGGGGGGGATCAGTGCAGCACAACTACCATACCACAACACAAGCATAAGATAAACATCTCACATATTCGACTTATATGGCCAAGCTGATATTTAAGCAACATGACGTCGTTGAAAGTCTTCAGCAAAGTTATCCATACTCGCCAAGGTTTGCGAAGCAACACAGGTATAGGCCACGATATTGTACTATGCTAGCAGAGTTCTTCCCAAGTAGCCTTGCGGCCCCAAACGACGCTCAATGGATAAAGCCCCCAATTGTCTTTAGCTCTTCATCCAATTACTCAGGAAGAGAGTCAAGCTGCTCTGCAGAGAGACTGCATTTTCCAGGAGGGAAAGCTAACACGGTTTTTAGCATGATTATTGCAGTCATCCAAACATCCATAAAGGAAAGGCATTACTCACTCTTCGCGAATTGGGTCAAACCGCGGGTGGCAATGCTCATTGAGAAAACTCCCCTACGAGCAAGCTCCTTGTCGGGGTTCTGAGCACCCATCTTCATCTCGAGATCAAGGTGTTCAATATCGGTGAAACCAGCCTTTTGAAGCCATAGCGGCAGGTTTTCGCCCACTTTGAGGTCAGCTCCCATCTCTTGAAATACGGAGATCGTCAAGTCAATGAAGGCATGCATCTTCGGTCCGCAACCAGCGGTCGGGTGGCAGTTTGCAGCTTCAATAAGCTGAATCCAACCGCCAGGTTTGACAAGGCGAGCGAGGGATTGAAAAGCTTCGTTCTGCTTCGATCCACTGCCGACCAAGACCAGCCGTTGGTGCACAAGATCAAACAGCTCTTTCCAATCCTCGGGCCATGGCTGGTTGATATCCTGAGCTCGGTACGTTGTGCCATCAGGCACCTCGGTAGGGAACTCTGCTGGGTTGATGTCGGTTCCGTGGAACTCATGGCGGACAGGTGCGGTCGAGGCTGCTAAATCCCGAATCCATGTGCCTATTTCATGGTCAGTGCACTGAAATCAAGTTCTGCTGCTTCTCTTCGCTTGTGTATGATGAAAAGTCACCGGCCGGGCTGCTCTAGCACTTATGCTCACCCCAAGCGGAGATTAACGATGGCATAGGATAGTACACGTTCATGTCTTAAGGTCTATGGGCACACTGACCGTCAGCAGTCCCAGAATCCAGAATCTTTAATGGAGCCACTGTGAGATTGATAGGTGCCAGCACAAGGCGGCCCATAGCATCCTTGATGATCTCATGTTGATTTGACAGCCGGCTTGACTCCTCGCTGCCCTCGAGGAAATAGTCATGCTCGTACTGTTTGATTGCCTTCTCAGCCATGGTGAAATGCGTTTAGGACGAAATGCGTTGAGGACGGAAAATTGACCTTAGATTGCTTAGATTGCGGTGAGGACGGGGTTTCTATACGTGGACGCAGCCTTCTGTTGGATTATAGAAACATGCATGAGAGCACACTGCGGTCGCCGTGCTACGGATGCCGGTTTTCAAAGGCTCCGAGAAGTGCAAGCACCCGTCAGATGTCGACCCTGCGCCCCCTACAGTTGACCAACTTACTACGCAAGTTCAGGTCGCGGCAGTGAGGGCTAGGCTGCCGGCTTCCTTACGCGACCCGATATATGCCAATGAAGGATCATGTCACGTATTTTGTTGGTTTCACATTCAAAGTTGGCGGACAGCAGGCAGCCCGTTGGTTGCAGTGACCCTGAGTCTGGCCATATTACTGGCTAGTTGGAGACTGTTGGCTGCGGTTAGGGCGCTCGACACTTGCGGCGCAGCCCTACAGGTAGTGGCCTAATATTGCGACGCTGATCACATCGGCGACCTGTCATAAAACTGCCGACTGGGTTTCCTTGTCTCCCACACCAATGTCCTTGTAACGCTGGCTGCCTTGCCAACATGATCAGTAAAAACAATCTGGCACTTGTGCTTGGAGCAGTAGGGAAATACAACATCGAGAGCAACAAGAACTCTGTGAGAAGAAGTTTGGACCAAGGCACCCAGAAACACTCTGCAGTATGAACAATCGAGCGTCAATGATGAAGGAACTAGGACAATACGAACAAGCAAGGGCATTATTCCAAAAATGTCTATCTTTACGCCAAGAGGAACTAGGACGAGAACATCCTCACACTCTTAATAGTCACAACAATTTGACCCTTGTGCTTGGAGATTTGGGGAAGTTGGAAGAGGCAGAACAGATGCATCGAGAGGAGCTGCAGCTTTGTGAGAAGACACTGGGCCCAGAACACCCGGATGTTCTTATCAGCATGAGCAATCTGACGCTCGTATTTGAAAAAGTCGCAAAACAAATGTTTCAACGAAAACAAGAGCGCCGTCAAAAATCTCAAGAATCTCATGTTCTGTTTATTATGTGCAGCTTCGATGAGCGCGGCCTTGTTAGGCCAGCGACGCGGAGCAGTCATGTCGGACACGACTTGGGAACTAAGTTTACGTTTACGTCAACATCGGACAACGATATCGACGATGGTCTGAAGGCAACACGACCAACAACAGTGGCCAAACAAGTCCCTAGTACCGACTTCAGTGCTCGGGAAAAGGCAACAGCAATCGAGAACATCCGGTCAGTTAATTGAGACGCGGATAATAATCAATTGTAACCTTCAGATGCTGCGATGCTCAACGGCTTGGAAGCGAAGTGGCTTGTTGCGCAATTCCCGGCATATTGGATGAAGCTTCGCCCAAAGTGGACCCAGAGTCGATTCAAAGGTGATATCGGACGCTCCCTTCCCACCGGTGGATTTATTTTCGTAATGATTGCGGCAATTGATTTCCTAAAAATACAGTCGGTTCTGTTCTCTCGATGTTGCCACTTTCGACGCGTGCGCCGGCCACCTCCCCCACTAAGTTGACGAGGAACGAAAGGGTGTTTTTGTACAAAAGCGATTGTATAAACAGGGGAATAACTATCCGATGGCCATATCTAGCTGAGCTACTGCTATGAAATATATATATACACACATCATACAACACGTTTGCTAAGCACAGAAGAAACATATGACAAGCCCGGTATTACCCCACCTTTAATTTTAATAATCGTGGTAAATAAACATGATTCAAATACGCAAATAAGTGGCGATCGTCTGCGTACTCCCCATAAATCCATGGTACAGCACCTTGCTTTCCTACTAAAAGCAGGGGGAAAGAGTGCATTATATGGCTGAAACTTTGATGGTCGAGAGGCTTAATGGAATTGCGCGGTCCTAAGCTTATTTGGTTTAAATCAACGTTGTTCGGCTAGGTAGTACTATATAAACTTTTGTGGCCCTGAAGTTGTTTTGTCATCTTAGCCAAACGTTGTACAATGCTATTGGTTTGAAGTAAAAAAAAAAAAAATGGCTTGCAACACCGCGATCCACCCACGCCTGTATCGGATTATAGGGGCAACAGCGAGAATTTGGAAATGGCGGCGGCCCGCATTTGAGCGCGTCGGAACGGATCGCTCTCGTAAGCCAGGCCTGGGGCTCCCAAACGACGTGGGTTTTGAGCCTTGGCACAAGGGTGCATAGACAAGGCAAGAAGGACCTCAGCTGCATATGAATCAATTAAAGGAGTAATTCAGTGCTCTCGTCTTTGGTCGTACCCAGAGTTGTGAGGGCGCGGTCGCTCAATAAACAAAAGCTTGGGATTGGCTAAATTGAGGACGATTTGTCTACTATGGCACGAAAACGCTTCCAATGCAACTCAAAGTGTTAGTCATTCTGGAAGCACTAATATTGTGTATTTTCCACTAGATGAAGCCGAGTTTATCAGTCTGGCATTACTATGAATTTGATCATATTCGAACATACGTTTTTGCAAGACCACCTTATATATTTTTGGTATATACTTATTCTAGAAAACCCCTTTTCCATTTTGTTCTTAAGCAATGGTGAGTACACAATTTTAAAAAGCAGGATGATTCCATGGGCTATGCTTAGGGGGGTATACACCAGAAAGTAATGCCTGGAAAGTCCGAGCTACAAAATATACCTAAAGAATGGTGAGTACTCCCCCATTTCAGACAATTCTTTCTCGGAATATTTGCCTTCCAACGACTCCAAGGGAATTTGGTCCTTTTTATGATTGGATGCTCGCAAACAGTACCAGTTGCCAATACACGCACCAAATCCACCAACCAAGACCAAGACCAGGAGGATTGCAAAACCAGTATTATAAGTGGGAGCTTCCGAGTCGAAGAATATGTTTGCGCCAATGCAGCCGCCGAACAATTGGCCCCAAGTAGATTGCCAGCCCATTGCCGCGGCTCGCTTTGCTGGGTTACGAACGTTCGTGCCGAGCCAGGAGCCCACAGCAGGAGCCTGCATATTGTAGCCGGCCACGACCAAGAAGAGCGCAAAGTAAGCAAGGCCGGAAAGTCTCGTGTGATACAACGATGGCCACAAGATTATAATACCAATTGTTCCCACGGTATAGCTGATAAGTAATGATCGTGCTCGGCATTGGTATTTGTCCGAATATCGTGCAATCAGAATGACACAGAAGAAGGCAAAGACATACGGCGGTGCAGTGAGAGCCTGTGCTTTGATCGAAGAATATCCCAGACCTTTTACCATCTGGAGATATGTAAGCATATTTTGAAATAAACACGAGATTGAAGTATTTGCCTGCTTACAGTAGCTAGGGTGTAGTTAACCGAGTAGGTCGGGACTGAACCACCGAAAGCAAGAAGAGACGCAATGAAGTAGGTCTTCCAGTCCTTGACAGCCTCGAGGAAAGCACTCCACGGCCGGAACGTCTCTCCGGGAGCAATCGGGCCGTCCTTATACTTGACTCGTAGTTGGAGGTAACGCATCTCATCTGGGGTGAACCAGCTTGAGGTCCAGGTTTCGGGAAAGTCAGCCGACAACCAAAGGCCAAGAAGACCAGAGAACATCGTCAAGGCGCCTTCTATGATGAATAGATACTGCCATTGTTGCAGACCGAGTCGGCCTTGCAAGCCACCGACAGCGTAAGCGAGGAGTCCTCCGAACGCCCCCGATAACATCGTGGCACTGTACCACCAAGCACACCGTGTCTGCAGCTCGTCGGGGAGGTACCAGCAAGACAAAGTGTAGAAACAACCCTGGAAAAGACCCGCTTCAAAGGCTCCAAGCAAGACGCGTGCAGCACAGTAGTCGCCATAGCTCTTTACCCAGGCACTGCCTAAAGTAACAGCTCCCCAGCAGGTCACAAGCATCGACAGCCAAAGTTTTGGCCCGAACTTGCGCATGCAAATGCTATATTGATGTGAGATGTTTGACCAGTAAAAACAGAACAGCTGTATTTGAGTTACTGACTTGGACGGTGTCTCTAGAAAAGCGTATGTGAAAAAGAACCAAGTCAGGGCGAGATTGAATTGGTGTGAAGTCATATTCGTATCTTGTAGGAACGTATATATCTTTACATTTCCCGCGTTTGCTTTGTCCAGCGAATTTAGCAGGTAGTAGAGGAATAGGAAAGGCAGGATTCGAAAGTCCAGTCGAAGAAGCAGCTTGCGGTGCCTCTTTCGGTCAGACTCGAATTCCATTTTCAGCCTGAGAAATTCTTGGTATTCAGCCGCATGTTGTGAATCCGTGCTGACGGGAACTGCAGAACCAGATATGACGAATGCTGTTCCGACCTGCTTTTCGGCGTCGTGGCTGGTAGGAGGATCGAGAGCGCTGACATCTTTCTTGGCAATAGAAGAACGCCACATCTTGGAAGAATTATGGTATATAATCGCTGGATACAAGAAGGACCGTACCTATAGTATTAGAGGGCACTTTTAGAGATATATCATACCATATTTCCCAATAAGTCATCCGGCGGCGGAGTCGGTCGGTGATCCGAAGCCTTTATCATATAATACATCCACTACGACACGACGGGAGTCTTTTAATTCGCTAATAATGGAAAGAGTATCCTGGTTCCACGCCTATCAAGCCGGAAGACCGTTCTTCCAAAGATAACAAATTCGGGCTTATACTCAACCGGCGGGGTTTGAGGGATTGCAAGCATAGCCTTTTTCAGCGAAAAAGCGTATCGACCCAGGATCTGGTGTGCGGCCCATCCTAGCGTCCCAAAATGTGAAATATATCTCCAGTGATAAGCTTAAGTACCTGCACTGGGATTGTCGGTTTTTAGCCGGCATTAATTCAACCTCAGATAAGAGTTGCTTACAGCGATAAGCTCAAATGTTCGTGTCGGCATCATCGGGTCTCCAGCCGATCATCGTAAGTCACATTTGTGCGTTTAGTATTTTGTGCTTTGAATCCCGAATTTCTATTTGTAGCTCATTGAGAATGCTATTGACTTTAAACTCTTAGTCTTCAATTCATTGTCTCTGCGTGGTAACATCACCTACTTGATTTCTAGTTCGATTTTCGCGATGTCTTCCTACGTGTTTAACGGTTATATTGTCACGCCTATTGGTCCGTGTTCCTTTGGCGCTGAGGTGTCCGGTATAAATTGGAAACAATCGCCGTTGCCAGACTCCTGCATCGAAGCCGTAAGTTAAATTCAGAAACGTTTCTTTCTGTCTCTTGTTTTCTGTTTTTCCTTGGATTTATAAAGACTAAATTATTCCCAAAGTTGGTCTTACTGCAAAACAAGTATGGCGTCATAGTTTTTCGCGAAACCGGACTCGACAATGAACGCCAAGTTCGCTTCGCATCGCAACTCGGAGAGCTCGAGATGAATCCTGCATGGGGTGGCACTAAACGCGTGGGAACACCGTATCTTTTTGATGTTAGCAATATAGAAGATGATGGAAGTGTCGTTAAAAAGGGTTCCGTGAGTGTTCGATCCATGGCCTCTTCTTCAAGAATGAATAAAAAGAGGCACTAGCTGACAAAACTTAGAGGCGCTGGGCACATTCTCTAGGAAACGCCTTGTGGCATACTGATTCTTCCTTTAATCAACATCGGTCGAAATACTCTCTGCTCTTGGCGCATCGTGTCCCTGGAGAGACGCAGACTGTCACGGAGTTTGCAGACACCAGACAAGCCTGGAAGGACGTGCCAGAAGAGCAGAAGGTGGAACTGCGTAGTCTGATCGTTGAGCACAAGTATAAGCCACATGTCCCCCCATCATTTGTCTGACCTTGCGCAGTTGACATTTGTTCGCAGCTTGTGGCATTCTCGCCGTCTTGCTTCACCGGATATATACCAGAAACCGACTGAGGAGGAGCAGAGGCTGAAGCCTGGATCTTATCATCGACTTGTGCAAAAGGCACCCAATGGCGGGGAAACTCTCTTCATTGCTGCGCACGCCAAGACACTATTTACAGGAGAAGGCAAGGAAGTTCCAGAAAGCCAAAAGCTCATCTGGAAGCTCATCGATCATTGTACACAACCTCAGGTCTGCCACCAAGTCCTCGTTAGTTGCTAATTGCGTCCAGCTAATACGTCAATAGTACACCTTTTCCTGCGAATGGCTTTCAGCAGGAGACATGATATGGTGGGACAATCGTCAGTCTATGCATCGTGCAAGCCCGTACAGCGAGGCCATGGGACCTCGAGATGTCAGAAGGGCGACAGTCTATGACGATGGCGACAATGCATTCGGTGTGAAAGTGCCGCAAAGTGTTCAAGGCTGCGCACCCCTATCAGTCATCGTACCTTCTACCGAGGAGGGTGCTCTCTCAGTAATTGCTTCAACTTCTACGATTTTAAAGGGATAAGCCCCTGATTTCACTATCTGGGTTGAATATGTATCGTGGGGAATCAGTATCTGCGATGGTTTTACCGTGATATAAAATCAAGAATGAAATCCAAAAAACTGGCAAAACTAAACATACAACACCAGGTATTCTCCAGTGGTCACCCACCTGAGTACTAATCCAGCTACGTCCTGTAAATCAACCTACCGTAACGGTGAGCCGTTTACCTGTAGACCTGTCAGACTGTAGAGAATATACTACTATACGGCACAAGCCTATACTGCCTGGCTGCACCCCGTGACACCGCCTAAGTTAGATCAAACCTTTAGCTTCGACCTAATCCGTGACACTTAGCCTCCTATAACGTGATTGGATATTTGGTCAGTTTCATTGGTCCTTTCAAATGCCCTTTCTCCATAGTCTCGAGTTTCGAATTATTACTCTCGATCATCATGGCCACGGAAGGTCGGAATACTCCGAGAATAAACCATGAGATCTCACGTCACTGGCCAGAGATGCTTTTGTCTTGCTTGATCACCTTGCGATCCATGCAATTCTGATGATGGGTCATAGCATAAGAGCCATGGTAGCTTCTGTGACGATGGTCAGGTGCCCGGACCGGGTGAAGGCTTTGGTGCTTGTTGGCCCAATGTATTGTAAACCTAGGACAGCTCTCGACTCCAGGCAGTCGTCATTCACACCCAAGATAATTGTCATGAGATCGCTGGTATTATTTTTAACTGACTTTACACCACTTAGACGCCAGAATGGATGGAGATTTGCCATAAGTACCATCTTTATGGAGTTCTGTCAAAGGTGTTGCTAGATTGCTACCTTGTAATATGTGGAGAAGGCAGAATCGGTCGCCGTGAGAGCGCACTTTCATTCATGAAAAGCCAGACATGCCCACGATCGGTTACGTGTGCAGACCGAGAGAAGTCGGAATTGGAGCAAGTGATGAGAGTGACTCAAGGCATTAATGAGGTGGTACTTCTTGACAAAGGGCACTAGCACCACCAACAATGCTCCGAGCACTTCAATTAAATTCTTGAAAAATGACTTCGTAAACAAGACCTTTTGCCATAATTGATATATTCGGCATCTAAAACAAAAAGCACAAAAGTGCTAGAATAATGAAATACTTCTTTCCTTTTACTGAAAATGTCACAACATCCCACTATCATCGGGGCCATACCACGTATAGAGATCCGTATAAAAGAGCCGAAGTAAATATGTAGATTACTGATCGCCCGAGGCGGTGGGGCTTTGCTCTCCACAAGATCATGATAAGTGATTCGAGAATAAATGCTATAAATCATGGTTGCAAAGCAGTCGAGAGCATAAAATCCGAAATATTCCATTCCCTACTCCAAACCACCGCATTGAATCCCCGCAAATTATTTCATCAAAAATAAGATTACTCAGTTCATTATGCCTAAATGGGTCTTCCACCACACAGTCGGTGCTTTCACCAACAACGACAAAAAACTCATAGCGCATGGAATGACGAAGATTTACACCTCAGTTGGCCTTCCCGCTTTCTACTGCCACGCCCATTTCATTGAGCTTCAGCCGGATAGCATCTATGCCGGCGGAGAAACGCCTCAAGCGCTCACCACGCTTTCCATCTACCATATTGCTCGAGGCTTTGCCGATAAGAACGCGGAGCTCGGGTTCATGAAGGCACTGGACGACATCCTGCGACCAATTCTCAAAACTAGGAGCATTGAGTGGGAGTCGGCCATCTACGAAGCGAATCGCGACCTCTGGAGAATCAACGGCTTGGTACCGCCTGCCACGGGTTCGGAGTTGGAGAAGAAATGGTTTGAGGCGAACAAGGTCACCGACGAAGAAGAGCTACTGGTGAAGCAGCTGGCTTCAGCTCAGGAGCATTAGGATTTTCAGTCCAAATCGGCATGGGAAGAAAGGATACAAGAAGCAGATTAGACTCATCATAGTACTATGACCTGCGAACGATGGTTTTATGGCAAATTCAATCTGGTATTCATCGTAGCAAATGCCCCTTTCCACATTTCAATCAGATAGTTTTCGACAACTGCCCCCCCCCCCTCTTTCCCCTTTTCTATTTTTTTCCCCAGTGGGGAAATGTGTTGACTAGTGGGAAACAACGAAATACTTTTCTTGCAATCTACAAGGACTGCACCCAAGGTGTTCTCGAAAAGTTGACAAAAGCAGATGCAGAGAAAGATTTGGTGATTAAACAGACATCGTCGGAATTAGAGCGAAGATCTTGTTTGTCCTTTCTTGGGTCTCAAAATACACTGTTGACTCATGATTGCAACCAAGTCGCCCTTGTCGTCCCATAATTTACCTTCGGAATACGATCGACCTTCCCCAGCTCTGGCCGTAGTTCTCTCCTTGAGGTGCCATTGGCCGAGGTCAAGGTGCGAGACAAAGACACGCATCGCAAAGTCGAGTGAGGAGCATGCCGCGACATCATCTAGCCAGAGATGGTCATGAGCAAGTGGAAGGAAGGAGAGACCACTGTCCATGAGAAACGCAAGCGCTGCCAAATTTTCCTGTGCTGATTCCATTGGCTGTATGGTTCTTGACCACTCCGCCGACGTCTTTGCCGTAATGTGCCGTTGGTCTTGAGTGGTGATTGTGTCTTTTGCGGCGCCCCAAATGTTTTGGGCCGAGACGCTGCTGGGATCTAATCTAGTCTCGAAGAAACGATCCATGAGAGAGAATTGCGCCGCAAATCCTTCAATCTTGGAAGCCTCACTGGCGTCTTGAACATGCAGTTCCCGAAGTACAGCCAAGGGCAGGCATGTCTCGGGCCTGCCGTGTGAGTCCGTGGGAGCGATTGAATACGTGAGCAATGATTTCTCCCGGATATGGGAGTCGGTAACTAGTTCAAGACACTTTCGCTCAACCCCGTCCGGATGAATTTGGACGACTTCAACTTTACGAGTGACGAATGACTTTGTATCGCGCAGTCTTGACACCCTGCAACGCAAGTCCAGCGTCGTGGAGGCAGGACCAAGGAAATGCCCAAGAACTGAATACAGGGCAAATGATTTGGGCACCGTTGCGAGAGCCGCGCTTACAGCTACAGCTATCGAACAACCACCATATGCAATAGGAAGCAAGTTTCCCATTCTCGCCGGTGGGGACAAAGAAACGAACTCGTCGGGACCGGTTTGAGTGACGCCCGTTTGGGCCTGCAACGTGGATGTCATGATGTAAACTCGAAACGTCAAATGTCAGTTGGCTGGGTTGAAGTATCCAAAGGCAATTATCTAATGCTCATTGTATAGATATTTCAAATTATTCTCTTCGCAAAGGAACTTAGTCGCTTCGAGACGAAATTCACGGTAGAGACTCAATCAAGGCACTCCTCGAGTTGATATGACCCCTGGTTCTAATGATTCGAGGCAGTGGATCACTACAGCATTAACAGCTGACTTTACGATATACATAGATAACTTTGCTCAATAATCAGCAATTATAAATGCAGACATGGGTTTTTTGATCCCCAAGTCCACTTCCGAGCAGCCTCGGTAGCCTCGGCTGATCCGGTGAACAGGGGTTCAAAATTTATAATTATTGATCACTGATCAGTCACGGGCCTCGGGCAAAGCCAAACGAACCCCAGGCACCGTTGGAAGATCGCCAACGTATTTCAATCAACGTCCGATTAATGATAAGATGTTCTGAAACCATCATAGCTGCAGTTCTCGAATAATTTATAGCATCACATTCTTCTAGGTTCGCAGAAATACTATGCAGCATCACTTGCATGCTCGAAAAGCAGTGTAGAGGGCATTGAATTGATCACGTATGGATGGGTCACATTTACGACTCCAACGTTTTCCATCTAATACAAAATCTACGATCTCAAATGCTGCCAAAGCTTGGTGGTGAAATGAGTTATCTTTCAGTAATCTTTTGGCAACTGAGGAGTCACAAACATATATCTTTGTCACTGCGCATGGACGACACTGTTTGTTAGCCGTGGCAATCCTTATTGAATAAAACAATGAGGTAAGTATGACAAAGTAGTATTTCTAGAGTGTCAAACACATAATGACACGGTCTTATTGATGCCACACCATACGGGCAATTAACGTGATTTGTGATCTTTCTCAGGGCTGGGTCCTCAGTGGAAACTACCGGCCTCGGTCCAAACCAGTGATAGTCCATGTATTTCAACTCGCTCAAGGCATGCAATTCGTGGTGGAATTTGCAAATAACTAACCTTGTGAATCTCAAGTTCCTGTTTCCTCCCTGCCCACAATTATTCCCTCTCATCAGCCATCATGGTCGGACTGAGATTTGCCGTCTTCGTTGCACCTCCAGTGCCCTTCCTGAGTCCTCTTACAAAATCCAAAGGCGGGCTATGGTCACCAATCTCGTGCACGCTTATATACACCGAACAAGAGGCTGTTCTTGTCGATACACCAATCACCGAGAGCCAAACCTCGGCCCTCATTGAATGGATTCAAGAGGTAGCTCCAGGTCGAAAACTGTCTTTCATCTACATCACTCACGGTCATGGCGATCATTTCTTCGGCCTACCGCAACTTCTTGAGAAATTCCCTGAAGCAAAGCCTGTAGCCACAGCAGCAACGCTGAGACACATGGAAGAACAGGTGGAGGAGCAGGGATTCAATGCTACGTGGGAAGCCAGATTTCCCGGCCAGATTCGTCGTCCATTTGTCTTGGCACAAGCTCTAGGCCAGGAAAACAACTTCAGGTTGGAGGGCCAGTGGCTCTTTCAGGCCATTGAATGTGGACATTCCGATACTTATGACTCTACGGTCCTCTGGGTGCCCGACTTGCGCCTCGCGGTTTGCGGTGATGTCGTCTATGGTGAGGTGCACCAGATGCTCTTCGAGGCCAACACAAAAAAGAAGCGACAGGACTGGATTAGAGCCATAGAGCAGGTCGAGGCCCTGAACCCCCATTACGTTGTGGCTGGACACAAGAAGGCCGTAGAAGCCGACGGGCCCTGGCACTTGGCTTCATCGAAGCAGTATATAGCTGATTTCGGGGAGATCCTCGCACGGGGCGCCGAAGACGCTGACAAGGTGTTTGAGGAGATGTCTAGGCTCTATCCACGTAGATTCAACCCTGCAGCGCTGAGGCTTGGCTGCATTGGTGCTTTCAATGTCCCAATAGAGCAACGTATCTAAGAAACCAGGAAAACGTAGATTATTGTCCTGATCTGAATTTGAATAATTACTTTCGTCTGAGCCAGTGAGTAGAGAGTAAGATGTGAATGAAGGAACATTAGAAAGATGCCTGAGTTGATCTTACTATCTACAAAGAGAGGCGCTAGAGAGCTATCATTCCTTATACCTCGGGATACAAAGGAAAAACCAATCCAAGATGGATGCGACGTACCGCCTTTCGTTTCGATGCTGTCGGACTCGATGAGTCATAACGCGGATATGTTCCGAACATTCCTTAGGACATGCAAAAGATGACAGGATACGTTGGACGGAACCAAAGCCGAGCTGCGACTGCAAAGGATAGATCGGCGAGAATAGCGAGTGCGAGGTGTAGAAAAAGCAAGTTGTGTAAATTAAAGCTGAAACCAAAAGATTGGTGTGTCCGTTGGGTATACTGATTGGCTTCATTGGCCCACTCTGGCAGATGTTTTCGCGTCTCGGCACATAAAAGCAACGTCGCGGGAAGCCTGCCTTTGCCGTTTAGAGAGCAGGCGAGGCAGGAACTCAGTGAGTCACCTTCAACCATACCGTCATGGCGAATAGGGAGTATACGCATGCATTACAAGAGAGGCGTAGCCAGGATAGAGAACCGAGGCAAACAACGACATAATCATGCGCTCTATGTTATTTGGGAATAAAGGACATCAAGAGGAAGTCGATCAGCGAGTATATCCCTTGCAGAAAGACAAACTTGTTTGTGTTGGCAATGAGAACATACCTCTGCAGTCTTGGCCCTGGTGGAGTAAAGAGCTTACAAAGGAAGAGTGCACGTATGGTTTATGAACGGGGGAGCGACCGAGCTGTCGCGGCGCAAAGCGAAGAACATGAGCTGGTAAATATGTTTTCAAGTTGTTATTTTAGAATTAAATGTGTCTTTTGTCTTGGCAGCCGAGCGAGCAGTATTGTCTTTTTTCCAATTGCAACACTTACATATATTTCAATATTCCGCATCACCATCACATACAACCATACGCGCTAGAATACTCGGCATCCCGTCCGCTCTGCCCTATATAATCTGGCGTCCCTTGGAAAACCAGCCAGGCTTAGGAGAATGGGCTGAGAGCAAGACCCACACGAGAGCCCAGGTAATGTAGTCGGCTTGCCCATTCCCGTATCTCTTCCAATAGATCACGAGTATTGTCAGCACATCACTCTCATCCCTGTGCTTTTGTGCCCAAATATAGTCAGCTGCGACGAGCGAGCTGCTGCTGAAACCAGTCGTATATCTCGCTTGGGCAGATATGCGTTCGTTCGCGCAGCAACATTCAATACGAACACCAAGCCAGCACGGCGATCTGGGGCCGAAATCTATCGATGGCCCAACCGCACGTTCACTCTCACTGCAGCATCCATCATACAGTCGAGTCACCTGTGACTTCATTGTTTTTCTTTTTTCTACTCATGCCATTCAACACATGGTATGCTTTTGAATTACGCCTGGATAAGCATCCCCGACCGCAGAATCGGGAAGGCTGCAAATATTATCCAGCTTTGCTATATTTCTGTCGCACTGGCTTATTGAATGTGTTCTTCGCTAGGTGCTGACAGTTGTGTCTCCGTCTTGCATAATCTCTGTACTTTTCAATGCTGTAGGCGATTACTATTCACCTCATTTATCCTAGTTCATTCTTGGGATTGTTCCTAGCGGTTTTGCCTGCTTGAGAAAGTTTCTGGCGCAATTATATAACCGTGTCATTTTCTCTGGTTCTGTTGAATTGTTTGCGCATCATTAGAATTGGCAGACTTTGATAGATCGGGGCCAATTGCTATCAAGCCTTGCTTGTACGCGTCCGAAACGCAGCTCTGTAAAAGATGGGTCCCGGGAAACGAAAAGCGGAAGACTACGATGGAATTGACATGGAAAGACGACGCAAAATGGCCAGTCGGAAGACGACGACGGACAGGAACGATACGAACACACTACCATCAACGATACTTAGCCCAGATGCTACACTCGAAAGCCCAAGTCAAAGTATTGCCCAACATGGTTCCCAATTCGCTGGCAACTGTAAGGTATCTGGAAATGGAAACGTCCATCAAGGCAACAACATCAACAACAACAACAACACTATCAACCACCACCACACAACGGACCAATGTCTTGCCGACCTTCGCATCACAGATCCTCGCCACGATAAGCAGCGCATCCAGGAAGTCAAAGGCGGCTTGATCCAAGACTCCTATATCTGGGTGCTCGAGAATTCTGATTTCTGTCAATGGCTTGGCAACGAGAACAGCCACTTGCTCTGGGTCAAAGGCGACCCAGGCAAAGGCAAGACGATGCTCCTTTGCGGCATTATCGACCATTTAAAGAAATCACAAGCCGAGGGAAAGGTTCTCTCCTACTTCTTTTGCCAAGCCACTGATGAGCGCATTAATACTGCCACCTCCGTAGCGCGCGGTCTTATCTTTATGCTTTGCAGCCAAGATGCATCTCTTATGTCTCATCTCAAAAATCATTACGATCCAGCTGGCAAGGCGCTTTTTGAAGACGCGAATGCGTGGCATGCGTTATCCGAGATATTCACAGACATACTCCAAGACCCTACACTCCAGGGGGTCTGCCTCGTAGTCGACGCTTTAGACGAGTGTGTAAAAGGTCTCCCACAACTGCTCGATCTGATAATCCAAACCTCACGGTTGCCTCACACAAAATGGCTCGTCTCAAGCCGTAATTGGACGGATATTGAAGAGAAGCTGTGCGATGTGGCGCATAGGTTATCGCTAGAGCTGAATGCGAAGTCGGTTTCTGCGGCCGTGGAAAGCTATATCCAGTTTAAAGTTTCCGAGCTTACGCGGATAAAGGGCTACCAACAGGGAATCGCTAATGAAGTGCGCCAATACCTGTCATCACACGCCGACGACACTTTTCTTTGGGTCGCCTTGGTTTGTCACGAGCTCGGAAACAGTAAAGTTCGATCGAGGCATACACATGATGTACTGAAATCGTTCCCACCGGGCCTTGATCCGCTGTATCAAAGGATGGTAGAATACAATACCGTTTCGAGAGATGCACAAGCTTGTCGTGAGATCCTAGCTCTTCCTTCGACAGTATATCGACCTGTTAGCGTGGATGAATTGCAGGGTTTGACCCAGTCTGTCAAGGAAATCGAGAATCTTAGTCAAGAGGAGGTTCTCGAAGTTATCGCAGCATGTGGTTCCTTTTTGACGCTTCGAGACAGCATCATCTTCTTCGTCCATCAGTCTGCGAAGGATTTCCTGCTCAAGAAAGCAAGCAATACGATCCTAAGCTCTAGTATTGAAAACCAACAGTTCAAGATCTTCGCAGACTCTTTAGATCTTCTTAGCAATACCTTGAAACAGGACATTTACGATCTGCGCGCACCTGGCTATCCTATCGACCAAGTCAAAATCCCTTATCCCGACCCGCTGGCGAGCTCTCGCTACTCTTGTGCCTATTGGGTAGATCATCTTCAAGACGCAGGACTTGTGCACGCAAGATCAGTGCTTACCAGCGTTCCGAGATTTCTGAAGACCAAATACCTTTACTGGCTTGAGGCTCTTAGTTTGATGCACAACGTTCCTGAAGGTGTCAAAGCAATACAAAAGCTAGAGAGAATGATGGTAAGTATATAATTCTGGCATAGAGTCCTGCTAAAAGGATAAACAAATAGACTGATATCTTATAGGCCAATAATGACTCCGAGGAGCTGAAGGATCTATCCAAAGATGCTCGTCGTTTCCTTCTTGCACAGAAGAGAGGGTTTGAATTGGCTCCGCTGCAAGTCTACTCCTCCGCTCTTATTTTCAGTCCCACGAACAGTCTGATCAGGCGCTGCTTCAGCCACAAAATCCCTGCTTGGGTCAAGCTAGCACCCAAGGCTGGAACAGAATGGAGTGCTTGCCTGCAGACGATAGAGGGCCATAGGAACAGGTCAATCACCGCAGTCAGTTTCTCTGTTGATGGTAGGCAAATTGCATCAAACTCGAGTGACATGACCGTCAAGCTGTGGGATGCCACTTCAGGCAATTGTCTTCGAATACTCAAGGGGGAAGGTGCTTGGCTCATAGAAGTGCTTTCATTCTCACCAGATGGTAAACGCATTGTGCTGGGAAGCACTTCAGGCATCGAAATCCGAGATACCGACTCGGGGAATATAGTGAAAAAGCTTGACTGCCTTGTGCGAACAGTCGCTTACTCACTCGATGGCCAGAAAATCGCTTCCGGTGGCGATAGTATCGTCCAGATCTGGAATGCTCATTCTCTTGAGCTTTTACATGCATCTGACACCGGCGGTGGGTCAATAAGCTCGATCTCCTTCTCCGCGAGCTGTTTGCGATTTGGATTAGAATCATGGAATCCAAACACAACCACCATTTTCCATCTCAAGGATACCACAAGTGAATTGGCGACACTTTTCAAAATAAATGGTAAAGCAACTTCAATGGCATTCTCATCCGACGGTGGAAAAGCCGTGTTGGGTTTTGACAGTGGCGCCCTCGAAGTCTGGGACACTACTTTAGGCCAATGTGTACAACACCTCAAAGCGGACCAATGTTACATCAGTTCGGTGGCATTCTCGCCTGACTGCCTGCAAGTCGTATCGGGCTCTAGTAGAAGTGTCCAGGTTTGGGATATTGCAACAGGCCAACGCGCAAGGTCTTATAAGACCAGTGACCATGTCAACGTCGTAACCTTTTCACCAGATGGCGGACGAGTTGTGGCAGGGTCCGATACCTTTCAAATATGGGACAACTTTTTACATGACTATGAATCACTGCATGAAGGCCATGAAAAGGAGGTCATAAAGTTGGACCTATCCCCCGACCTCTCACAAATTGCATCGAGCTCGGATGATGGAACCGTCAAGATCTGGGATTCGGCCTCGGGCGATTGTGTGCGAACTTTTATAGGCCATGACGGACAGACAGGTTGCATCTTCTTCTCGCCTGATGGGAAAAAGATTGCATCGGGCTCAAGCGACAATACCATCAGAATTTGGGACATCACGTCCAACAACTGCATAGTGGCAATTCCAACAGGTCACGCGGACGGCCCACCCTTGCCCAGGCGAAAGGACAACATGTATTCAATTACTTTTTCAGATGATGGACAACACGTCAAATCAGAATTCACGGCACGAGGCTTCTATAGGGGAGACCTCCGTAGGCTTGGCTGTCAAAATGTAGGAATAAGTGGAGCGCTTCTCCACACATGTATATATCTTTGACCACCCAACCTTTGTTGGATGTGAACAACTCAACTAATACAACAACTATTACCCATACCTATCATATCTTTTCACATTGGCCACCCGGGGGGAAACATCAGCAGAGTTTACAGTATAGCTTCAGGTACCTGCATAGCGACACAAGAGGAGGGACAGGGGCATATAATCGGCTTTCCCGATAGCGGTCGACAAAATGGGTCAACCTCAAGTAACGAGACTGTCCCAGTATGGAAAGTGGCTCGATTCACTCATGATTGGATAATCTTGGACGGTAGACCAGTCTTATGGTTACCTAAGGAATTCCGACCAGTTGATGACTTTTCGGGATTCAAGGCTGCAGGATCTATGGTTGCAATCGGCACCAGTCTTGGTAGAGTTCTGATCATGAGATTCGCGCTGGATGGCGATGAGGCATTACCACTTCTCAAGGATTGGCGGACTGGTAAAAGAGAAACATGAGGGCCGTATACGACAAAATACAGTGGCTTAGCAACTGTTTACTCCTGAGCTCTACACCCCAATAGGAGCTGCTGTGGGCGGAATCAGTACTCAGGTGGGTGACCACCGGGGAATCCTCGGTGTTGTATTTTTTTTGTCTGCTCTTCTTTTTCTCTCTATTTTTGTTTATAATTTAGAATCATGTCTCAGGTATTGCCATCACTGGATAGATTTGTTGTTCTTTTGACCTTGCTTATGGCTGATTGTTGCAACTTTTGGTTCTTTCCAAGACAAGTTTTGTGGGCTTAATTCACCATACGTACATAGTCTCTACAAATTATAATTACTTGCTAGATGCGTGCGTCGATAATGAAGTATGACGGCAACGCAGATACTTTCGAGAGCACATCATCTCTTCTCGACCGCTCTCTTGGTGTGACAATGCCAAAAGTTCTTGCTAGCTCAGCCAAGTACTTTACATTATATGACAGCCTGCCATAAGACTGCAGGAACTTTTCGACCCGTTGTCTTAGATTGGGTAGGTATCAATTTCAGGCGCCTTGAAATCTTTCAGCCCGGCTGAGAGCTGAGTAAAACTTTAACATTTAAATTGATGCTACTGCGGCAGACAGCGAGGCTCCCGCTGATAAATGAGGTCTTCTTGTGTCCTAGAGCTAAGACACACGCATAACGTTGAGCCAATTAGAAATAATTGTCAGAATCTAGGACTAAATTATGCCTAGTTTCATGGATTTTCACGAGGAAGGCAACTTCTACGAGTAATATCGGTGTGTTGACCTCACTTTTCTCATGGGTATTTAAAGTCCTTTCATGTTTTCACTCACAATGAATGATCTCTTGGCCTTCCATCACAAATCTACAATGATGAACGACCTCCGAAATTATTTCTCATCTACTAAAAGTTACCTTTAAACCTCATAATCACCTGCAATAATGCGCTTCACTACCACTCTTGTAGGCTTGTTTGCCCTCGGAAGTGCCACCGCCGCCCACTTGCGCCTCCCTGAAGGTTTGCCCGATGGCCATTACTCGGGCGACGGCACGATTGACCCCAAGACTGGCTTTGCAAGGTACAAATATCTCGGGCCCATTGACGAGTATGCCCTGAGAAACAGGACCCTGGAGAGTCGGAATGAGGAGAGGATCGGTAGCCGTGATTCTTGGAATGGGATCAAGTGCAACGGACGCGGCGCTGGTGATAGCGTGTCGATTGCACAGCAGGCGTTTGCGGCGCATTTTGACGGTTACACATTCAGTAACAAATGGGTCAAGACCTTTAAGGGTTCCACGCAAGCATTGTAAGCCAAGATTGCAATCCCTCCCCCTCGTTCCCTTGTTGCTCTCTCTTGCTCCTTCTCTCGCGAATCCCATGTCTAGCAACAAATCGGCAGTGAAAAAATCATCAAGTCTAGTTTCTATCAATGAATATTTTCTGACCTTGGATACCCCTTTCTAGCGCATGCAACTATGGGGGAGTCCAGACCGTGCATAGGAGCGACTTCGAGGACAGAATGGGAGGCGTAGATTCTATTTGCGGTTCCGGACAGGCCGGTTGGTATGAGGACCATGAGTGGAAGTTGAATTATGGAAGAGACTTTATCAACAGCCAAGTCTGTTAGATTTTGTGCAGACATCCAGGTCTGGAACGGTGGTTGTGCGGGATAGGCAAGTGTATAGCCCTGGCTGGGCATATTTGAGCATTCAGACCTTAGTTGTATTCTCCATCGTCATTTGTTCCATTGTCATCAAAGTCAACATACCTCATTCAACATAGGGGTTGGTATTTTTCAGCTCTATATACTATCCGCGTTACTTTAGAATTCTTTGAAAGTCTTCGCTGCAAGTAGGTTGAAAAAACGAGTCGGCAGTTCTCAATATTGAGCAAAAGGAACTGAGCGTATGATATGTACCCTATAATATATCGCATCCGTCACGACTCCCGCCTTTGGTTTTCAAGGATCGTTGCCACAACGCCATCTCCCTTTGTGCTAACAATTTTATCAGGAACTGTGAACACGGAACAATCAGGCTCAATTTGTACCAAGGTTGTCCATCAACTCCACGTTGTCCACTCCATGAACTATTGTTCCCACTTCATATACTTCTCGTGGCGCGAATACAGCTAGTGGTCTTGGCAAGCAGATTCGACACGAAGCTGTGCCTCGATACTTGGAGCAGAAATTCGAAGAGGATGACTTAAACAATAGAAAGGACTGGGGATCTTGGCTATTTCATACGGAGCGGGCTATCTCACATGGCCATCTCACAGGAGATGTCTAAACAATGAATATCATAGTACCTTCATGGATGTTCGTAAGCACTCTAAAACTCAATCAAGACCAATCACACCTCAGATATGTATTTTTAACAATAACTGCCTGTTTCAGAGGTCCATTATGGTAGTTTTTCAATCTGTCTTTTGTTTTCTTTTGGAAAGTCGACCCAAATTGGTAATAGCTGGTGATGATCTTTTACCATCAACTCATCAGAATGTGTTATGCGAATATCTCACAGGAACCCCATTGATACATCGCTGCATTCGTTTACTCGGCATAAAGAGAAATAATGCTTCAGCATACACGAAGGATTATGCTCATCAATTATGCCTGACCATTCCTGAATTGATGACCATAATATCAATTATCGACACTATGAACAACACAAAGATGCGGAAAGACCTGGATCTCCATCGAAGGACCTACCACTACCAAAGAGTTTGAGCTCAGATGCACTTTTCTGTCATTTAACTTATAAAGACAAGGCGACCAAAATACGACACATTTAGCGTTCATGAAAACAAAGCTTGGTCTTCAAATCCAGTTGCCAACTGGTCTCTCGTGTAAATCATGTTGCAGCCCAGCAGGCTCTCTGCAGTACTCCCAAGTATTCTAACCCGTGGATCGTTCAGCATGAGAATCCAAGGCGGAAGACCCCTGACAATCTGCTGGAAAGGTTGCACCCCGTGGAGTGGAGACATCGTCAGATACATCTTGTTCAAGCACACTCACCGTCTGGGTAAGTTCAGCTGAGTCGTGCTCAACTGCGCAGTCTCCGAGGGATTCATTAGATGAGTACAGTCCGAGGTCGCTATGGCGGCATTTCTTATGGTCCTTTCTTGTTGCCAATCGCATGATCTTCTTCCCGAGTGTGGGACTCCAGAGTCTGCTTGAAGACCTTCGATGGACTGGTGAAGGACTACGACCCATCCACTCTGACTCGCTCAAGTTGGTAGACGCAAGCGGCGATACAGCAAGCTCTCCAAAGAGAGTGCTTTCTGAGGCGGAAACGGGGACACGGGGACGCATTTGGCGCGAAGAATGTAAAACTAGAGGGCTTGTGAATTGCGCAATTTGATGCTCAAGAACGCTGTCGGTCGTGGATAAATATCTCTCTGGCGGTGGGAGAGCCTGCGAAGAAGAAGAAGCCACAGAGGAGGGCGAGGAACGCTCATAGTCAGAGAAGGAGTTGCCTTCTCCCATCTCAGGCTTCCTTTGAGGCAGCTCCACCATGGATGGAATTGAGCTGAGCACAGTACGTGCCGTTCCGACCCGGATATCCTCATCTAGTAGGTTGCCGTTGTCGACATAATTGGCGACAGACGGCGTGAGTGATGGACAAGTAGAATGGACTGAAGATTGAGAGGCATGCCGTGATCTCGGTTTGGGAGGATCTGGAAGTGGTCGGTTGTAAATATCTTCCTCTACCGGGTCCTCGGGAGTTTTGATTGACTGTCGACCATCATCCACAGTTGAGACAACATCCAGGAGCTCTGGACGACCCCCCTAAGAGTCGCCCTTTGCAGCCACATCTATTGTATTTTCATTCAAGCTTGATCCTTCCGGCCCGCAGACGACCGAGTTGGTATAGGTCTCACTTTCGAAGACAAAGTCAGTAGTTGTCGATGCGATTCCTGCAGGTTGTCCGCTTTCGCTGATAGGCGATTCGCTTCCTGTAGAGCAGTCTGAGTCGATCGTGGGTAGGAGAAATCTGGATTCGGATTGCGGAATGAGGTTCAATTGTAGCATGTACTTCATTGATCTGTAATGAAAACGGAACGAAGCGAAAGGGGCGTCCTTGGGATCGATGAGAAGCCAGTCATAGTAGTTGGCGTCTTGAGGGTTCTCGACAAGTCCCCCGCTTGGTGAGCTGTCTTGATCAATACCTGATTCTGAAGATGGGAGGAAGGGATATTTTACGCGATTCCATATCTTTCCTGGTTACGGAATTCGGCCATCTTGGGAGCACGCCGCCTACGGCCTTTGGAGCGAAACACCTGGACCTCAATCATACCACCATCCTCCGCGGCAGATTGTGTGTCCAAAGCTGGCATGAAGAAGAAGTATCTCGTTTCTATACCGATCGTTCGTCCTTCTGTATCCATGCTGGTGTTGGTCCATCTCTCTCCCGGCTCATACAGAGCTCTGACCACGGTGCCACCGATAGGCTGCTGTGGTTGGGTCTTCTTTTCAATGTCGCCCAGAATCCCCCATGACGTAATGAGCGCGCCGTTCATGAACATTTTAAAGTACAGGTGGGTTGCTGGAGGTGGTGTTCGGATGATGCTGTATTTTAACCAGAACTGGTCACCTGTGTTGATAATTAGCAGGCCTTCTTATCGCGTACATGGAATACCTGTAATGTGACGAATGGAACGGACTTACCAGGCATGGACGGGACATAGACTGAAATGCGAGGGTTGGTTTTCTTCTGTCGTGCCGGATCTCCATCTGAGATGATTGAGGAGTCGGCTGCTTTCGGGCTTCCGCTGTCAGTGTCTGGCGACACAAGATGGACCGAGGATCCATCCGGGTGAGGGTACTCGGGCAGGCTCTTTGCATCGGCGCTGGCAACGACAGAAATATCTATTCCCCGGAAAATGGGCATCTTGAGTAGCTGACAAACGTTGATGTGGAAAATTTGATAAAAATGACGGTTTCGCTCGGAATTGCTGGATGGCTACCTCGTGTAATCCTGCGACCAAACGAACGTCGCAAGTAGGATTGGAATGACGAAACTTGGGTGGGTGTGTGCCTCAGGAGGCCTGAGTGAACAAACGAGGACCAAGGTGCAATGTGGTCTTTCGGCGCATTCAAGGTTCAGCAGACTGAAGGAAGTAAAAAGGACGAAGCTATCAAGGTGTTTGCCACGCCCCTACTTAAGCTTCTATGGGTGAGTTTCGCGGAAGGCGCAATGCATGCGATTTTTGAGTACCCCAATGGAATAATCACTTCTTACATACAGAAGGTTGGCAGCAGTATCGATCTTTATCAAAACCGCATTTTTCCAAGGCAAAACAAAATGACAATTATAAAGGGCATGGGCGTCTCTGGTCGGGGCCCTTTGAATTTAAACTCATATCCTGTGTAAGCGTCAATTGGACTCGTCACACAAAAGATAATGGTGCATTTTCAGAACTCCCTGATGATGTTCCCTTGTCCATTTATTTAATTTTTCAGGCTCGTTTCGGCTGTGATCAACATTTGCAACGTTGAATCCATGATACTGAAGGCATTGGGTTTATGGCGCCAAATGATCATGTTCTCCACATCATGTTGATGCCCGAACAGTACGGCACTGAAATCATGACGGGCTTGATCCATGTTCTTGCACAATGATTCTATTCCCTTCTAACAACCGATACCTCATATGTACACGTCCGGAAAGAGGTCGAAAGCGGTGTTTTTCCCATGTCATCCTATTGCAATCATTTCTCGAGAACCTTCTTCGTGTCGTCGTCCTTGTCTAACAGTCCCAAATTCCTTATTTGACCTGCAGTCGGTGCGCTGTCGCGTCCTGCAGAGGACTCGGCTTTCCTAAAAGCAGATTGGAGTGCTCTTGTTCTGGCAGCCTGTAGTGACTCGTCTGATTAGCTTTCCATCTCTAATTCCATTGGGCGCTGGACGCTCTGACCTCCTTCTTGTGGTGCAGGCACTCGTAGTAATCCTCTAGGATTGGAGCGCACTTCTTCTTTCCCGAGTCATCCTCGGCAGATGTGTTGACGACGTAGCAAGTCAGAACTTCTTGCCAGAAGGGAAAGCATCGGCCGGGGCCTGTAGATCGCGATGAGGTCAGTAAATGGAGCAATTGATGGTGGGGCGGGTGTCTTTACCTCCATGCAGACCGTAGCCGGAAGCCATTGTGAATAATGAAGCGTGAACAGCGGTGCTGGCGTTGTGCAAGAATCAATTGAGCGCCCAAGACTGTTCGCTTCACGAGATGGACGCTTGACGTTGCGACGGGATCACGGAGCTGGCCCAAGTTCAATGGTAGATTCGGGCTTTGTGGCTGCAAAAGTGGAGCTCGGGCCACGGTTCGCATCCCTGTTGTGGCGCACGGAGCTTCTTGTCCCCCAATTGACGTCGACGTGTAAGTAATAGAAGCCGAGTCGTGAATTCTGACGATTTAGCACCCGTTTTGCGTCGCAGAAGACATACAACATATCCGGAGTGGGCAGAAGATGTGCGCGGAACCTCCAAGATGTCGTCCCTCTTGTCGCCGCCAAAAGTTGTACTTTTAGCTGCCAACTTTGCTACCAAATCCGACATTGACAGCTTGACGGCCCTGGCTCTGCGATACGACAAGGTCTTGCAAAAGGAGCTCCTGCTGCGCATACTGTTGACCTGTCTCCCCGAAACTACCGAAGCCGATCAATATGTTCCACTACTGCAGCTCCTAGAATCAGAAGAATTCGAGTCTCACGACCCGCAAGAAGTCGATACTGCGTCCATCGAGGACTTTACCGATGCCGAAATCCTGAAGAAGGTCCGGAAGCTGCGACTTCGGCCCCTCAACTCGCCAGACGTTCCGGCAGCGGCAGAAGATGACCTGCTGAGCCAGTTTATTATTGCTCGAGCGCATCGCGTGGACGAAGAGGCGGGCCTGCTCACAAAGCTCCCGGATCTCATTGTACCATTCCTGGACCACTCCAACTGCATACGGACATGGATGATTTCGGCATTTCTACCTCTGCTGAGACGCAACTACGAATACTACGCGGACGCGCCAATCCCCCAGACCCTGTCGGAGTTTGAACAACTAAATGATCGGGCTGCTGTCAGTTTGCTTCTGGATCAGACTGGCGCAGGCGAGGATTTGTCAAATGTTGGCCGCGACCTGCGTGGCCTGATTGGTCCATGGCTTTACAGCGAATCAAGGTGGAAACATGAAAAAGGTGTGACGAGCAATGATGGGCAGCATGCACAGAGCAAGTCATGTCCTGGATGGGAACAGATGCTGGAGTGGCTCATCACACAGGCAGCCAGATCATGGAAAGTTGCAGTAAAGACTATTGAACAATGGGACGGCCCCAGTGATGTTGATCTGGGCGGCTTGGGATCCATGTGGTTTCAAGACGAAGAGCAAGGATACTTGGAGTCGAGGTACGCCCGGGCTGCATTGGCAGCTGCATACTTGGTTCCAGAAGCTTCAATCGAAGCTCTTTCGGGCGTCAATACCATTATCACCAAGGTTACCGGCCTGCTGGGCGAGGATCCGACGCCCACTCTCCAAGTTGCATCGTCCCTTCTCTCGCCCCTCAGCGAGATTGCCAATGAGTCCATTATATCGGCAAAGAATGCTACATTTATGCGCAACGACTTATTAGAAGAGTCCAACGTCCTAACAGCGCCAAATGAGCTATCTACACAAGTTCTACATGCACTGAATCTCAGTGCCTATATTCTCACAAAGGCAGGGGCGCCTTGCAGTATTCGCAGAGCTGGAGAGCTGGCTTTCCTTCAAGACGAAAGGGAACAAAAGAGCGAGGCGTTAAAATTCATTGGTACTTTGCGCGACAACGCAGCCAAGGCAGATGACAAGTATTGGATCAGGGCACGCAATGAATTGCTGTGGCTACGTGATTGGGGTGCTGAGGAACTAGCAGATTCTGCTTCGTCTCCGACCAAAACCCACGGCGTGTTTGGTCAAATTAGCAAGGAGTACTTGGAGATTGAATGTCTCAAAGCCTTCTTGGCCAGCGGACGTAAGCAAAATGCTCCTACCTACACAACTACGGATGAGACTAATGGCTATTAGGATATTCTCTGGCAAGGTCGATATATGAAGACTCTTACGAAAAGATTCTCTCAGAAAATGTGCTCGAAAGCACTATCGTAGGCGCAGCCATGAACGCGTACGATAATGCATCGAATCCCAACCGCACTCGAGGTGGATTACTCAAGTGCGATGACATGTAAGTTCGTGCGTGTCTTCATATTATCAACACAGCTGACAGTTACACAGTGTCCATGAATTTCCCAAGACACTTCCTCCAAACAGCCCGTCTGCCAGAAAAATCGAGGCTCTGCTTAAAGCGACCCACGGCCTGAGCACCTATCGTCTTGCTCTCAAGCAAGGAGAGCCTTTCACGCCGGTTGTCTTGCGCGTTCATTCAGACCCAGTATCAATCATTGGCAAAGTTCTGGAACAGAACCCCAAAAGCTACACCAAACTACAAGCTTTTCTCGAAATAGGCGCCAACATGGTGGAGGCAGGTTTATTGACACCAAAGGCGTCTGAGAGGCTCTCAACACCAGTGGAGGATCTGCCCACCCAGCAATCAATGGTTGAGAAACGAGTGATATCCATGTGCATCGATGCTGCACTCACCGAGGACGACTTTGAGACCGCATATTCATATGTCGTCAACCGTCTGGCAACATCAGGAACTGCACCTACATCAGCCGATGAATATTCCTGGAAGGCCGCACTGCAGGCTGGTAAGTACCGCCGCACCGCGCGTACTGTCCGTCCCACCCATATCGGTACCTCGAGTGGCAATCTCGATATTCGCCACTTGGAGCAGCGCATAGAGTGCCTATCAACAGCATTACGTATCGCTCCTCCCGATACGCTGCAAGAGATTCTCAATGTCTTTCGCCGCTGTGAGGAGGAGCTGGATGCTGCTGTCAAGGCCGAAGAACAGCAGGAGTCCGCCTGGGATGACCAAGGAGACGTTCAAGCCATGCCCGGTGCGTTTAGCAGCACAGTACCAGCTGGCGTGGTCAGACACAACAATACAAGATCAACAAGACAACAAGAGGAAGCACCAATGTCCTTGTTTGATCTCTCAAGAGCCACCATGGCTCGCGCACAGCGTAACCTTCCTGCGCTCTCAAGCCTGCAGCGCAGCGAACAACACGGAGCAGAGCATGCATCCGAAGAGGACGACAGTCAACGAGTCCGAAAGAGAGACCAGCTCAGAGAAGCTGCCGTGGGAACGTTGGCATCCGGCGTAGGCTGGCTAATTGGTGCACAGCCCGTACGACCTCAGGACAATGAGTAGAAGAGATGAGATCGTGGGCCATGCCTACGTGTGATGATTGTAACGATAGCCCTGCAAAGGTTCTGATAATAATACCCCTTCATCGTTCACGGCTTGCAAATCAGAGCTTGTATAATTGAAATAATGCGAAAAGAATCAAACTTTCATCTTGGAACCCAGACAACCCAGCCGGAGGCTAAAAGACAACTGCCATACTAACTAAGGTATCTATAAAAAAAAAGTAGAAGAATCTGAAACCCCCTCCCCCGAAATATTGTTCACTGCCACATGGCATACATGTCCGAATGACTACTAGTGACAGGCATGCCCAGCCCAGATTATTTCCTAACCTCTACCCATAGGTGAGCTCTTTAAAAATCCCTTCTCATCATACAAACCAAGGCTCTCGGAACTCGTTCCCGCAACCTCTGCTAACGCAACCTGGAGCCGTCCCAGCTGTTTCTCCTGGTCCATTTTCGCACCTTCGGGTTTCCCGAGATTCCCTCCGCTCACCTCACGAAGCACATTGCCCGTCCGTCTCGACTCTAGCGACCTGCCGGCCGCCCCGGCAAAGTCACCCATATTACCACCGCTCAGCATGGTCCCCCTCCGCGACCGAGCACCCGACCGCATCAGACCCAAGCCCCGTGGGGCCTCTACCGCCATAACCTCCCCAGCAGAAACAGCACCAACCAAGCTCGTCGGCCGCCGCTGCTGCTGCTGCTGGGCTCCCCGTCTCGGACTTCCCACGGCCAGGTAATTGCGCGTGCCACCAGTTTTCTTGCCGGGGCTGAAGCCGCCACCGCGCATGGCTGGCAACGTCGGGCTGGATCTACCCCCTTCGTCGTCGGCCGTCGTGGTGGTGGTGGCCACGCTACTGGCGCCGCTCGCGGCGCTCACGCTGCTGTTCATGCGTCGGAGCTCGGCGACCGTGTGGGCCAGGACGTGCGAGGTGCGCTGGGGGTTTAGATTGGGAGCGGCTGTGATTAGTGGCGGCACGACATCGTCCTCGTCGTGGTAGTCGTCTCGGGATCCGTCTTGTTGTTGTGGTAAGCCCAGCAGGCCTAGACCCAGACCCAGACCTAGGCCCTGTTGTCGGCTCTTGCCTTCATGTTCTTGGTCCTGTGAGTATACAGAGTCCACCGAGACAAGGCGCTCGACGTGCGGCCGGGACTTGGCCCTGGTCGTGCTGGTAGCGGTACATCTGTCTACCAGGCCCGGAATAGACTCGCGGGGGTCTTTTGCTTCCCCCTTTGAATTTGCGCTCTCATTTGTCGGCACCGTCGTCAGCGTCGCCGTGCTGCTGTAATTCAACGTCACGCCTCCCTCGCTAGAGGCATAGCTCTCGTAAACAGATGAGAGGCCCCCCTCGGACAGTACCGGGCTCGGCCGACGCGGCCGGGCGCCAAGCGTGGGCGAGCTCGTCATGGGGCGTAGCTCCTGCTGTGGTGGTGGGAGAACAATGGCTGGCCGTATGCGGTTGCCCTTGGGCGACGGTGTGGGCGTCACCCGCACCATTGGATGTGTAAGAACGGTCGACCATCCCTTGAATGAAGTGTCGGTGCCCTCGTCGCCACCACTGTCAAACTCTTCAAAGCTAGAGGAAGGAATCGGAGTAAAGACTTGGGAGAGTCGCACCGGGTCCTGACCAGGAGGTGTCTTGGCCGTGATGAACGGGTCGTCGGGTTCCTCGTCCATGGCATAAATGGTGAAATGAAGAGACGTCTCGCGCGGCAGCCATGCCTTGACTAGACAATCGCTCGCGCTGCTTTGTCCTTGGGCATCCTTTGGATCGGGTAGCGGCCTCGGGGGTAAAAAGGTCATTTGGCCCATAGTGCCCCTCTTGGCATTATACGGTCCAAGTCGGGGGCTCTCCCCAGCTTCAAGGGGAAAAACACCTGGGGCCAAACCGGTTTCCCGATGGCCCGCCACCCCCTCATCCTCGCTGTACAGTGTAGAGAGTGCCGACGAGTGTGAGCTGGCAACAGAGTAAGGGCGTGTCGGCTGCTGATGTAGTGGAGTATCCTCGCGTCGTGGTATGGGCTCAGCAATCTTGACGTTGCGGCTCGGGCTCGACAGCGCCGTCGTGTGCTCGGGTTGTGACGTGGCCCGCATGGTGACCATGCTGTCGGCCTCGGAGGCCAGTGACATGTGAGAGACCTGACGGCTGTGCTGATGGTGGTGATGAGGTTGTCGGCTGGGCGTTGACGATCCTAGTTCCGGCGGGTTCTGGGGCTTGGTCGGCGAAATTTCATTTGCTTCCAGCTCTGCGCACATTATGACGGCTGGGGCGCTCTTCTGACTTTTAGTAGGACTGGATGCTCTGCTGTCGACTACCAAGTTCATGACGGTGGAGTGCTCATAACAAGACGGGTCCAAGTCGCCGGTCCGCGACCGAATCAGCATTGTCTGCCTCCGCGAGCTTCTCTTTCCATCCTGTAATCTTTCCGTGGTCATCCGGAGAATTTCGCTCAATTCGCTGTCGGTGGCGCTGTGCTTTGGTACTGATGGGCGTTGCTGCGTATTCAAAGTCCTGGCGTTACTCACGAGTAACTGCGCCGCATCCAGCCCGATGCTGTTGCGGTGTCTCGGGTTATTGATCATGGCGGACGGAGGCCTGGGCACGGGGAGTATGGGAGCAGAGACGGCACTTGGAATAGCAATGCGCACCGTATTGTGTTGGCCAGGCTTCAAGGGGCTGTCCTGAGAGTTGAATACTGGGGGTGTCGTAGCACCACCATCATGAGACAGGGACATGGGTCTCCTTTGTTGCGATCGCCCGCGGTCCTCTGCAGCGGCTCCAAGCCCTCCTTCTGCCGAGTGCTCCATGTGCGGCAGTGTTGGACTACCAAAGATGACCGAATCGCTCAACGGTCTCTTCAAGCTCAGTTTCCGCGTTAGGCTACCGGCCAGCAACCATGATATCCCCCTCTTCCCGCCTTTGCTCGCACTGTTTCCAGTTTCCTCCTTTATTTTCCTCTTCTTCTTCTGCGGGCTCACCTTTGGTCCATGGAGCGCGTCCTCGTCGATCCACGAGCCCCTACGTCTCATCTGATACATGTCGCGTCCCCTCTGCTTCTCCATGCGCTGGTTCTCCTCTCTCTCAAAATCGTCATCCCTCCCTCGCGTCGAACTGCAACCATCATTGGATGTCCCCGGACCGCTGTTGAGAAACGAATTCAAGTCATAACTCTGCTGTCTCGAGAATATGGGCGGCAGCACAGGAAGGGTCACACTCTGATGACTTGCCCACCCCGCGGTGCGATCCGTCATTTCTCCATCGGATCCGGCAGTTGAGTATCCGTTGAACAGGAGCGTCTTCTTCCGGAGCCGATTCTTGCCTCCCAACGGCATGTCCGAGTCGTATGGATCGAAAAAAGGTGACGACGAGGCATGATTCAGCTGGCCCAGAGCCACGGGCGATTGTACGGCGTGGGCATGGGCCTGGAGCAAAGCAAGTCTCTGGCGGTCGCGACGACGGCCCAGCACTATAAACAGATGCGATAGCGCTAGGAAGAGAACAAAGCTCCCACCGAGGGCGATGCCTATAATGGCGGGGCGGGAGAGGATGGCAGAGTGCGATGAGGCAATATCATCTCGTCGGATACGTGCTGCAAACTGTTGGACACTGGGCATGGCAGAAAAAAGAGAAAGAAAGGTCGTCAGACGACAGACAAGTCTTGCCGAGGGCTTTCGATTATTATGATTACGATTACGAATAGAGAATGGGTGAATGGTTGCTGCTCAACTTCTAGCGATATTCTGAAGATGCTGCCTGGGAAACAAATGACATGCCTCGAAAATGGTGATGGTCGTCTTATTGTTAGCTTTCAGGACCTGAAGCAATCCTAGAAAGATACATTAGAGAGGCATGCAATGTAAACAAGCCTAGACTTAGATGATGATAATTTGGCCGCAGGAATGTGCAACTTGCCTGTGTCAAACATTCCAGTCGCTCGAGTGAAATGAGACATTGCGGCTGGTCGGTAGGTCATATCAATCATAGATTAGAAGACAAGAGAACTAGTTCCCAATCATCAACGATGCTTTGCTAGAGGTCGGAGAGAGAACCAGCCTAGCCATGGAGAAGATAAATTTGAGAACGAGACTAGATGCCGATCTTATTCTGCATCTCAACTCTGTTAGCAAGGAGCAAAGAGCAAGCTCGAGGATGGAAACATTTCACAATTTCACGATTTTGTACTGGAAATCAATTTTTGGTTCAATGAATTCAGATTGCTCTTTGTGAAATTTTAAGCCAACGCGGTGAGTTCTTGTGGTCCCATCCCTTGCCAGAAGAGACGTTCCATCCATATGCATCGTCGTTCCATCTGCGATATCAGGGAGGGCCTACGACTGCCCAGCCGCTTTTCTGCTCTGTAACGCCAATCCGCAACCCCCTTATGCAATATCAACCAAGTCAGCACTTTGCCTCCCACACCGGTCAGCAGGAAACCCTAGGTAGCACTGGAGCCAACCCAGTAGTTTCTCTGCCGAAAACACACGGCGCAAAGTCCAAGGGTAGTCGAAAAAGTGTCATGAAGCATATCCGGGCAAGAACCGTGAGCCGCGGAATATGATGCAATATCCATCGCCATAGCAAAATGTGTGGTTCAAGTATCTTCATGAAGAGAAAAAGAAGCTGGATATCACTTAGAAGTGGCCAGCGTGGTGGTGGTGGTTGTGACGCTTCAGGTGGTCACGCTTGCGCTCGGCAGGGCTGACGGTGACGGTTGTAACGGTGTCCTCAGTGACGGTGACAACAGCCTCCTCGTACACAATCTCCTGGACAACGTTGCCGTTGGTGATGTACGAAGTGCTCAAGACGGCGTATCCATCAGCGGCATCCGAGAGGCTGGCGGCAGCAGTGGTAGCAGGAGCGGCGACCTTACCGGCGCCCTGAACCGAAAGCACGCTAGTAGCGGAGGCCGAAGAGGAGGCCTGCTCGAAGAAGATGGCACCCGAGGTGGAAGAAGCGGGCTTGTAGGTCAAAGTAGGCGCGCTGTAGGAGGTGGCAGCGGACGAGGAAGAAGTCTTGTAAGATGAAGCCTTGGAGGAAGTGCTCTCGCTGCTGCCGCCAGCGTTGGCAGGCTCGGGACCGTACTTGATGGCGACGTTACCGGGGAGAGACTCAAGAATGTCGACAACGCCACCGACGACGTTTTCAAGGGAAAGGGTGAGGGGCATGGACTCGATGGAGCATGCACGCTGGTCCTCCTCGCTCTGAATGTTGAACAGGGGGCAGTCACTAAGCAGACCCGACAGGTTCGTACACTCGTCAACGGCAGACTGCAAGAAATCCTCATCCCAGCCAGTGATGAAATCACCGTGGTATCCGTATCCTATAATGACCATTAGCAATAATAAACATGACCGTATAGTGGCCAAGACTCACCAGTAGGGTCTCCATTGCCCAGCACAAAGGTACCATCAACACCGACGTAGTTGTAGGTGGCCCAGATAGTCTCGTAGAAGAGAGTGACAACACGGGTCTCGAAACCGTCAGGGCAGGTACCGTCCTGAACCAAGTCGGGGTAGGCCATGTGGCTCTTGTGGTCGTCGGAATCGAGGTCCTTGCCGTTCCAGCACGAAGGGAAGGCCAGCTCGAGACGGAGGCCATCGGGGCAGTTGGCGTCGAGGTAAGACTTCTCGGGCATGTAGTGGCGGTACAGAGATGCCTCAGCGTCCTTATCATAGTTGAGGCAGTTGAAACCAAGAGCGCGCTGGGCCAGATCGGTCTGGTTGGTCTGGCCGAGAGCAGCCCACTCAGACTCGGGAGGGTCAGCCTCAGAGGGGTCACCTAGAGTGTAGTTGCGGCGGTTGGTGTCACCAGCAAGCATCTGGAAGCCCTCGGGGAAGGCCTGGACGTCATCACCACGGAGAAGATAGTATCTGTTATGAGACTTAGCAACCGAATCACGACACTCAAAGAAGGGCGGGAGAAAAGATTTCACTTACGCAAGCATACCACCATCCTGCTGGACAACCTCGAAGGTGCCGTTGGCGAACTGGAAGTACAAGGGAGGGGTCCAGTACTCAGACATGTCCTGAGTGACGGCACAAGAGGTACAGTTGCCATCCTGGAGAAGCGAGGTGGTGGCAGACTCAGAGATACCTATAGTGAATGAGTCAACACAAAATTCACAAACAATTCACGGCGCATGTGCGAAATTTGCGCCATGGTGGGAAGAGGAAACTGCTTACCGCTGGAACCGTGAAGAGTGTGAACGTGAGTAGCAGTCTCGCCGAAGTTGACAATGGGGTCAATACGGGCGAGGGCAGTGCGACCACGGCACTCCATGCGCCAGAAGGCATTGACACTGCCCAGGGCATTGAGCATGACCATGGAGGACAAGAGTCTGGGAGCCATTTTGACGAATTGGCGCAGACTAGGACGTGGGAAGTAGTTGATTGATGAACAATATCAAGAACGGAATCCGCAAAGAACCAAATTGGCGAAGTTGAATTGCGAACAACCCAACTTGATTGACGATTGGGTTGCTTTTTCGAAGGTGTGCGCAGGTGAAGAGGTCAGACCTGACTTGATTGAACTTCGACGGATTGAAGCTCGAGGTTGAGAGCTTGGGCGTTTGCACCTTCCTCTGTTTATCTTTCCTCCCAAATAGGTTGGTCACCTGACGACAGTCGCGATGGCGGGCCTGGGAGTGATTTGGTTTCGAGGTCGGCGTTTGCACTCTCGAGAGATTGGAAAATCAGTAGCTGCCTAGCCTAGAAATTCCAAAAGATGGCTTTTTTTGCTGCTGTGCGGTCGTGTGATGACGATGTTTTTTTCTGGTTTATGTCTTTTTTTTATCGAACAACGTCGGCGATCACAGACCGTGAGAAAAATGAATGCACTGTATGTAGTATCTATCGACTGACGACCCTGGGTTGATCACAGGTGAATGAAGGAATGAATGGGGTCGGAAGTTGACGAAGCGAGTGAATGTTCGAGACACACACGTCAAAGGAAGGACGGAATGCGTTCACGGTGGTGGTTAGGAAACAAGAAAGAGAGTAAACGCTTTTGGCGGCGAGATGGACGGTGGTGTGGTCAAAAGGGAAAAAGGCGAGGACTACGACTACGACTACTACTACCACTCAGATCGTACCAAGTACCACGGTTACATTACTAAAAGTAGGCAAATAGTGCATGTACCCCGTTGACCAGACGGGGGTTTGTTTGAATGCGCAATGAAGAGAGAGAGTGTGGTGGTGGATCAGATAGTATTGGGCGTATGTGGGAGTGAAGCCCGCCCGGTGTCGATTATGGACAGTGAGTACATTAGTTGAGGTACCTAAGGAGTGGAGCCGCCATGTGGAGTACGTAGGTACAAGGTAGGTGGCGGCAGCGGCAGCCAGTGACAGGGATTATGGGTACAGGCAGGGTCAAGCCGCACGACAGAAGACAGCGAAGTGCACTGCAAATCCCATGCCTCAGCAGCCCAGCAAACCCAGCGTCCACCCTATCCATCAAATCACAACTTGCCCATCCATCCCAGCAGGAGGTCGGACAGGAACCAAGCGAGAGACATGGGTCATTCTTCATCTTGCTCTCTCTTGGATTGCTTGGCTTGGCCCTCTCTCTCTTTTCGCATATTTACCCTATCTATCTAAGTAAGCCTGTGCGTTTCAACCAACCACCGTCGCTTATCCGCGCGTTCTGTGCATTGTTCGATTCGAACCTGATCGTCCAGCCCTGGTAAGTCGAGTCGGTCGCCAGCCTATGAGAAGCCCCGGGTACCTGGCCCTCCTCATCTATCCCGATACGATCCCTTTTTCTTTCTTTCTCCCCCTACCCTCTGTGCCAAGTTCCAATTGCTGGTTCCCTTGTACCCTTTGCAGTGATGGATTCGCCGCCCCACATGCTCAGCGCGATTGTCCGACTCTCGCAATCTGCCCAACAGTGGTCTTTCCCACTTATACTGCCTAGCACTGGCCACATCCCCCACCGGCGCCAGCAAGTCACTGGAGATCCTAATGCTTGGCGAACTTGGCCCGCGGAGATTGAATCAGGATGCAGGGCATACGCACCTGGCACATGGTACGCAGCGCGTCAGTTCTACACTAGAAAACTACGTATGCGATGCCCGCCAAAGGGGTTTGCCCAGGGATAATCGCGCTTCCGTAGCGAACTAGTATTATATTAGTACGTGGGCCTTCTTAGCTTTCACGATGATGAATTGATTGAGTTGCGATTTGACACTCCCGCCAGCCCGCGACCGCCAGACTCTGGGGGAGATGACATGGAGGGGCGCACAACTGCAAGCCATCCCGCTCAGCCCGAGATCTAAGGTAGTAGTCGTAGTCGTAGTCGTAGTATGCAAACGCAGGCAGGTTAGTAATAATGCAGGTACGGTATGTAAAATGTAGGTATGTGAGGATAATGTAGTTGATGATGAAAAGCTCCCGTGGACCACGGCCATTGCATTGCAGTTAGGCGTTGCTTCTACACAGTAGTGCCATGCGCGAAACGTATCCGTCCAACGCTGGAATCTAACCAAAAGGTTACATACATTTATGATTTTAGATCCCGAGATTCAACAGCCTCAATATGGACCGACGCTTTGCATTTACTGCCAGCGCATCGCCGAGCTTGTTGCAATCAGACACTTCACACTTGCACTCAACCCGCCACTATCTTGTGTATCACAATGCACTACTCATTACAAACTTCCTTGTCTTCTCTTCATTGTTCTTCTTCTGTTTCGGTATAAGCGCTCGCCCTTCTAGAAGATGAGAGAGTGTAGCTCATCAATTTGGCTAAAAGTTGAGCCCCTCCAAAATTTCGCGCACTGCAGCTGATTAAGAGACACACACATGTCCCGCACCTTTCATCTAACAGGGCAGGTCCACTGGTGGTCTGCAATCATCCATTGGGCGTCTTCAAGTGGGATCATATGGGCGCATAAACTAACAACGGCCCAAGACGGTCGGAGCCAGAGGACGGTTGTGGTGTTGAGTCACTATTGAGTGTCTAGATATTAGACCTTGCAGATTGCTATCTATCATCTCTGTCTGGGCTTCTTTGTTGAGCTTTCCCCTGAACACAGGTGCCTGATGCTCGGTTCGTGATTGGATCATCCGGCTTGCGATGCCGCTGCATTGGTACTCACGCTCGGCTTCGTGCGCCTTTCGGAGAGTTGAGGAGGTGAGCACTTGTGTCTGTCATTCGATGCTCATCTACCACTATGAAAACTACTGTCCGGTATAATGCCTCGCTCGAAGGGAACAAAATGTATGGCTTTCTTTCTGGCCGAGCAGTGTATCAGAGTCACTCAACAACGATTAAATACTGCATATCGCCAAACACTCGGCAAAGCTTCCATGAAAGCCTGTCCCTTCTTTGGACAAGAAACGAGCAGAGATAGAGATTGCGTACAACATGACAATAGGAACACAAATGCCGTTGGCCCGTAAGATGATATCGGCGCGGCCTCGTTGATGCGATAATGCTGCAGCCTGAATGTGTCACAATGTTCGCTTCTTGAAAGGACTGATGTGGCCAGCACATTGCTTGCCTTCCACGAGCACGGGTAGCAGCTCTTGTGCACAGGAGATCATGCTGGCCGTCTCTTTGTTACGTACAGACCTGCTCAAACTTCCATAATATTCGGTTTCCACACGTACGGCCAGCCTGACGTGGCACAGTACTTGTACGGAGAAACCTCCTTTTGAGGCCCCATTTGGGTCGCTAGATGTGTGTAGGTATTGAACTTTCATGTTCAGTGTTGAGGCGAAGGATTGCAGAATTGTCAGTGCAGCAAGCGGTTAGAATCCTGACTATCCACCGAGGAGGTAGGTACTACACTGGAGTCCACCTGCTAGTGGCCATTCCCGAACAATACGAAAATACGAAAACTGCCGGCCATGACTACTTGCCATCCTCTCACTTTCTTTCGTCTCCTTGATGTTCTCTATATGCCATATCTTCTGCAGGAACAGTGATTTGATTGGCGTTTTTGGTGTTTGGTTTTACTGTTTTTGAAGCAGCCGACTGTCTTGACTGATCTTCATCATTTTGGCGGACGTTTAAGAAGGCTTGCAAGGCTTGTGGGATTGTGACTGTCGAAAACCATCCCGAAAGTAGAGGGGCTAGAGGGGTAGGAGGGGCAGTTCTCGCAAGGTTCCCCCTGGTCTCCCTTTAGTGGCGCCGAGATCTAATGCTGGCGATGACAGGGGCTTAGCGTTTCAAGTTTGACGGTACTAGCCAATCAGACACGATTATGCGGTCGCTCGACGCCTCCTTGGGCAAGAGGAAAGAGCCAGGGTTTCCGTTCCTGCATGGCGATCGACCGTTTCTCCCCTCCCTCCCTAAAGCTCCTGCTCGGTGCTCCCTCCCACCCCCTACGTTGTTCGGGAGGCGTCAGTTCCTGACTTTAGTGCCTGCTAATGGTCACTGACGACGACGTCGCCGAGCACACCGAGGAAAAAGAGGCCCCTCTCAGGGGTCCCCGGTCTGTCAATTTACCTGTGGTTTCGAGATGATGGAAAAAAGAATCGTCGCCCCTGATCCCAAAGACAGTTGACCAGGTTAAAGCTACTCATCACATGCCTTGACCAGGCTTCTATTAAACTGAGTCGCGGAATATCATGAAATCCTTTACAGGGTCCTTTTTGGAGGCGAGGAGAACGGGGAATCATACTAAATTGTCGCGAACACTGCATGCTTCTGTTGTTGAGTACACTAAACTCGGACGCTACATTACCTACACAGGCGGGAACACCGAGAAGCTGGCACACCATGATCAAGGCGACCGATTCCAAGAAATATATGAATCGCATAGAGAAGTGCAGTCTCCCATTCAGATAGACAGACTGAAAAGACGCGATCACTTGTGCAACCCTCATACGACATGATTCGAGTTCTTTTCTGTAAGTTTGCGGCTGGGGTGTGGAAGCAATGCCAATTGGCCAGGTGCTCACATAACGGCTTCGTCTATCTGGAAGACCAAGTCAACGTTCCCTCGTGTCGCACGACACCAATAAAAGCAAAGAGCCCAGGCTCATGGGCATGCCACAATTGCATCTCCAGTCATTTCGAGCTCATGATATTCTCAAGTTGCACAGCACATTAATTGTTTGTTGTTTGATGCATTTTGGGTCAATCACAAATCTACTTCTGGCACAGCGCCACCACCATGATGAGCACATTCGACAACGCATCATGGTATGACCAAAAATGCTAGGTACAATGGTATCATGATTGCAGCCGACCGCTTGGAATCACAACTGAAAAGCAAGCCCCGGTGTTTTAAGAAACGAAGGAAAAGAATAAACGTGTTTCTGGTTTATGCTTCTTTCGCTCCAGTAACGAGACAAAAGATCAGACTGAAGAGAGTTCTTTTAAGATGACAGGCTCATACTTTAAGCTTTCATCTTGATCGGATTGTCCATCTGGGGAAAGCAAGCCCGGGAACTCTCGTGGATTTGGGGTAGTGTTTAAACGTCAGATATTCTGAAACGGTACCTGTAAGATCTCCTGCAAGCGACTGCGCCCTGCTATCAGGGGAGACCTGGGAGACCTGGGAGACACATGGGGGTACGTTGCATCTTATAGTGACGATTACAATATCAGCCAAGCCAGTCCGGTGGACAATAGTCACATCTGCTCCGTGACTGCACCGACAAGATAGTATCGTGACAATTGAGTGCAAGAGCGTCGAACACCATTGGAGCCACGCCATGATTGACATCAACGAAGCTAGGCAAGATTGTAGTATAATGATGATTTACGTTCGATCAAGATTACACAACTTTACTCGTGAGACTGTCCGTTCTTGATTCCCAATTCGCCATGAAATGCCGCTTGTTCTTCTTTTTTCTCTTGGCTCATATGCTCCAAGGTCTTGGCTTTCTTGGCCCAATCATCCAGTCACTGATTTTGGCCTTCCAAGTGGTTAGTGAATTTCGGCAGAAGTAAGTGAGTGAATTGCCAGTAACACTCAAGTCCTCGTCGCCTGTGGGAGCACTTGTAGCTCTTTCTCAATTGAAGAGGATGGAGCTCAAAAGAAAAAAAAAATATTGCAGCATCCGTCGCATGATTCTCACGTTGGGCTGCTCTCGAAACCTAAGAGAGAAAGAAGAAGAAAAGGGGCATGGAAGAAGAAGAAGAAAGCATCCGAAAGTGACAGCCACTCTGCCTCGAACACACGTTCAGAGTAAAGTACTAATGTGTGAGGGCAATTATTACCGATGGGCGCCGTGGGAGAGTTATCAAAATGAGTCCACGAAAGAAACGATCTTGTTTATTTGCACAACTCTCATCTACATTTGCGAAGTGATGGTTGCGTACGATCATTTCTCAATTATTTCATGCTTAATAGTCGCCCAGCTCTCACGGAAACTCGCTCATAAGCTCTCCTATTGATGAGAGATCGTATGAGTACCGACAAAATATGGCCGCTTTCATGTGGTGTTTTTATGAGAATCACTGCTGCTCTAGTTGGCATTTAAAAGTCTCCACTTACATCAATCAAGTTCGAGAAAGGAGAGCTTATAGAAAGATCATGTGTATTGACATTGATGAGATTATGCCGCCTCGCTCACACGGCGTTGTAGGAAAAATTCGTGTTGGGAATGATGAATTAGGTGGTTGTGCTGAGTAGGTTTGTATAGGGGGAACTTTTAGAATAATGCCCTGGAAATTGCAAGTCCCTCCTCAATATTCAAATAATAAATTACAATCATCACAATGAATTACAGTCAACTATCGTTGATAATCTTTTCGTAGATCTAGACATGTCTCTATCAAATTCATTCCGTTTACTAACTGATGGCATGCCGCTTTGTAAACCTCAAAATGGGATATGCTCATATTATTCTCAAAACACTTGCATAAGCCAACCCAACAGATGTTTATCGTCCATCAAATTAGTTTCAAGTCATTTGCGAAGCTCATGAAAACCATAATATCTTCCAGTAGAATCAACTCTCCATTGATTTCGTTTGCGTGGCAAAGAACATTCCTGACACATGGATGAGATTCCAATTGTCTATTCAGGTCCAATTTTTCTCGGATTGTTATATTCTCTTGAGTATAAGAATTACCTGATCTGGGCCTATTTTTTTTAATACAAGTACAAAGTTGTTGTTACGTATATCGGTGGTAGGCAATTGTGGCATGTTCAATGCTATACAGTGTGGACTCTAGCTTAAGCATACTAGGCAATTACGTAATACTCTCTAGCTAGCCACACCTCCAAGCTCAAGCCACAAATGCACCATACAACCTCCCCACGTTGCTTGTCGCGTGTCGGCTTGCATGGTCTTTCTGTGAAAGCCTAATAACTACCTCATAATAAAACTGCCATTGCAGACACCATTTTAACCCAATGATGATAAGATACTTTTAATTGGCCTGCGACAATGGACGATCTGGCAGGACTCGACTGGTCTTCGACCAACCCCGCCAAGGGTGCCCCGAAGACGACAACCCCGTTGGGTATGAACCAGAATACCTTCTATCCGAGCCTTCAGCCCACGCCGCCTCCTCAGGTCTCCGGTCGCAACACGCCCCTATCGGCCCAAGGTTCTGGCCTGAATGCCCTGAAAGCGACGGCCACCAAGCCCGCCGGCGACAGCTTTAGCAACCTCGTCAACTTTGGCGGCGCCAAGAGCAATGCCAACCTTAGCTTGCGCGAACGGCAGGAGCAGCTGGAGGCCGAGAAGAGGAGGAAAGCCGAGGCGCAGATGAAGCAGATGCAAGCAAACTATGGAAGCGCAAACTGGGACAATCTAGGCTCGGCTGGACCATCACAAACGGCGTCACGAACGGCATCCCCCGCTGTACCTATAGCGGGTCCTGGAATAGGGGCATCTGCTGCAAAGAAGGCACAAAACGATGACGACGATCTCTTTGCAGCTTTCAACCGGAACACCAAGGTCGACAATGCGAGCCACTACCCCCCGCCTGTACAGCCGACATCCGGGAAGAGCACACCGGCTAGCGCTGCGAGACTGGACTTGAGCAGCGCAAGCGCTTGGACTGTGCCACCGACCTCGGGCGGCGGCGACTTTGGCAATGACGACGATCCATTTGGCTTGAACGATCTCAAACCCAAGAGCTCACATCAGGCGACTCCAGCTCCCGTCCAAAGCGCCGACGATGATTTCCTTGGCGACCTCGGAAAGCCCGTGGAAGAAGTTCGTCGCAAGGCGCAAGCTGCACAACCAAAACCAGAGCCTGGAAAGCCGATTGAAGTCTCCGATAGCGAATCTGAGCCGGAGCTACCCCAGCGATCGAGAACGGATGATCCATTTGACAAGGCAGTGGCGGAACTGGTCGACATGGGATTTACTCCGGAAAATGCTAGAAGGGGTCTGACAGAGAGTGGCGGCGGCCTGAACGTTCAAGCCGCTGTGGGATGGCTTTTGGATGACGCACACAGAACAGCAAGAAGGGAGAAGCAGCCCTCGAGAGATTCACCTGCCGAGAGAAGTCGAGCTCGAGAGGACGGCGGACGCTCTAGGAACAACGCCAGCCCTGCTTGGATGAGAGAGGAGAATCCTGAGCTGCCACCGCGAGGAGACAACCGATCGCCTGCAGCAGGTGGTGGCGACTTTTCTCAGAAAGCAGCAGCCATGGGTACAAGCTTCTTCAAGACGGCTAATTCCCTGTGGAAGCAAGGCCAGAAGCAAGTCCAAAAGGCTGTGGCGGATTTCAATCAAGAAGGCGGAGATCCTAACCAACCCAAATGGATGAGATCTGCACAACAAGAGAGATCTCAGCCGCGAGAGAAGCAATCATCATCCGCGACCGACGAGGCAATGATGCTTGACTCTGGTGGCAGGTCGGAAAGGCATGCGTCCCGTTCATCAAGAGAGCCATCATTTCCTCAGGACTCAAGGCAAGACTATCCTAGGGACCGTTCGCCGGCTATGCCAACCCGGCCTGCAGGGCAGTCAGCTGCAGCACCCAAGTGGCAACAGGCACAGCCATCAATGGACCCCAAGACTCGTCTTAATAAACAATTGGTTGAAGAACAAAGTGCTCAAGCCTACGTTAGCCCGGCCAGGAGGAAGAGGACCACGCCACAGCCACAACCACAAGCTCCTCCCGAGCCGGAAGTCGATCTATTTAACACTACCGCTCCGGTCGCATCCGCTAAGCCGCTTCCTCAAAGGTCAAATCAGCCATCGCCGGCTGCCACAAAACCATCGAGCCAGCCTATCTCACGAAGCATCACTCCTAGACAGCCAGTGCCGACAAGGCAGATTCCTAGCCTTGCACCGGCTACTCTGCAGGCGTCAACACGGCAACGCCTTGACGGAACAGCTCACTTCAAGCGCGGCGATTTTGATGCTGCCCATACTGCCTATACCAACTCGCTCAGGGGCGTTCCGCAGACACATCCCCTCTGCATCGTGCTTCTGACCAACCGTTCCCTCACTGCATTAAAGACTGGCAATCCTAAGCAGGCCGTGGATGATGCAGATGCGGCCATTTCCATCATAGGACCATCCCGTGGCGAGGGTGAGAAGGTTGCTCTCGGCGATGGCGAGCAAAGAGATATGAAAGATCTTTACGGCAAGGCCCTCAGTCGGAAAGCGGAAGCGCTCGAGCAGATGGAGAAATGGTCAGATGCGGGCAATGTGTGGCAACTCTGTGTTGAGGCAGGTGTTGGTGGCGCATCCGCGATTGCTGGCCGCCAAAGATGTCAAAAGGCCCTGGCCCCTAAGCCAAAGCCGACACCTCGGCCTGTACAAGCAGCTCGACCGAAGCCCTCTGCGAGCTCAAGTCTGGCGCCTCAGAAGGACTCCGAAGCAGTCAAGAGACTGCGGGATGCCAACAAGGCCGCCGAGGCAGCTGATGACGAGAAATTTGCACTGAGCGAAAAGGTGGATGCTCGCATCGCAGCGTGGAGGGATGGCAAGAGAGACAACTTGCGTGCCTTGATTGGCAGTCTCGACACGGTGCTTTGGGAAAACAGCGGTTGGAAAAAGGTCGGTCTTCATGAACTCGTCATGGCGAACCGTGTCAAGATTCATTACATGAAGGCCATTGCCAAGACCCATCCCGACAAGGTGAGTTTTCAAGGTTTACTCTCAAATCATACACAGATTCTCTAACTCTTATCCAGCTTCCACAAGATGCCAGTACAGAGGTCAAGCTGATAGCAGCCACGGTCTTTGCAACATTGAATGAGAGTTGGGACAAGTTCAAGGCTGAGAACGGGCTATAGAGCCGAGGGGATGTCACTTGACAACAAACTTTACTTACCTTGGGTCAATATGATGAACGTATGATGAATCAAGACAGCCATCTAACCATAGACAGCACGCAAGAGCCTGCTGGTTTTTGAACATTAGCGCAAGACTCACTTTCTTCTAATCTCAATATTGAGCTTGTAACATGCGAGGTGAACTATCTTTTGTAGGGTTGGAGTGAACTTGGTCCACCTGATGTGGCCATTTATTTTTGGACCCTTCAGAGGACTGAAAATGAACAAGATAGATCATTCTGTGCGCCTACACGGGCTTCGTGTCGATTGCTATATTGGCAAACTTGAGGTCGCGATTTGCAGGCGTCGATGCAATTGGGGGAAAGGTCTGTCGCGGCGGGAATGATGAGAGAATATTGGAAGCCCAGTAATGATGCCTCAGGAGACAAAGAACTCGCATACGCAGCCCTCGCCGTCATGGCACAAGGAAGCGTAGAAAGAAAGAAAGCCAGGTTCCCACAGTGACTTGCAAACGAGCGTGTGGACCTTATCTCTTTCACACCTCACTTTTTGAACCCATTTAACGAAGGAATTGGCTGAATGAAGTAAATTATACCACTAAAATGTGCTGGGTCGTTTTTATATCTGCTCATAATGCAAATATATAACATATAATATACATTGATACTATGCCTACAGAACTCCTGGCTGACATTCCCACAGCTCAAAACTGGCACTATCAACGTTTGTATTTTCGTATTCTGTCTTTAATTGATTACGTGCATTAAGCAATAGTTCCAGTGAAACAAGTCTGGCCGGATCATCTTTATGAAACACAGATTCTATTATAACTACGACGTGTTCGAGGAGATCAATAGCTTCATCCCTCTCGACCCATCCGCGCTTGACCAATTGTACTCAATAGTGCACGTCGAACACATTGCGCTCTCCTCGTCGCACCATAAAGGAGTGCCTACACAGAAAGCCGATTGCCCATTCCAGCTCTTCTTCCAACACATACTCTAAGAAGATCGATTGATGCATCGCCTTTGCCTCCATACACAACAGAAACAACAGCACATCAATGACAACTCGGTCCAACTTCTGTGTTTGCTCGAACATTCCCATGATTCGAACTTCCCTGGGATGTTGTTTGTCCTTGAAATCTATCGAAAGGCATGACGCCATTAACGTGATGTCGCAAAATGTAACCAAATATGAGCCACTCGGATTGCACAATGGGCATACCTTTTTCTGGACTATCCATTGTTCCCTACCACATTCCCTTCTTGGCTTTAGGACCCGCCCAAGACTGTATTGAATTGTCTGCCCGTATCTCGATGCTCGTCTCCCCTAATGCTACCAAGCACTGTCACTTGCACGTGATGTGTCTCGTCAATCATCGCCATAGTGGGCCGCAGTGCTCCCATCCGAGCTCTCACTGTCTGGATCTTGGCCAAGCACGATAGTTTCTGGCTCCGGTGGCGATGAAAATTTGCCCGCAACGTAATTCAAGGCTTGTCGAATAATGCCAGGTGGCCGTGGTAACGATGCGATATTCCCGATCCCCCTCAACTCGATGTCATTGTGTTCCTCTCCCACAATGTCAGGTAAATTTAGCCAAACAAATCTCTGAGTATCGTGTATCATTCCATGAATGGACAATGGATAAAGCTCTTCCGAGAAATTGTAAGGCTGGTGGATTGCCATCGGCCGATAGGAAGGGATGAGTAGATGGAATCGCGCATCCCTTTGGGGTCTTCGGAGCGTTCGGCGAACCGCAAGCATGAATAGGCAGAGAGCTTCGAGATGTTCTGACATTGCTAGGACATTGGCAGGAAAGCGACGACGTGCGAGTCTCTTCCAAAACCAAGGATGCCAATCAGTATCTGGATGATAGAGGAAGTAGAGGTGTGTAAGAGAGTCGCCGTAGTCTGTCGCTGCCTTTGACTCTAGATAATACATGACAGTCTTGGAGAATCTTCGAGGAGCCTCTAAGCCATTATGCGCCTGTAATTCTCCACGGATTTGAATGCCTATCTGTGCCATCTCGTCTGGCCCTTGTAGTACATGCGATAGGCTCATCACAATCGATGCGGTGGAGACAGGTAGCGCCGTCAGCCATTTGTCTGGCTCGCGGATATATTGCTTCACATTGTCGAGGAATGCTTCAACCGCTGGTGCAATTTGTGCCGGTCTATCGCTTCGTCGTACCGGCAAGTCATCAAGTTGCCTAAACAATGCAGCTCCTTCCATAAGTAGGCGGGTTTTGCCTGCTATCTTCTTCTTGCTCTTCTTTCTCTTCCTCGTTCTTGCGAGATATTCAGTGATTGGTTGAAATAGGTTGGGCATTTCGCGCTTGTCTCCTGGTTTTACTCGTTATTTAGTCGTGTTTGGGATACTTCCAAAGATGCAGTGAATAAAGAACGTCTTCTAGCACCAGATTGTGCGCTTCGTTCTTGGTCACAATGAAAATCACCTAGGTAGATAGATCCAGGACGCTTGTTAGCAGAGAGCAAGCTCTGCTGGGGATTGCCTCTGTCTACAACTGCGGGGTAAGAAAGGTCCTTCATGTTGTGAAACAGACAAGTGAAAATTGCACCAACAAAATGTCAAGCATTCCCATACAGTATCAAGAATGGAAATAATTGGTTGTTTATTTCTCCGCTTCCAAGCGTTGGGCAGGCAAAGTGATGTGCGGTTCCGACTGCAAGGCATTGGTATCGGTGCGGAAGACGACGTTGGCCGCGCAGGATTATTCTCAACTCAACTCAGCATGAGCTTGCCCACACATACTTGACAATCGGCGTATCCATAAGGTCGATTGTGCCAGGCTGATATCACCAGAACTTTTGCTTAATAGGTGTGGTAAAATAACCTAAAGGCAGAACGCGAGAGTATAAGCCTGGCATATCAAGATAAGATTTACAGGTGTGTCACTTATATAGACGTCCCTTGATAAAAACAATTTGTTAATGTTCATCGCCTGTAAGTATGCGCGCGCGATCTGAGTGCGTAAGAGAGAAGGAGAGAACCTACTCACATTCAACTGTCTACGTCTTACCCAGACTGTAGTTGCAGGTGTTAACGTTTTTATTGTCGTCGCAGTTGCGATGGTGTTCAGTCTAGTGGAATCTGTGACTACAGCAGTGTTATTGGTGGTAGGCATTGTAATTGTCATCGTGCTAGCTCAACATCGTAGTCGTAGTAGAGGTGGATGCGATTCCCTATAGTGGCATCTATGACAATTCTCGTTGAAGTCGGTCCAGTCGATCTCGTGGTCTCTGCGAACAGTAGATGCAATGGAACTGCGTATAGTCGCATCCAAACCTGGCTCTTGCGCATTGGCGTTGCGATACTGAGTGACATATGCCACCTTGTAGCCATTGCCAGCTTGACCATCTCTGTGATTTTACTCCTAGCCATCTTCGACATCACCATCATCATTATAATGTTAGTCGACGTAGTAGCTGCCATCAACATTATCACCACTGAGGCCCGTGTTACCGCTGCCGGCGACATGTGCGCCGGCACTTTTGCCATGAGCTCTATCCCAATTACCAAATCATCTTAATGAATAACAGGTCGCAAAGATAATAGACAATTTTGTTTGTGCCGAATGGAGAGCTAAGACCTCAGTAACAAGAAGGGGTAAACGAATAGATAGATGTTAGTATTGCTGCTACTGAGGCATTAGCCAAGGCTATTATCGTTGATAGAAAGAGACGCCACAGTCCTTTTGACCACTAACATAAATTAATCACAACAAATATCAATTAGCTGAATTGTCGGCCAGGCGAACGGTGAAGGCAGAGAAGAAATACTTGATGGCCAGCTTGGATGTGTGAAAGATTAGCTTATATGTCTCTACAGTGTTGGAGTCAGGATTCACAATCATCTCCCTATTTGCAAGCATTCGTAATGTCCCTGCCGCTGTAAGATAATTATGATGCACCGAAATGTTTTCATGGGCCTATTGGAACAATTGAGATTTTGGCGATATACATTGGCGGTATTACCTTTAGCATTCGCAATACAGATGACGCTGGAACAAGCAATGCAATATCACTACGACGGGGGGCTGAGCATCCAGCAATGATAAGGCTGAGCACATAATGGGCTGTTGAGGGAGGGCGGTGGCCTTTTGGATCTGCTGGAAGTGCTGGCAGGTCAGAGTATATTTCACTCAATTACACACGTATGCATGTGCGCGAGACGCGTCGTCCATATCCCGATCCGATGGCACCCGTTGTATCCCTGTCCCGGCGACGGTTGGCCCTACATTCGCCCATGTTCGCAAGGACAGCATCCGACAACTTTTTGTGCGTATGACGAGTAGTATTGCTTTTGATCTCGTGACCTGCGTGCCGAAGCCGAACAATGATTCGCGGTCATCGGCCGGGGGTGGGAATCTCGTCTCGCATGTCGTAAGGAGCGGTACATGACCACACGGGGAGCAACTGGGGATTTCCAGCAGCAAGAAAAGATGCGGGTGAAGAGGCGCCGAGAAGACGCCGGGACCCGATTCTTTTCTCCTCCCCCCAGAAAACCCGCTTTGACTCCGCGATTTGTTCGTTTTTTTTGTGGTTCGCAAACCCCAGGCTTCAGCTAATCAGGTCGGTCAGAGCTGCCAGTTGCTCAAAGCCTACCTTGACTTTTGCAAGACGAGAGAATTGTTTGAATGACCATGACGTCAGTCATCGTGCTCAGGTCCGCTTATAGCTTCGGTCGGGTTTCCGAAAGAGGCAACCCGAAAGAGCCCCAAAAGCGGATTTTCTGAGCGAGCGACATGGGGCTCGATCCTTTTTGATTTGAATTCGAGGATTTTAGTTCAAATTCGATCTGGTAAAGACGCGGCTCAAGAATAAAGTGACCGTGTACCTGACAAAAGAGACCAATGCCAACTACAGCTTTTCACATGAGTAGTGCATGTACTTAGGGTATTCAGAGTAGTATTGTACTTTTTAGAGCACCATTGTGCTGAACTACCACCCCGAAATGTCTTGGTAAACTCCGGGATATATCCTTTTTCATTGCGGCTCTGAAATCGAGCCAAAAAGACTCTGTGGATCCTTTATCCAATCACCATCGGCAACTTGCAAGATACCATTACCTGTCTCTCGTAAGACAACTGGATACATACAGAGAAAAAGTCGGTCACTTATGCTAGCGCCGGCAGCCTCGTTAATAAGAAAAGAATAAGAAAAGGCCTCGGACACAATGTACAAATGGGTTAATTTGCTACATAGTGTACACTACACCAGCGGACCCTCCCACCCATCCCAAACAACCATCCCAACCAACCATCAACATGGATCACAAGCAAGGAGTTGCGGTATGGAGTCGAGAATTGTGGATCTAGTGCCGCCCACAATATGCATCCCTTCTTCCTATCATGCCTATGCATCATCAAGTTGGTTGGGTTTCGTACAAGGCGTAAACTGGGCAGACTGAACAAGTGCCATCTGCCATGGGCAAGGCCCAGGTGTGCTTTTTCGGGATGATGTGAGAAAAGATCGACATGCATGCTTGCCGTAAATTATATTACCAGCCAAGACTAGTCGAACGGTCAAGAGCCTTGGCGCATCCATGGACCGCGATGAATTATTATGACGGAGTTTGCGAGAGGGAAAAAAAGAAAGCGAGTGAGAGACACGGTGATGCTCCGTCGTAATAGATACAAATACTCGCCGCCATCCGCGTGTTCGCCTGGCTGGTATTGAAGACGATCTTTCGATAGACTCTCCCTTTTATCACTTTGTTAGTGTTTTCTGCTTTGCAGTCCTCTTGATCGCATGAGAGACTCATAGTTGCCCCATCTGAAATCTCACTTGGACTGAAAGCAACCATGAAGAAGTACTTTGGCCTACGGGGCAAAGCCCTCAACTATGCCGTTGGTATCATAGCAGGATGTGACTTTCTGCTGTTTGGTTATGGTAAGCATCAAATAACAAGTATACCACTAAAATTCAACATGCTGAACGCAAAAACAGACCAGGGTGTAATGGGAGGTATCCTCACCATGACCCAGTTCCTCTCCGTGTTCCCGGACATCAACCCTGACGAGGAGGGCATCACGAGAGAGCTCGAGTCGACGCGCGCGACCAACCAAGGCATCGCCGTGGCCGCCTACAACCTGGGCTGCTTCCTGGGCGCCGTCATCACCATCTTTATCGGCAACCCCCTCGGACGCAAGCGCATGATTATGCTCGGCACCTCCATCATGGTCGTGGGCGCCATCCTGCAGGCCTCGGCAACCACCCTGCCGCACCTCATTGTCGGGCGCATCATTACCGGCCTGGGCAACGGCGGCAATACTTCGACCATTCCGACCTGGCAGTCCGAGACGTCGCGGGCGCACAAGCGCGGCAAGCTCGTCATGATTGAGGGCGCCTTGATCTCGTGCGGCATCATGATTTCGTACTGGATCGACCTGGGCTTCAGCTTCCTCGACGGCACCGTGGCCTGGCGCACGCCCCTCGCCTTTCAGATTGTCTTTTGTGTCATCATCCTGTCTACCATCTGGGGCCTGCCCGAGTCCCCGCGCTGGCTCATCCTCAAGGGCCGCGAGGACGACGCCCGCGACGTTCTGGCCGCGCTGGCCGACACCGACATTCACGACAAGGAGGTCGAGAACGAGTTCATGGCCATCAAGGACGCCGTTGTGGAAATGAGCAAGGGCTCCTTTGCCGACTTGTTCACCATGGGCAAGGAGAGAAACTTTCACCGCATCGTGCTGGCTTACACGAACCAAATGTTCCAGCAGATCAGGTACAGTCTCTCCATTTGTGCACTTGATGAATTCTTAGACTAATTTTAAATACTAGTGGTATCAACCTCATCACCTACTACGCACCTGTCATCTACTCGGGTCTTGGCATGTCGGCTTTCCTATCGAGGCTGCTAGCTGCCCTCAATGGCACCGAGTACTTCCTCGCCTCCTGGCCGGCCGTCTTCCTCGTCGAGCGCGTGGGCCGTCGCAAGCTCATGCTCTTTGGCGCCGCTGGTCAGGCCGCCACCATGGCCGTCTTGGCTGGTGCAAACTCGCAGCCTGATAACTCGAGCTGCCAGATTGCCGCCATTGTGTTCCTGTTTGTCTTTAACAGCTTCTTTGCTGTCGGTTGGCTCGGTATGACTTGGTTGTACCCGGCAGAAATTGTGCCCTTGAGAATCAGAGCACCTGCCAACGCCCTGTCGACTTCTGGTAAGTTTTCAAATCGGGTTTGAATTGATCTTGATATATGAGGAACTGGGCTAACATGTTCCCTAGCCAACTGGATCTTCAACTTTCTCGTTGTCATGATCACACCAATCGCCTTTGATTCGATTAGCTACAACACGTACACAATCTTTGCCGTCATCAACGCCTTCATGGTGCCGTCCGTCTACTTCTTCTACCCAGAGACGGCGTACCGGTCGCTCGAGGAGATGGACACCATCTTCCACAAGGCTCCCGGAGCCAAGGGCTGGCTCAGCGTCGTGGGCGTCGCCCGCCGCGAGCCCCGCCGCTACGGCAAGCACGGCGAGCTGCTCATTGAGTACGAAAAGACGGACGAGCACAAGGCCCACGTCGGCCACGTCGATTACCCTAGCGATGGCCAGCCCTCGCCGGATGCCGAAAAGGCTCGCAGTGGTGGCGTCCTTGGTTCTGACCTCTAAATGTTGGTACCGCTTTTTGTTGGTTCGATACATGCGAACTTTCTTTTGGGATGTTACAATAGATTGGAGGAGTATATGAATTAGCCTGTGAGCTCCTCGGATTGAGCCCGGCAATGAATGAACGATGGAAGAGGAGAAGAGTCCGTTGTGGGACCACAAAAGGTGAACAAACGCCTTGCTATGCATTTTTGCTAAATCATGAATGAGATACCCCTTTGCCCTTGCAGTTATACTGTCTTCTTGGTGCATCTGAATTTGACCCTAAACCATCTGCCATGTGCATGTTACATGTATGGTGATCCAAGCCAGGTATAATGGTTTCGTCGCCCTCACGGATACAGTAATCGTCGGTCCAGACGAGAGCATCGAGAGGCCATGTGTACATCTTCTTCCTTTCTCCACACTATCCATATGCGAGGGTCCTCCCAACTTATAGACCCAGCATCCTCCGCACACCATCGCGGACCTTCTTTTCGTACTCGGCCCGCTGGTTGCGCCACATCTTGGCTGCCTCGACATTGGCGGGCGATTCGTCGTTGGGCTCGGCCAGCATGCTCATGACCGAGATGAGAATCTTCTCGACGCTCTGGATCGGGCTCCAGCGCTCCGACGCATGCTCGTAGTGGTTCGGGTCGTCGCCTGGCGGGTGGAGGATCGATATGCAGACCAGGCCGCTTGGGTAGACTGTATTTGGGGCAATCAGTTAGCCCTTTCTCTCCTAGTTTCCAGAACCCCCGGTACTGCCACCCGCAAGTGAGAGTGCCTCCGACTTGTCTTACCATTTGGGTGAAAGATCTCGCCCAGGAACTTCATGCTCGGTGGCGCGAGTGGGTAGTCCTTGGGGAACTTGAGCTCGGCAGGAAAGACGCCGCCCTCAAAGGGGGTGCCTTCCGGGCCCTGGATCAAGGCCTCCCAGTGCAGCAGGTCGTCTTCTGACACTGGTCCTGCCGTGATGCCATCTGGTGGGTTGTTGGTGAGCGCGCGATACTCCTGAAGGAGCCGGCGGTGGGCGGTCGACGCCATTTGGGAGGAGGGTTCTTTGGTTGGAGTGACCGGTGTGATTCTTTAGAATTTCGAGCTATCTGGTCGCGACAGTCGGTATATATATATACAAGGAATTTGGCGTCTTCGAGATCGCAGGAGAAGAAGTACGAGGTCCCAATCCGGAACAGAGGTCAATGTCTGGTTATGGAGTGTAAGAAGTAAAGGTTGGAAGGGCGGCTGGTGACACAGCGATAAGAGAGCCCACCTGCGTGCCGAGCGTGCGGCTCATCCCAACCCCACTAACACCCCGCGCTATTGCACAAGCATCGTGGCAACGTGGTTGGGGTTGGAAAGAGTCGCAATCTACGTACTATACGTACTACGGTGGGTTATTTTGGATAGGTACACAGACTTGGCCAAAATCAACCCAGCGTCATTTGCTTTTGCTTTCCTGCAGCTGTGACTACAAGTTCTATATACATGGAAATGCTGAGGTAAGTACAAAGTCTATTCAAGTTGTTATTACCCTGACGCATTTGTATCTGGAATGCACGGAGCACGAATACAAAACGGATTGAGAAAGGAAAAGAAAACTATCAAGTTATAGAACTATTCTCCATTCATAAATGATCCTGCGATTTGTATAGTGACGAGCATGAAAAGAGCAGTGTGATATTCTCCAGGAAAACTAAATAACACAGAGCAACTTCTGCGATTATAGTCCAACGGCCAATCTAGACCCGCCCCAAAATGGTCGCTCTACTCCAGGGTCCTATCGGGTGCACGAGCCGCTATCCAGACAGTGCACTCAAAATTTCTGGTCTTCTCTTGGGTCTTTCTCGGTCGTCATATTTGCAGGTGCCAAACTCATTCTGTTGCCATCATCGCACAGCATCATTTCAATCGGGACGCTGAAATTATTTACAATTCTTCTTTCTGTATCCTGAAACATACATCTAGATCTATAGATTTGACCTCAAACAACCTCAAATCAACATGTCGAAGAGGCCCAAGGCTTTTCTCAAGCAGCAGGCAAAGCCTAAGCAGAAGAAGGAACAGGTACAAACGGACATAACCCATAACGTAAAATGGCATTTTGAGACACCCTGCTAACTCAGACTAGACCTTCAATTCTGCAGATGACTGGCTCCAAGGTGAGTAAATATGTATGCACAAGAAAGAACACAATTATTGATACTGACACATAAATAGCCGGTGTTGATTATGAAGAGGCCGCGGGCAAGTGGCGAGCGGGTGATAGCGCCAAGTCAATGAGATTCTTCCAACGCTCAATCGAGGCCTACGACCAAGGACTCAAGGCATTTCCTTCCAGCTTGGATCTTGCCTACAACAAGTAAGAGTGTCTCTGCCTTTCATAACATTGTACTCCAATCTTGCTAACGGGCGGTTAGGGCTCGCGTTTTGCTCGAGGTGGCAACACACCCAATCTTGGTGGAACAGATCAAGGGCCCACTCATCAACACCCTCCGCGAGGCACTGGATGCCCACCGCTACGCCCTGAAATTAGACCCTGATAATGCAGATGCTCTTTTCAACACGGCCCAGGTTCTAACCAGTATTGCCGAGGAGGTTGCCAACGATGATGATGCGCCAAACCAGGAAGCATTGAAGCTGCTCCACGAGGCTTCTGATCTGCAGGCAAAATGCTACTCGATTCAAGAGATGAAGCTTCAAGAGAGCATTGAACAGGAACGTCTGGCCAACGAGCAAGCTGCCAGCATAGAGACAGAGAGTGAGGCAGCCGCTGCCCCGGCCGCCGAAGAGTCGCATGACCACGAGTCCCACGACGATGAAGAGGACGAGCAATGGTTCACAGTCGTGGAGCCCGTTACACGCGACAGTCTCATCGATACACTGGTTGCTCAGCTCAACACCCTCACTACCTTCTGTAGCATCTTGACAGACAATCCTGAGATCGCCCCACCTGCAACGCTACCCATGATCGAAGAACACTCTACCCAACTTGTTCAAAAGATCCCGTCGCTAGTGCAAGACAAGCCGGAAAGACTGCAGGAGATTTCCTTCTCAAAGGCCAACTTTGCCTCTGTACTCCTGGAAGCTGGTTTCAAGACGGGCAAGGTCGATGCTGCAACATACAAGAAAGAGCGCGATGCCGCCTTCAACGTTCCAGAGCTCGTGTCAAACGGCACGGCAGAGATTATGCTGTCCAATGCACGATCACTGCTTTCATTCAACTCGGCATTGGCTGATGTTTATTCAAACGAGGGAGCGCTCCGATGGAATGCTTTGACCGAGAGTATCCAACACCTTGCCACGGCATCGAAAATCCAAGGCATTGAACAGTCCGAGCTGGCCTTGACTCACCTTTTGCGGGGAGATGCGAACCTGTTCCTATACGCTCTTGCATTGCCTCCGGTATCGCACCAGTCCGCCATCACCAACGCAGCTAATCTGGCCAAGAATGCCGAGGTGTTTTACCGCAACGCGAGCAAACTCTCAGGCGCTCGGGAGGAAAAGGCCGTCGCAGCCTTGCGCTCAACGGTCTCGCAGCATCTGCAACAACAGGTGGCACAGGGCACTCCACTCGACATCGGTGCGATAGTGAGTTCGAGCCCAAGCGGCCCGCAATGGGCTGTAGAGCAACTCGAGGACATGGTGGCAGAGGGATTGCTGCCACAAAGTTTAACGATCTAGAGTAGAATGAAATAAATATTTCTTTGAGAGAGTTTGATCTGCAGCAGGCTTGAATGCCTAGTTTCATAATGACATTACACTAAAATCTCCACAGATGAGCCTGATCACCATCCTGTCTCGATAGTGGCCTACAGGAAACATGGATAAACATAATATATATTTCCCTATTTGGATAATTATGGGAGGACCAGAAAAGCTCCATGTAAATCCCAACATCATATTTAGGAAGCATGAGCCAGAATATAGGCCTTGACGTAATGTCTATTTCCTTTCCTCTTAATTCACCATGCTATGCACAATCCATTAAACTTAAGTATGACACTCGACTACACTCAGTAAAATAAGCCAATTTTTATATATATCGCTAATCGATTCTTGAATCCGATTTATTACAATTCGAGTAAAAGCTCTTGCAGTTATCAGTCAGCAATTATATAAGCGGTTTAAGTGAGAGCTGACGCAAGGCTCAGTTGCACCCAGGAGAAATGCTTGTACCATCTGGTTAACAACATCTGGAAGAAAGAAAAGCAATGGAAGTTCTAGCCCCATGGCCCAGCCAATCATTGCTCTATGGTGCCGTACACCATTTGCTAGGCCAATTACGGTAGTCGCACAGATCTGAGCCCTCGCTAATTTGTTACTTGAGTTACAGAAAAATGCACCCAAATGACCAGGCTTCGCATTATGCACTAAGCCACACACCTTTGTGGTACATATCATTTTAGGTAGCCATTCGACCCAACACAGCCAAGGCATAATCGGTGTCGTACAGAAATGAGGGGGAAAAGTGTTACTCATAAGTGTCTCGTTGACACCCTTTTCTCCCCGCCCGTTTGCTGTTAGGGCAGATACCCCCCCCATGCAAACCCGATTGATGCTCCATACTGCGTTTTTACTTCTAGCTCGCCGATTTCAGACGTCCCCAGACCATTCTCTTACGACGGAGCAAAAGCAAAGTCGTGCAGACTTTCAAAGATGAGTGCCGACGTTATTCACGCGGCCGGGCAGGAGCCGGCGAAGGGTTCTACATTGGAATACGACCGTTTCGAAGATGCCTCGGAAGAGATACGACTTGTGGAAATTGTTCACCACACAGACCAATGTCTCAAACTGAAGTTGCGCAAATTCAAAATTGCCAATGCTCCAGAATACAATGCGATATCGTATACGTGGGGTGATGCAGGAGTAACGGTCGAGATCATCGTCAACGATCAGACGAAGCATATCACACGAAACTGTCGATTCGCCCTCGAGCAAGTTCATTGGCATAGTCATCTGAATCAACCGCACCCAGTCTACTTCTGGATCGATTCGATTTGTATCAATCAGGATGATGACGAGGAGAAGAAGCACCAAGTTGCAATGATGAGTCGCATCTATACACAAGCAGTCAAAGTGTTGGCTTGCATAGGCGACCACCAAGACAACAGCGAAGATCTTGCCACGACCTTGGCGGCAGCGAGGGATTTTGCTGAGCAATGCAAAAACGGGCAATACTTTTCTAATGCAGAGAAAAGTTGGTCCAGGATAAATGATAAAACCACATTGGGTGCGGTTAAATCGTTTATTTGTAACACGCTTGAACGTAAAGACGGTGGAGAATTGTTGATGAGAAGGTTTTTGGATACATTTTACGATTTCTCAGCACGTCAATATTGGACACGGCTCTGGATTATCCAAGAAGTAGCGGCATCAAAACACCTCGAAGTTCTATGTGGCTTCGATAAGTTTTCAAGACCGGACATCTTTCTACTTGACTGGATTGCCACTTCTTATAGGTGGTCTTTCTATGTTCGCATCAACGCTCCCAGAGGTTCATTCTACAACAGTAACATGACTTCCTTCGATCGTGACGACGCCTTCTCGTTTCTCACATTTGTTCTAAACCGCAATTCGAAAGATCGAATCCCAGCTATAGACATATTCTCCTCGAGGATCCAATTTGGATGTTCACGACCGGAAGACCGAGTATACGGCATGTTGGATCTGGTAGAATGGCCCAATGTCGAGCCCTCTATCAAACTCGAACCAGTCTATGGGCCGTGTGCCAATATGGATGTAGCTGAATATTTTCTCAGCTATGTCGACTACACATATCGCCAATATCCACCAATCTTTAAGGGACTCGAGATCTCCCATGACTTGAGTAAGATGGAGACACTAATCAAGGATCGATCTGTTGAATTACCGACACCTCAAGCCACACCAGGAAAGTACTCGACACGGATGTACGATCTTGACATAAACAGCTGCGAAATTTTGTCCAGAAAAAATATGGACAGGCTCACTGCGGAACTAGTTCGCATCAAGACCACCACTCGCGACTTCCATCCAACAACTGATATGATCAACAATGCACCCCAGTTGTTATACTCGGAGTCTGACATCGCGGGTTTACTTTGCAGTAAAGCCCGAGAAAACGATTTGATAGTCAAGACTCCCTTTTCAAAAGGGCTTCTTGTGTTACGGGAAACCGGAAATTCCAACGAGTACGATATTATTGGACAAGGGTTGTTGCTTGCAGGATTTGACTTCCCTGAAACACGGCTACTGCTTGTGGAAACTCGCGAAAGATATGCGAATGAATTGATCAACCACTACATTCGTCTGATGTGGATTCAAGCGGATTTGGGGACTGGGGCATCTGATAGATACGAATTTCGACGCGAAAACCTTTACAGGGAACGTTTTGCAGGCTGTCTCGATGTGCTTCAAAAATATTATGGAGTGAGATTAGAATCATCAGTCCATGAAGAAGAACCACAACCGAGCATGATATCGGAAGAAATATCATCAAGCACCATTGGATTCGGTGACGATCTCTTCGAGCAGCCTCATCCTGAGAAAAGAGGGCAGCACGTTTTGAGCCAGATTAGAAGCCTTTTGAGACGCTTTGAGGAGATACAAAGGATTGCAAAGCAGGACAAGCAAAGTTTAGACCAACAAGGTCGGAAAATTGGCTGGAGACAAACTTTCATTTTGAAGCTTGAGCCACTCGAGATGTTGCTCCTGGCGTGCCAGGATCTGGAGAAAGACGGAACCCGCAATGAGGATAAGATGATGGGGAGACTCAAGACCAAAGTGTACGGCACAGTTATTGCCGAGGACTAATCTACCTTATATGAGATATTAGAAGTTGGAGGTCGGAACACAGTTGTGCTGCGAATGGAGACCGATACTGCCCGCCGTTGGGAAGAAGGGGAGGGAGGTTCTGAAACATGATTCTCAATGGCAAGCGATGCAAGGATAGAAATCCCCCGTCGCGCGTCTTCCCGTCGGCCCCATAATACTCTACACTTATGATCCATACCCTGTAAGCCGCCAGAGTGTGCTGCTAGCAATGAAATTGATTGTCTGGTAGAGAAGCGATCATTTTGCCCATTCGGGAAATCTTCTGGCTATTGCTTCCAGAAGCCATGGACATGATCAAATCACTTTGACACCAAAACTATCTGCACGTTCGATAGAGCCGCCAACCGGGGCTACCGTCCTTGCTTTTTATACGGTATGAGATGATCCATGAGCAGAGGCAACTACACCACAACAAATCAGATTTGAACTATATATAAATTGCATCTCCATATCACCTATATAACACGATGTGACATATTCTTGAGCACAAACTATTGTCAGATCTGGTCTGCCCTGCTTTAGTTTTACTGGTAAACCGCTATCAGCGTGTTGCTTCAATGTATTAATCTTATATAATAATCAATAAATGGGGGTTTTGTGCTTTTAAATCTTAGAAAAGTCGTCACACAATAGTTCCAAAACACCACGGCCATGGTATGAACCCATATCAGTTACTGATATTGTGAAACTACATCCATAAAATAACCTAAACTCTATTAATCTCACCATTGCAAATTTCCGAGCTATGCCCACCTCTCACGATGCAGTGTCCGATTTTTCCCGACTGGAAGAACTACCCCAGGCAAATACCATCACCTCCCTCATTGTTGTCAGTTTTATATCTGGGAATCTACTATTCAGACTCCCCATATCAGGCACACGGTAATGGCCACAACCTGCGAGGTAGTGTACTTTGGCAATGAATGCCTCGTCCTCCTTGATACCCAAACCTATCGGGGGAAATCTCGAAGCAAATGATATTTTGCCTGCGAAGAGAGTCTCCAACGAATCATTTGCCACTTCAAATTTGCAGCCTGCGAGGACGAGTAAGCCTTACATGTATTTATCTTTCGAAAAGCTTTCACTTACCTCTGACTTCTTCTGCAAGTTTCACGAGATCTCCAAAAGTCATTTCGTTGCCAACAATGGTCGTGATCTTGGACCAAGTGGGTAGTTCCATCATTCGAGACACAAATCTCCCAAGGTCCCGCGTCGTGATGAAAGTTGCCATTGTGGTCGCATCCCCAGGGATGACAGCCCACTTGTTCGCCAAGTCTACAATATTGATCCACGGATGCAGAGTCGTCTGGTAGTGAGGCATTCCATAATAATCAATAAACCACCCATTCGCGACGCGCGTGTATTCGAGGTTGCTTTTCTCCAGCACCTCGATTGCGTCAAATGTATGTTTAGCCAGTGGGTTGAGTTCAATATGTCTATATGCCTCAGTCAGTCAAAGGGTTAACCGCCTTATCCAAAACAATGGTTGCTCGTCTCTTACTCTTGGCGGTGAAGCATATCAAAACTAGCCATGACAAACCGACGTGTAGCGGCGGCCTTGTCTGCAGCGTGGATCAGATTGATTTGGACTTGACTGGCTGCGGCTGTAAGGGTCCCGATGGCGCAGATGACCGTATCGATTTGGAGCTCGTCCAGCTTGCGCGCCATGCCGTCCACATTGGCATAATCCATGGCGACAAAGGACAATGAATCTATAGGACTTTGGTCCTGTAAAATAATCAGAATAAAAGATCAAAAGGGGGGTTGAGGGAATCATACTTTTCGAGAGAGAACATAGATTTTGTGCTTATTATCCGAGACAAGTCCGTCGGTAATGGCTTTACCGACCTGCCCGGCGCCTCCAGCAACAGCGATAATCCCCATAGTGAAGCTGATAGAAAGAATAGAGAGTTCTTTGCAAAGAAGTGAAGCAACAAAAAGATTCCTGTCCTACGCAGATTGTGGTTTGCGGAGCGTAGCTTTATATAAGGTAAACACCTGATTTCGGCATCAGGACAACCTAACAAACATCGCTAAATACGGTCCCTCGTGATTCCGGGCAGGAAGTATCGAAAGTTTCAGTGACTACCACGAATCAGGCAAACGACTTTTTAGTTTATAAATATAGCATCAAAGTTGAGAGCCATCGGTTTTTCATGAGAGCTCAAAACTTAGCACGAGATCCTCGACCAGGCAGACAAGCTGGACGAGGTTGGTTTAAATACCATAAACGGGATAGCACTGGTGTAGCTGGTTATGCTACCAGCACGCTAGTTGAATCAACTGCCCCATTTAGATTTAGTCATTTGTCACTGCATTTAAACTTTAATCTCAGCTTTCCCTTACAAGTCTTTGACCTCGGTTTTATCAACCACAGCTTTATATATTAAATGAATGGTATTAGTAAAAGACTTTATTTGTAATACTAAAATTAAATCATTTTCCTTCTCTGAAGAATTCCGCAAACCCACAGGGGTTTAGTGGGATGCAATGCAAGAGACATCTGACTGAGAGCTTCGCAGCATTTAATCTTAAATTTGCATAATGTAACTCTAGAGCCGCATTGCTTAGATAATCTCGCCCAATTTTGTATCGTGGGCCTCGAATTGTAATGGCCCTTATGAATGGTCCTTATTACCGTGTGATTCTATCTGAGTTGTGACTTGATATGCACGGTCTTCGGATGAATCTCATCATTCTGTTCCTCTTGTCTATCCGAGTTCACATTGCAACTGGCAGATGCCGTGTTGTCGAGTTCTCGGGTTGTTTAGCGGCTTGAAATGGGCTCAGTAGCCTCTTGCCCGCTAGGAGTAATCTCGCTATTATACGAGCTAGCTGTGTCCCCCGCATCCTCGCCACTGGATACATCGGAGACTATACGAGGGTGGTCAGGCTTGGATGTGTCCAAAGTCCCAAGTCTGGCATCTCCGCGGATCAGGGGAATAGTTTTGGTACAGCTTGACCATGCACCAATTCCGATTTCCTCATGTACAAGGCGTTGTAGCTGTAAAGTCTCGTTCAGATTCCATTCCAGACAGGTGTCTTGGTTGAGTTTCCGGTGCCTCCTCACAAGACTTGTCAGGGATTCTAGACTGAGTGAGAGGATGATGGAAATCATTCCTAAAACGAAGATGAACAGTAGGCCGAATACACTGAACGATGTATGATAGGGGCTGAGAGCTTTCTGGAACGAGACTAGTAAGAAGCTGTTGGAGGAGCTTGCTATGTGCAACGATGAAACATACCTGGCTAGAGCATAGGCTTTGCTCCTCCGTGTTATTGGGCGTATGCAACCATTTCAAGTCTCCGGGGTCGACGTCGGTGCCTCTAGCTGCATCTCCCGGTGCTCTCTGAAGTGCTGCTAGAATGCTCGCGAACCAATACTCGACGTCTCCTTGCCACTGTTCATCTGTAATGCCTCGTTGTATTCCGTCTTGAATCCACGCTCTCGCAATCAAGGACAGCTCTCGTGTACCCACAATATCCAGTAGCATAGCCGGGGCGTCGAATATGTTGCTGGCGTACCACTGGAATGTATTCCATGATTCCTCGTCCGTGAACACTTTTTTGGCTGATTCTTGGAGATCAAAGAAACCGGTAAGTTCTGTACATTGTGTGCCTGTATCCGACCCCACTTTGCAATACTGTTCGCGTGATACGCAAGCCAAAGGAGAAGCCGGCGTATTGGCCCCATACAAGGTTGATGTACTATTGTCCGAGTAATATCTTATCTTCGATTTCGGATCAGTGGCCTCGTACCAAAGGTCGCTCACCGGCCCCCCCTCATACAAGACGCTATTTGCTTGTAGAACTATGAGACTTAAAGTTGAGTCTGGTACGTCCAATTGTGGAATGGGAAGCCAGCCCCAGATATCTGAAACGACGCTCCCATTTGCATATGGGGCCCAAATTCTACTGTTACGACATGCACTGTCAGTATCTCGCTACATCTTTTGAAACAAGGCTTTTCCAAGAAGACGGAATCTTACTTCAGGGTATAGTCAGCGATAGCCAATGATCCATCCGCCTTCGTCTCTGCATAGGCATCGTTCGACGCTTCATAAGTAAAGTCGTTTCCATCGGCGATGTCTTGCCCATAGAAGTATTGAGTATTAGATCTGGTAGCTGACGTGTTGTGAACGTTGGTGTAGTTGTCCGTAACCAAGGGGGCACAATGGAGTGTTGTCCGGTATTTCATGCGTTGCGAAGGAGGGCCGTTCCAACCCAAGTCTTCAAGACTGTCGAGGTAACCAGTATCGAGCTCGATATTTCTGTCTTGACTCTTGCAGATGCTACTTTCAAACGGACAAGTCGCAGTTCTGTTGACGCTGTAGGACAACGTTCGTCGGATGTATGAATTACATCCTAGCGACTTTGAAGCAGTGAGCAAGGGCAGCGCGTAACAATCCCTCGCATATACCAAGTCGTTCTGTTGAACAATAGCATTGCCCGCATGAAATGTCGATGTAGTCCAATGGCAGTCCTTGCCCATGATTAAAATCTCATTATCTCGAGCCACTGCCGAGGAGAAACCGGAAGCGACAGCCAGACCAATAGCTAGAGTAAGTGCTCCGGCTAGGATTGGTACGATGCGAAAGCACGTACGCTGACCGTCTTTCCGCCAGGCCCAAGCGAGATTGGAGAAGAGCTTGAAGCCCAGCAAAGGGCTTTGAGCATTTCGTAAGATTGCCTGCTGTTGATGGTACATGGCATCGCGTGGTGTCGTTGGAGTCGAGAAGGTGTGATATAGGGCAAAGCACAATATGCGCCACAAGCTTGTTCCTATAATGGTGGTGAAGAATGCAACGAACGCAATGAGGAGCGTGGCCTGACTTTGTGGGAGAGTAATGGTGGCTCCAAGAACACTACCGTACGACCAGTTGACCCATATGCCATTGTATGCGACATAATTGAGTGTACCCGACATATTGGCAGAGACAACTACAATGCTCACACACGTTGTCGCCAATGTCGGCCCTCAAAGTAAATGTAGCGAAGTTCGATGAGACGTGAAAAGATATGATAGGTATGGGTAATAGTTGTTGTATTAGTTGAGTTGTTCGCATCCAACAGAGGGTCAAAGATATATACATGTGTGGAGAAGCGCTCTACTTATTCCTACATTTTGACTGTATATAGACTCCACGGCTGAGATGAAATCTCCATTAAAATACGCGGCTGACTGCATAGCAGCAGTGACGACTCGTGCAACCAATCAAGTCGAAACATTGTAGACATTGGAGGGACTGCCGAAAAGGATTCCGAAGTCCTTCGCAGATCTATGCGATTTATTGGACCTCGTCGCCTCGGCGTGTCTGCATGTAAATTGGCGCAGGGGCCAAGATGAGAGAGCCTGCAGCTATTCGATGCTAGATTGGAACAATTTAGGAATTCAGTGCAGCTTGGCTGAATGTGGGGGCTAAGAGCCTTACACAGCATGAGGGGGCTGAATAGGAGTTCGGCGGTCTTCAGTATATTCATGACTTGGGTACCTCGATAGACAAGCCAGTCGGCGAGGCTCTTGGGTGAATTAACTACCGCAATCCTTCCGAGGCGGACATACAGACCCCGGTCCACTTCAGCAATGAGAGAGACAGAGAAGGACAAAGGGCAGCGTCAGAATAATTCAAACCGCATAGCCAATAACGACGCTCCGGTGAGTCGTTCAGCCAGGGCCCCGGCCCCCAACACTGGCTGCATTCATAGCCCCCGGACTCTCCAGCGCAGGCGGCCATGGCCCCCACCTCTTCTATAAATGACCGCCACGCAAGCAGCTCTAGGACTAGTGGCCTAAGAAACATTATTAAATACGGTCCCTCGTATTTCCGAGAAGGAAGTATCGAAAATTTTAGTAAATATTATAAATTAGGCAAAAAAAACTTTTTGATTTTTATTATAATATTAAAATTAAAAGCTATGAGCCTGTGGGAGTCTCTGGAAAAGCCAGTGGGCTTGGAAAGGATAAGAATTTGGCAACTGAGCTATGGGAATGGACCCAGCGAGAATTGGATGGGAGCAGTATTTGATAATAACCGAGTCTTAATCATATCTTGTATCATAAGTCCATGCTTTCCGCAAGTATATTACACATTTATGTTGTACATATGATATTGGTCTACCTGCGGCGAGGTAATTCTGCTCAAGGGGCAATGAATCTTGAGAATTTGATCCTTGAGCACTGGGGATCTATACAATGCCATAAGCTTTGCCTGTCTACCACCTTCTTCTGTCAACATGAAGTAATGTCGGATGATTTACATGGGCGAAGCAACAGACACGCGCAGCATGTGAGTTTTGTTTTCCACCACCAATCAATGCCACCATTGCCGCTCATTTCAGACTACAGTCGAGGGGTCCTTCTCCTCAGCAGCCGAGACCTCCTCGGGAGTCGGAGGTTCAGGAGATCCGTCTGCTTTTGCCTGGGGTACAAAGAACCACAGCACGGCCATTCCTGCCAACAACGCGAGAACGATGGGCTGGAGGACGGCAACCCCAGCTTTTGATGCGACCGCCCCTGTGAGAAAAGGGAATGCGGCTGAGCCAGCCTGTCCCACTGTAGCAGTAAAGCCTGTCCCATAAAGTTAATGCCTCACTTGAATCTTTTTCTTGTATACGATGGAATCACAGAACATACCAATTGACGCGAGGTGTTGGTCTCTAGGGACAACCTGGGTAAGCACAGAAAGACCTGCCGGGAAAAAAGGAGCAATGACAAATCCCAGTAAGCTCACAAGGACTGCATTGACAATAATGTTCGGTATGACCCAAAACAAAACATGTAGTACCAGTCCGATGGCGATGTAGATGAAGACTGTGCGTCGCTCGCCGAATTTGTGGGTGAGGTCAGCTAATGCAACACGACCCAGAGTCAATCCTCCCCAGAATCCTGACGCAATATAGCCAACTTGGTTCTCGCTGCCATGACGAACTGCAATGAGGAATTCAACAACCCAGCCTGGCGGCTCGTTAGTATCACGGTCAACGAACATTAAAGAGCCAAGAGGCTTTGATGCCAGCTAGTGGCGCGAGTGAAAGCTTTTCTAAACTTACCTCCTATGGTCACCTCTGCACCAACATATAGGAAGAAGAATGCACTGAGTGCCCACACAGCCTTCTGCGACAAGGCGCCTTTGAGGCTATCGCTCGCTTCCGTCTTGGAAGACACCGAATCCGGGCGCCCAAGCCCCTTCCGGAAGCTACCGGCCAGCAAGACGACATTTATAAATGCGAACCCAAGCAACACGAGGTAGTAGTAATGCCAGTAGGCCGTTTTCGTGGCAATGGTTGTTGCCACCAACGGACTGACCAATGCACCAAGGCCGTAGACGGCATGCAGAACTCCCAGCCACCAATGCGCATTGGGGAGATTCGCAACCATGGAGTTGACTTGGGCATCTTGGTACGCCACTCCAAGGCCGGACAGGAAATATGCGCAGGCAAAGAGCGGATATGGTGGCTTCCAGAACATTAGGCAATATGCAAACAGCTGAGATAATGCACCAAACAGTAGCGTACCGCCCATGCCGATCCTTGAGGAGATGTGGACATTGGTGAAGGCGGCGACAAGGAAACCGGCAAAGTTGATCAGATACACTAATGCAATTGGGAACAGCCCAATGTTGTAAGCGGACTGGAGGAAAGGAGTCAATGCTCCCGTAGTCGCATCTGAGTAATCACAATCATCAGTACTCTGTTGTGGTTTCACGTAATGAATACTAACCATTCATGCCCGCCAAATACACTGCCCAGTTTACAGCAAACAGCCGGATCGCTGGATGCATGGTATTGCCGTTACTACTAGCGGGTTCCGTCATTGTTCGGCTTTCAACCCTCTCTCGGCGAACTGTGTGGTAAAGAACTTGTGAGAGCCAGAACCAGGCTGGATGGACCAATATCAACAAACGTGTGCTACGACGTTGATGCGTTTGTGAATAATTCGAACTCGGAAATCTTGAGAGGGAGGAAACAGAATAAAGAGAGAAAGGGGATTTTCCCCAAAGTTTTTTAATAGGCTGTGATAAAGGAGGAATTATCACAGGTGCGTCTTGAAATGGAAATCAGTTGTTCAAGTGATGTGCTGGTCTGCGCTCTTGTAGTTATATACTTGCCACGGTCATAGTGCCACTCGCGAGGGCATGTGCGGGACGTAAGACGTGAAAATAATTTTCTCACCTAACTTGATTCCACTCTTTGTCGGAAATAGTATTCAATTTTCATCACGACATGTGGTCAAACATCGTTACTTGTCCCCCTGCATGGCAAGCGCTGCACCGCTCTGACATGGAGGAATTTTGCACAGCCGAGCCACCGATTTCTGCCGCACACTATTCTCATTTCATTGGTTGTATCGATACTGGAAATGTAGGCTAGAGGTGCAATTGATCGATTTCAGAGGTTGCTCCTAGGGCGATCTCAGTAGCTGTGTCATGCTTGCGACGACCGAAAGTGGATTTGCTGTCCAAGGACGATTCAATCTAGGTAAACATTCCACCGATGGATGCGACAATTAAGCTCGGTTGGTTCAACTACCATTTGTAGCTTAGTGGGCGTGACTCAAATGTACTATAGTATAGCAAGGTTTGTGTCCGATGGGCCGTACTGCCTAAAGGGGAATAAAGTCGAGCTTCACTCCGCTATTGCGTCCCGTATCTGTTCCGCCGATGTCCAAATTGAGTCTATTACCCAAAGAGGGCATACAGCAGGGCAGAACTATGGCTCTGCAGCTGCAGCTGTAATCTTCAAGCGTAAAAATGGTACGGCTCTCTCAAGTAGTAGGCAACGAGCAAGTCTTCGTAACCATTGGCACTGTAGCCACTAAGGAGATTCCGCGTGATGTAATATTTATACTATTCAGACAGCTAAAAGGATTACATGATTGTTTTCAAGGGTTGTCAGGGCGAGCCATTGTCTCCACGAACCTGGCAACAGACTGGTTCCCACGCCTTCTGGAACGAGAATTGTCCTGATTGCGCATTGGGCGTCTGTCCGCTCTCCCCACGGTCAAGACCAGGTTCTCTAGGTTCGCCTGCTGCCCTTGAGGCCCATAAGACGTAGTAATTACCTTCAAGACCGTCTTCGAGCCACGATCAATCAAGATACGAGACAACTGGCGCAGGCATGCACGGTATTGTACAGCATCGCCGCTCGGCATCGCATCGATAGCGGCGATGATGTAGACGAGCTTGGAAGACTGTAGTAAGTCGGCAAGAATGTTCAGGTAATCCTCTTCAAAGTTGGCATCCCGAAATCGGTTCATGTGAAATGATGTCTTGAAAGCAAACTGCCCGGCGGAACTCAGACTCAGTGCTTGGAATACGAGGCTTTTGAGCGACTCGAGGAGCGGGTACTGTTGATCTCGACTCGAAAAGATCCAGAGAACCGTAGTATGCGTCCTGACGAGATATTCCACCACGTCAGTACAGAAACCTCTGACTAGGTTTCTTTCTCGGAGCGTTGATCTTAGCAAGATAATGGATGATTTCTGGGAGAGATTCCATTCGTGCAGCTTTGCAGTGGCCCAGAATGGTTGTCTAAAGCTTCTGCGGCATTGGCGGGCCTTTTGTAGGTGAAGTGCTGCATGCAGAGTGATTTTGTGGTCGATGGCACAGTTGGACGATACCATACCGAGAGCTTGTTGCAGCTGGATATCAGAAAGGGCAGACTGAATGTGGATTCGATCGCCCGCTCTAACTGCCTTTTCAAATTCCATGACCTGGCGAAGTTCGTGTATAGTCGTTCTTATTACTTGCAATTGATCTTGGGTGCTTTGTTGATTGATTCGACTGTCTTCTAAATAGCTTATGAGTTGCACGTTGGCATCGTCAACCTTTCTATGGAGTACCCGAAACTCTGCATGGCTGCTTGCTGCTGCATTTCTCCTCACATTTTCCGTGTCTGATCGAATTGCCAGTATGAGATCATTGTAACGGAGAGCCGATGGCCGTGTAATCGAATGCAAGGCACGACGAGGGGTGGATTCTTCATAGTAGGCCCAGGCACGAATCAGAAACTGAATGATATGAGCATACAGCATGGATACTGCGCGTCGCATGATTTCGTGGGGGTATAACATGATGGCGAGTTCCACCGAGGCCAGAGAGCCGGCTATCTCGCTCAAGCCAGTGACCACAGTCACGGCTGTTCTTTCATGCTCCATAACAGCCTGAGAAGAAGTCAGTCACCGAATACGCAGTGAGAATGTTGATACTGACGCCAAACACAAACTTCATCGCTCCCCAGACCAGTGCAACATACTCGGGGTGATGGGACACGAGGACGTCCACAACTTTGCCATAGTGCAAGAGCTTTTGAGAAAAGGAGACCAGAGATTTGTAGACTCTAGAAGGCCCATGCTTTTCTTCGGATCGACGTTTGGCATCGTCCACAGCTTGGACGACATCTTGAAGGGTGCATGATTCCAATATTTGTTGCGCTAAATGTTTCTTCTTGACATCTTTAGTCAACTTTTCCCCGAATATCTTGACGCCCTCCTCAAAGGCCGTCCGCGCTGGCTCAAATGGACTTGACTTTGGGCATTAGCGTGTGGCTCGATGCATTCCAGACACACTTCATCTCGACACTTACTCATGACTTGAAGCAAGTTGAGAATTGGTAGTCCAAAGACTCAATGGATCTACATCCGGTGTTTTCTGATGTGTTGATTCGTTGGTTGCAGCCATCTTATTCCACGGTACGATGTTGCGATTTTGATAAGACGAAAAATAAATCTTACAGATGCGTCGGGTGCAGCGCCTCGTGAGAGGGAACAGCAAGAACTCAGCTGTGTATGTAATGGGCACGTGGATCAAACTTATTGCGTTCCGTCGTATGCGTGCGATGTCCACGGGTCCTATCAATAGACGCTGTGCTCTGATCGATTGAATGATTGATTGGCTGCATGGCTGCTGCATCGTTGGGCGTAGAGCCAACCCCTCAGGCTATATGCCACATCCAAACATTGCTGAACACCAAGCTTTGGTCCACGAAAACACCCTGGCGAGACCTGCCACATTAGCGACCAATACATGGAGCATTTTCGAAAGTATTCGACATGGTAGCTTGAAAGTGATGTAGGTCCGCAAAAATGAAGCTCAAGCCCATCAATTTGAATGGCTATTCTGACGGCCAATAGATAAGACTTGTTGCTCCAACACCAACTAGGTCCAGTGGCTCCCTTGCAGATTTCGCGACACGAGAACAACGGGCGAGACGAACGTGGCCGAATTGTGAGTCGGGACAGCTCAGAAGTGAGCGGCAATACAGCAAAGCATGAGCGAAACGAGCGGTCCATAAACTCTCATGACACACCATCCGACGAGGGAGACAGATCGAGATCTCAATCCAGCGTCGAGATACCCCAGAGCTCTATAGAGTATGGAAGCAAGAGATCTTTAGATCTAAGCGAGGAGCGAACCACTTCAGAATACTCGAATGACAGAGAAGAAGGATCTGGGATGGACAGGGAGAAATCGACCCCGGCCTGTGAGAATACAGAAGAACTACGCCTGGAGAACGACGCAACAGCTGACGTAGCGCTCAAACTTGATAGCCTCTTTCGGTACGTTGTCTTGAATCCTCGTTCAGAACAAGAAATTGTCAGAATGATAACCACTACTATGCAGCATCTCCGATATTCACACCTTCAAGCAAGCCATCACCATATCCGACGACCTCAGTCACGTTGCCAAGATCGAGGAACGACAGCTCCTTGCACTGAGAGACAAGAACGAGCGACTAGCACCACTTGTCGCCACCGTATTAAATCCACTTGGCCCCACGGCCTCCAACAAGCCTTTAAGGTTAAAGGACTACCAGATCCAACTTATGCTACTAGAACAACAAAATAAGAAAAGATTGATGCTGGCTCGACAGGAACAAGATATAATGTTCGATCCACCTGTGGAGAGCCCTGTCAATTTCATGCAACCTGAAGATCCGGCACTGATGGGCGGCCCGGCCTTATCCCGAAAACGCAAACGTCTCCTGGATGACAACAGCGACACGCAACTTAGCCCAGATGTCCTGGAGATGGATGCAGTGGAGCTACGCTCCTTCATCGCAGCGTTGGAGGAAAGGGCCATTGCACTAGGGGCGTCATATGATGTACCGAAAATCCCGTCGTCGCTCAAACATCAGATTTTGTACCGAATTTTTGAAGAAAAGACTATTTCAGATGGTCCCAAGGGGAAGAAGTCAATCCAAAAGATCGTGACTGGCCCTTATTTTGACCCTCCAGAATGGGTTGGCGGGCAAGACGAGACCGGAACACTCCGTTGCCAACTTCCGCTGCAGAATTTTGATCTCTTCTTGGAGAAAAACAAAGATCTGGCATTTATAGTGTACAAAACCTATGATCTACAAGTCGGTCATGAGAATGAGTCACAGCGACAAAAGGTGGTTGTGAATGAATCCATTCATCCCATTACCGACGAATTGAAAGAGGCGGTCAAGGTTCTCTTGGAGTCAGAGGAGGAGTTCTTCCAGTTGCACCAAGAATACAAGGATACTTCCGAGCTCACGGCTCCCTACCTCTGGGTCTTTCATCAGCGGGACAGTTGGGAGTCTGTTTTGGAAGGCTTGCCCCAGGTGCTTCGAAATCAAACCAACATGCTCTGGGAATACATCATGGACAATCATGGTGAGGAATATGCTGCTGTTGATACATTCATATCCAGCGGACAGATCACGTCTAATTATATCAAGTATCTCTTCAAACCTGGTGACATTATCGTCGAATCTAAGAACGATCAGCACCTGGGATACATGGCCAAGTCTTGGCCTCACTATGAAGGAAAGAGTCTTAAGGCGCGGCAGCACAAAGGTGCAGTGCCCGACAACAGTTCGGCATCTTTTCATGGCGTGAACAGCATCTTCAACCACAGGGGCGAGGAAAAGGTGGTGGTGCATAAATGGACAATCGAGGCCTGGCATTGGGAATTTGACGGCCAATTTCGACGCAGGAGTGGCATGCTCTGGTTATCCGTCGAAGCTGATCCCAGAGATACTGAGAAAGGCATTGCGAAATCAAAGCACAATGCTGATCAACAGCAAAATGATTCCGGCATTGTCAATATTGATGAGCTAGGAATATTTCCACTGTCATGCGCATCTGAAGAGATAATTGCCAGATTGCGCCGCCGCGGAAGATCCTTCTGGACCTGTCGGAATGGAGCGTTTATGTCTTATCGGGAATCAACAGGACAAAATGGATCAACTCTGGTGAGCACAACTCTCATGGCATTTGCTAGATTGTTCGTAGGGATCAAGCCGAAGATACTTGATGCTGAGTACTTGTTTAGCTGGAAGAACGCTACATGATTGATCTCAAGACATATCACAGTCTCCACAAAGATAACAAAGCCGAGAGGACGGGCTTCGGAACCGGGTTCGTGCATGAAATAAGCTTCGAAGCAATGGAAAAGGATGAGCCACCCGACCCCACGTTCGAGTTTCTACTGCCACTTACCATCAAGGGGTTCAACCTGCGAAAGAAAAAGTGGTATGACCTGGCCGCGGACAGAATCAGTCCAGTCAAATGGAACAAGGAGGCATTTCAGAAGGTGGTGATTGACCCGAAGGCTAAAGACCTTATCCTCGCCCTCGTCAACAATCAGCTGGCTTCCGAGGTGAGCACTGATCTGATTGAGGGCAAGGGCAACGGGCTCATCATGCTCCTCCACGGCGGCCCAGGCACCGGCAAGACCTTGACAGCCGAGAGCGTTGCTGAAATCTCGGAGAAGCCACTTTATAGAGTGACTTGTGGAGACGTAGGCACCAAGGCAGAGGACGTCGAGAAATACTTGGAATCTGTTCTCCATCTAGGAAAGCTGTGGGGATGCGTTGTGCTTTTGGACGAGGCGGACGTGTTCCTGGAGGAGCGTAGTCTGAGGGACCTTGAGCGCAATGCATTGGTTTCCGTCTTTCTGCGCGTGCTGGAATACTACGAAGGCATCCTCATCCTCACGAGTAACCGAGTCGGTACCTTTGACGAAGCCTTCAAGTCTCGCATCCAGCTGGCACTGCATTACCCGACGCTTGGTCCATACCAACGCCTTCGGATCTGGGAGAACTTTCTCGACCGACTGGCGAAGCTTGATGACAGGTCGATCGACTTGGATGATTTGCGTTACCACCTGGAAGACCTCCAAAAGGAGGATATGAATGGCCGCCAGATCCGCAACGCCATCACCACTGCGCGCCAATACGCCAAGTGGAAAAAGGTCACATTGACCTACCAGCATCTCAAGGATGTTATCGAGGTCTCGGGCCGCTTCGATCAATACTTGAGCAAGGTTCGTGGAGGATTGTCTGAAGATCAACTGGCAGAGGATGAAGGTTGGAGATAGAGAAGTCGACACGCCATTGAATGGGTGATAGATGTGGCCTACAGGGTACAGCCATATCGGGGGCTTTGATGATATAATGAGGGCCTTGATTTTCCATTTAGCACACGACAATTGTTTATTTAGTGGGTTGATGCTTGCTTATAGACGTATCCTATTCTGTTTTATATCAATAAGCACTTAGCATATGCTGGTTCTCCTCATATGCAAACTTGCCGCCGTCTTTCACTGTTTTATTTTGGAATCAGGTGGCATCAGAAACGAGATGGCTGACTCCCGCCAGCCCCGCAGGTGTAGCGACGCCCTAGAGCCTGGATTAGGCGGTTTAGTACCCTGCTACCAACAATGCTTAGGCCTACCTAGGTGTGTTATCCCCCGCTCCATCCAATGGTCTGGCCGGGTAGCACATAGCTACTTGTTCACTATCCCTTTCTTCTGCAGATCCAGTCTTCACTTTTGAATATGAGCTGATCACCTCGAGATGAGCGGGCGACGTTTACCTGGTACGGACCTCTGAGCCTTGAATTTTGTGTCTGCACCAATTTATTTGATGGACTTCAGGCCAAACTGACACATGTAAAAAGGCCCCGCGTGCGCCACCTGCAGAGTAAAGTCACGTCGTTGTGATCGTGGTCGCCCTTCCTGCAATCGATGTCTGACCAAGGGCTTGACCTGTGGAGGATACCCCGACAAGTTTCGCTTTTGTGGCATTGCGAGTCGAGGTAAATTAAAGGGAAAGAAAATCCCGACAGCGGATGGGCCAGAGATTTCTTTGAAGGGCTCAGCGGAGCAACCCCAGCAGCCTGAAAGCTTGCCGTCCGCTGCACCTCTAGCTACCACTGAAGACGACAATCACATCGAAACGCTTCACCTTGGAGCGCCCTCGAGTACACTGCAGCTTGAATCTGCTTCTGATCCCCCGCGCCTTTCGACGCCTAGAGAGCCTTCTCAAACCAGACGAGATGGTCCGCAAAATGTCGAAACCCCCGTTGGTGAACGTCGTTACAGCGATGTTGATCCAGCTGAACTCAACTCGGCAATGACGATCCATCCTCTGCCCGACCCCAATTTCGTGTATGAAATGGTGACTTCAAATTCACCCACTCATTCCGAGTCGCCAGTACACAGCTTATTGACACGGATTGGAAATTCCCGGATTCGCAGTCAAGCAGACGCCCTCCTGGAACATTGTAGGTCTAATATATACCCTTAAGCCAGTGATTGGCGCTAATTCTAGAAGACGTCAGTGAAATATGTCCTCATCAGATACAACAATTAGGTGCTCATGTTGCGAATCCGTATGAATCGTACATAGTGCCTCTAGCAAAAGAGCCAGTAGGCTTATTATATGCCATATTGGGTCTCGCGGCCAGCCACTTGGGACAGGAGCAGTCTGACCGAGACCTTCAATACAACGTTGCTGTGGAGTGTCGTCTTTTATCCCTCTCGGAATTGGGTAGCGCAATAAGGCGGGCCATTTCTACTGAAATGTCAAACGACTTTCGAGATGCTATATTCGCCACTATACAAATCCTACTTTTGCAAGACGTAAGTGGTAACAAATCCTTCTTTTTGGCTATAAACCAGTCAACTTAACCCAAAATGATTTCAGGTCTGCGAAAGTGGTGTCTCGGAAAATGGTATACATATATCGGGCGCTTTTGCAATCAGTTCGAATCTCCTCAAGCTTGACACCTTGGAACCATTGCGGCATAGTCGAACGATCTTCTTCCTGAGCAACTTGGCTTGGTAAGATTGTGTTTGACTTGCACTTGATGCTACATATGACTTACCAAGTGGCTTATTTCTGTAGGCTCGACATAATACGCGCGTTTGCGAATCCTCAGCGATTGAGCTTCTCTCAAGAATCACGTGAGACTTTGGTCATGCTGATTGATTCTCGGTTTGAACTGGTAAATGGTTGCCCAAAAGACTTGTTCATTCTTATCGGAGAAGCTCTCACTTGTGCCAAGGCGCGCGGCTTGCAGGATATTGGGAAAACGGAATTCGAACAGAAGCTGCGGCGGATACTACGACAACTATATTCGTGGAACCGACATCAATACCAGTGCCCCAATGATGACGCTCGCTGGGTAAATGTTGCGGAAGCATTTCGGCATACCTGTATCTTGAGAGTCTTGAGGCTCTTGGACGAATTTCATGACCCGCGGGATCCTGAAATCCAAGAATCTGTTCATGCCATTCTAGACGCAGTCTCTGGGATATCGAAAGATTGTGCTCTTGTGGAATTAATGGTTCTGCCCTTGTTCATGGCTGGCGCTGATGCCATGTCGCCACATTCACGTCACTATGTGAAATTGCGACTGGATGATATTAGGGGAAGGTCAAGAATGAGCAATCCGGCGCCGGACAGACTGCTTCAGCAAGTTTGGGATGCTCGAGCTTTACAGTCCAAGCATGATAGGAAAAACATCCCTTGGATGTTATTTGTAAGTTGACTCATGGTGGCTGTTGTGTGATTTGAGATGGCTGACCATTATTAGACCAACGACAGCCAGTCAACTCGCCAACATGATTATTTAATCATTTGAGCAAAGTAGCATGCTTCGTGCATTATGCTGGGATATACACGATCGAGATATCCTACATTCTTGAGAGACGAGACAGTGTCAAAGAAAAAGAAATTGCAATTTACTTTGGCTGGTATGTTAAGAGAAGCTTTGGGTAAAGAACTAAGAGCCTGAAATCAATTCTCCGTCTAGTCAAATGCACACCGCTTTGCATGGTCAATGGTCTGGCAATGGACAGAGTTACCTTCTGGTTGAGCGAGTTTCCTAGAAGAGCTTAGCCGCTAAGTGACTGTTCTCAGTAATCATTTCGAGCTGAGTGGTCCCTCAACCGCCCATTGTCTATATAGTATAATAAGCGGCCTCCTCTCGGTTCAAAGATTCCTTTTCTGTCACTGAACACATTAATATCACTTTCAATTGTCCTCGTTCGTCAATAGTTTACTACGAGTTGTCTCTATATCTTTCGAACCTAACCTAAACACATAATGACGGACTTTACCTTATTCTCTGGCACATCCAGTCAGCCACCACTACCAAAGGACACTCAAGAGCAAACCTTTACATTGTCAGCTACTGCGGGCTCAGACATTTGGCGTACTGTAAAGGCAGCCGGTGGTCGAGACGACTTCAATGGACCAATCTACGCCACGAAAGTACCCTTGAAGTCTTTCCAGCACGCAGCCGCCACCATTTCGGCGGACTTTCAGACGCCGTATGCCCAGGGCGGTCTCATCATCTTCTTCCCAGGCAGGTCCGCAATTATTACACAGAACGAGGACGGAACCACCGTTTTCGAGACATCACCAGAGTGGTGGATCAAGACTGGCATCGAGTTTGAAAACGGCTCTCTCTTCGCATCCGTTGTCACGGCAAATCCCTCTGCCGACTGGAGCCTGGCCTTGCTGGGGACCAACAAGGCCACGTTTGAAGTGGAAAGATCGCATGGCGCATTGTGGATATATGTCACCAAGCAGAATGAGCCGAGGGTCCCATTGAGAGAGGTGACATGGGTATTCGAAAACGAAAATGATGGTCGTGAGGTCTGGATTGGGGTTGCCGCTTGTATGCCTGTTGGTGAAAAGGACTCTGGTGGCGGTGATTTGAATGTCTTGTATGAGAACTTTTCATTGAGGACCGTTTGAAACGATATACTTGAACATGCAAAGAGAGTCAATTAAATTAAGAATAAATAGCCATCCTATGTCTCGTAAAGTGTATATCATCTAGTGATTAGTTTTTTCTTCCTCCTCAACTTGCTGTACTTGGAATACAACAAAATAGCAAGAAAGGCAAGTCTCATAGAATTTGGATGGGATAGGATAGCCGGCCATCGTGTCTTGGCATATTTACTCTAGTGTCGCCTTGGCATTCGAAGCTGTATTACTCTTTAGGTTTGCTGCTGGATTGTCCCAAAGTAGCAGTTCGTCCCGCAAGCCAAAGGATGACGGAACCTGGTGCTGCTACGGAGCCTGTAGAGGATAGTGCTTCTTGTGTTTCTCACCATGACAAAAGCACTACCAATATGCCCCCAATAACTGACTCCCTGTTTCGGTATTAACCAGACGAAGTTTGGCCCTATATTTATTATCCATCTTAATGCTGTGATGTTTCGCATGTTTCCGATTGATCTCTAGAAGAGGTTCGAGTCCAATCCCAAGCTGAAAGATGACATAAAATTGAAATATCTGAAAGATTGGACTCAATAGGCAATCCTCACTCAATAGTCCCCGATAGAAATTATAGATACGATATACAGACTTCTTGTCTCTTGCAGTAATCAAAGATGTACCAGAAAACTTTTGTATAAAATCGAGTAGGTATAACATTCAAGCACGCGGCCGGAATTTAGCCGCAACGGCGCAGTGGATCCGCTCTTGCGGGAATTGAGCTGGGCGAAAGTCCGTGCATTGCAAGCAGTAGGCAAGCGCCGGCAGCTTTCCAGGTTTAGAGCTTTTGGAGAGCTCTTTGAATTGGACAACAGGTTCGACTAAATACTTCATGCGGCCAGCCAAAATATGCCGCCGCGATTGTCGTTACGAGCCTCGGCGGCTCCTCGTCGCCTCCTCGGACAAGTCAGCGGTAGCGAACGGCAGGCTGTTTGTTTCTTTTGTTCATTGACGGATTCCTCCTCTCCGAGACCGCAGCAGCAGCAACAGACACCAGCCACCCGACGGGCCAGACGAAGAAGAGGAGGAAGACTAGCTGCCAGCTCACAGCAACAGCAACGAGTTTACCAGTCCACCACGTCCACCGCCAGTAGTACATCATCGACGACACGAGAGCCGGATGCCAGAAAAGAGTTGGAGGATGCCTTGGTACAGCTCCAGAAACATGCCGCCAGCTTCGTGAACCTGTCGCGGTTGCAACTGGCCATCAATGGCCTACGACAAGAGCCCGGCAGCGAGGCGATCCGAGTCGCCATCCTCGGCCTGACCAATGGCACCGTCTCCGGACAGTCGGCCAAACAGGTCCTGAAGCTCCTCCTCGCCGACCCGCTCAAGGACGAGGAGGAATGGGAACGCGAAGTCGACCGCCACGACCTGACGCAGCCCATGATCATCCGGGTCGGCGCCAAGGATCACCAGACACCCGGGACCATCTCGCTGGCCAAGGGCAGTCTGTTACACGAGGTCAATGTCTCATCGGCGACAATGAATGGTCACAACCTCGAGCTGCTACTCATGGAGACCAATCCATACGTGGCGTCTGCAGACGACAGCGTCGAGGGCCTCGAAGATGCGATTCTCGTCCCCACGGTCGATATTCCCATATCAGGTACGGGGAGGTACACTCCAGTCACGACGCCGGTACACAAGGCTCTCCTGGTGACAAATGGACTCATGGGCGCTGCATCCGTGGCATCTCTACCACTGTCGGAAAGCGCAGATGTCATTGCAGCTGCTGTGGACATTCCAGAGTATAAGCCGGACAGTCAGACAGCTCTACCATTCACGCCCATTGATGTAGGAACTGCCAGCGTCGGTCTTGGTCTGATCCGGAAAAGTCTTAATGATGCCATGGAATACGAGCACATGTGGTTCCAGAGCAATTTACCAAAACTCAAAGATTGGGTCAAGGCAGATGTTACAACTGACGCTGCTGGCATCACAAAGGCGCCTGTACGGAGATTAATAGCATCACTACTGCAAAACACCACAATCGCAATAGCAGAAGAGGAAGCAAGGGCTGTTTCTACCACATTGACAACCGCAACATCCCCGAAATCGACACATCTCAATTCCAACCTGGCTGCATGGGCCGAGGGGGCCCATTCAGAGTTGCAAGAACAGCTAGACCTGGCATTCTCGAGCCGGAGGTGGCGCAAGCTGGGCTGGTGGAAACTCTTCTGGCGCGTCGACGATGTGCACATGCTCACGACCGACATTATCAACCAGCGGTTCCTGCCCACGGCTGAGAAAAAGGCAATTTACCTGGCTGGCCAGATCCAGGAAGCCAACGCGCCAAACAGCATTTCGGTCGTTTATGATGCACCCGTCTTACAGACGCCCGACGTTCAACCAGCTGTACCAACGACCTGGCCGACAAATATCCCGGCAGCACGATCCTATCTCCAAAACGAGACGATACCGGCCTTGCAGGCACTCGCACAAAAGCTCGTCCTGCAGACATTGAGCACATCGGGCCTGACCACTTCTCTAGGAGCCCTGGCCTACTTTGGAACTCTGACCACGGGCATTTATGAGGCTGGCGCCGTTGCGGCACTTGGTATCGTCTGGAGTATGCGCCGGATGCAGAAGCAGTGGGAGACGGCACGCAGCTTCTGGGAAGGAGAAGTGAGGGAGGAGGGACGCAAAGCTGTTCGTGGTGTCGAGACTTCGGTGGAAAAGGTCCTGAAACAGTCTGAAGACGTGGACGCCACTCCCGTCGCCGAGAACGAAGAACTCATCAGAGCTAGAGATTTGGTCGAGAAGGCCACCGAGGCTCTTGACAGGTTAAAATAGAGGAGGCCTGTATAGATTATGTGTATAATTAGTGTACCCGGACATAATTCCAGCTGATCGGCCGTGGACGTCTTGTTCACATTAAATCTCTCTACTCCATCCTGACCACAATACATAGTCCTCATTGACTTTCCTCGCTAATGGTTGAGAATAATTAGGCCAAGAACATTGAAACGGGCTTACTAAACTCACCAAAACCTGTAATATGATTTCCAAGGGGTATCGTTTGCCGCGCACAGTTTCCAATGCGCAACAGCGGCATGTAATTTTCTCTATCTCATCAGCCATTTGTTTCGTCCCCAATCTTACTCGGTGCGTGGGCGCTTGGACTCGCCATCGCCATCGCCCTCGGCCTCGTTCCCATTGACACCATCGGCATCACCACCATCAACCTCGTCTCGGCCACGGACACGACCGGCGCCTTCGCCAAGCTCACCACTGATGACGACACCCTCGCCCTCTGCCACCTCGGCGCCGCCACCGATCCAGTTGCCCTCCTCGTCAAAGTAGTCCCCCACGTTTTCGGCCGTGATCCAGCCCGAGCTCCCGGGCATTGGCGGCGGTAGACCACCGTTGGCATCGCCCTGAAACGCGCCAGGCAGGCCCTCGAGGGCTTCTCCCTCGAACACGATTCTGTCCATGTAGTCCTCACCATCGCCCTCGTCGTCTTCGTCCTCGTCGGCTGGGTCCGGGTGCAGGTTCTGACAAGCCGAAATCTGGGCAAAGAGAGCCGAGGTGCGCTGGGCGTTGAGCGGGTCTATTATCGACTCGGTCGCGGCAGCATCGACGGCCTTGTAAGGAACGAGAGTCAGTTCCAGGGGATCAAAGGACTCGTCGTCGTCGCCGCCGTCGCCCGAGAACTCGAGCTGCATGTACACGCCCAGGAATTTCTTTGTCTCGTCGTCGGGGTTCTCGCGGCTCTTGAAGTTCTTGGTCGCGTGGAGGGAAATGGACGGGTACGGTATCTCGATACCAGTCTGGTTGTTGTGCGAGTAGAGAATCAGCTTGCTATAGTGACGGCGTAAAGATACAAAGTCAGCTCAACAAGATCTCAATTGCCAGATGGCACAAGTGAAGGGGTTTGTGTATTTTCTCGTACTGTGATGACACAAAGACCTCGACCTTGTCTTCTTCGCTCAGGTGCTTGCCGCCGTCGTTTTCGAGGGCGAGGGCCTCGGGCGGCGTGGGTGGCTTGTTGGGCGCGGCGTCACTGCCCTCCTCCACATGGCCGCCGCTGGAGAAGATGTGCAGGCGACTCGACTGCTCGGGCGAGCACCAGGCCTTGATGTGCTCGTCGTGAAAGTACAGCACGGGCTTGCCGTCGAAAAAGGTCTCGGGCGTCTGCGACTGGTACTCGCTGAGGGGCTGAAAGTCTGCTTCCGCCGACGGGCGGTTCTTAATCACCGTGGGCAGCATTTTTCTGTGGTGGGTTTCTTGGTAACTGAAATAAACAGTTTTGCCTTTTGCTCAGAATTACAAAACTCTGGAGAGTTTCTGATGCAGTAGTTTGATCTATGTATTGTTGCACAAAGTCGATCAAACCACCTTTCTTTTGCCTGGTCCCTGGATTTTACAAGGTCCCAAAGCTCCATTAGCTCAATTGGACGCGCCTTGCGTCAGTCGCTGGGAGATCGCGGGGCTTATCGTGCCTTATCCTGGAGCTTATCGTCGATTATCGCGATCATCCAAGCTCAATGATTACCTACACATTTACGTACTGGTACCTGCATCCCCCCCAATTCGAAGTTCAAGCGCATGCGAGTTCCGAGCTCCATTTGAGAGTGTCCATCTTCCCAACGTGAACAAACTTGTTTTCCAGCCAAGTCTTCGTTATTGCGTACTCGGATCAGAGTCTTCATCTACCACGAACGCAAGCGCATTAAACTGTTAGCGAACCAGGAAATCATCTCACTTTCCCAACGACGACGGCGTTCCGGCGCATCTCCGGGTTGCGACAATGAGTGACCATCGTATGCCTTTCCATCCTGTCGCTCAACTCACTTTCCATAAACGCGCGACAAACGAGCCAGCAAATACATTTGAACATGGGAAGACTGACTAGCTTTATCTCCAAAATACAGGCACACACCCTCTCCTCGCTCAGATCCCTCTGACGGTATCTCCCTTTGTCAGTCTGCCTACCGCCGCCACATTACCATACACCTACAAGCCCATGCCGTCGACGCTCCCACCGTCCATCAGCGGCATCACGACAACCTCGTCACCCACCGACACCGATCCCTCGAATCCCGCCTCCTCCTCGGCCGCCGCTACGGGCCCCATTGACCACAAACCCCGCTACGTCGTCTCCACGTCGGGCCACGCCGCCCACCCCGACGACATTATTGCCTCGTGCCGCGCCCTGCAGTCCCACGTTGCCCAGATGCAAGCCGACGCCGAGCGCGAGCTGCGCGAGCTGGACCAGCGCATCCGTGATCGCGAGCTCGCCGAGAAGCGCCGCGTTGCGCCCGGCTGGCTGGACAGCGAGTCCCGCCTGCTGGAGCCCGAGCGCAAGGCGGCCGAGGCCGAGGCAGACGGTAGTTGTGGCGGCGAGTTGAGCGCCGGGGATGGATTGGTGGCCGGTCAGTTTGCTCAAATGAGTTTGGCGGATCGGCAGGGCGCTTTGGAAATGGCTGGCGATATTGACCAAGGGGCCGAGCTAGACCGTGCCTTTGGTGGCAAGTGATTGTGCATTCATCTCTTGGATTCAGGAGCATTTATTCTGGCGTATCCCTCAGTTTATATTGCATGTTTGGCGTTGCGGATAATCGGGCATTTCCGCCTTTTATTAGGAACATAGAATCGTACTACTTCATGGGCTCGTATCGGTCGTACCCATAAACCCTAGAGGCTGACAACAATCATTGGCTTCTGTATCGATACTTATTTAGATTGGTATTCAATTGATTTCGATAATACGAAATAGCAATGCTCTCCGTTTGACATGAATATTGCGGTAGCTAAACCATGTTGAGCACAAATAGAACTGTATAAGCATGAAATCGCTCTCCTTCACCATCCAGTTTGCCAGTGATGGCCCAGCTAGGGCTCACCTTCACTATTCGGCCCCCTGACCAGATGCTCAGCTCTTCTGATCTCCATGCGCTCCTCGAAAGCGCTTGAATCATCGTCGTCGTCCTCGATATCTTCATCGTCATCGTCGCTAGGCCCGTCATCGCCGAGGTCCTGATCATGCTCCTTGGGTGGTTCTGGTGCCCTTCTCTTCTTCTCGAAATCCTGCCGGTGGGCGTTTGCCATGATCTTTCGAATCGTGCCACCTCCGCTGCGAAGGACATCCGAAGCCCTACGCTTCCGGAGTCCACTTTCCATTGCATCTGGAGCAGGAGAGGACCCGGAGGCGGCGACCTGATCACCAGCTCTTGCTGATCTTCCAGCTGCGCCCACATCGAGACCGGTAGCCAAGGCCTCCTGCGAGCTCCTTGGGCGCGGGGCTTCCTCACTCGGTCTCTCTACCAGAGGTTCAAGGTCCAGCTTGTAAGGAAGTGGCACGTCGCGACTAGCCTTATACTGGGAGACATTCGAACAATGTTCATTCTCGACACGGAACAGTGCCCACATGCCACGCCGAGTCACTTCGGCAAACCCAATCAGAAATGAAGCGATGCTATTATGCTGCTTATCATGAGTGAAGATTGCATAGAAGATCCAGGCGAAACGCAAGATGGGATCAATTATCATGATGGCATAGTATAGCCAGCGTTGCTTGATGGCTAGGATATCTCTCAGGAAGCGGTGTCGGGAGTCTGGCTGTAGGAAGGAGAAGTCCATAAACAGGTCCCAGATGGAACAGTAAATCGAGTTGACGCACGAAAATGTCACAAACAGAGCCAGAGTCGTAGTATGGTCTTGAATGCGGTAGAGTGAGAGCGTAACGGCTGCCATAATCGTCATGATGTATTTGCCGCAATTGACGAGATGAGGAAACTTGTTCCTGGTGTCAGAGTATCGGCGAACGCATTGAAATGCACGCCAGATGGGTGGCAATGCTGAGAAGAAGCCGAGCAAGCGTGAGTGACTGGAATTACACTGGTCCGGATCGTCCCAATAATGGGCATAGAGACAGAAGAAAAGCTCGACATTCTAGATCATCACCCACATTAGTATTGATATTACCCTTGGCGGAATGGAATCAAGAGCGACTTACGCAAACGGCATATGTTAGTGAGCAGTACATGTCGCCGAGAAAGAAATCTCTAAACTCGACGGGGTAGTAGCCCGCGAGCAACAAGCGCCAGTGGGAATATGCAAACCACTTTCGACTTCGATGAGCGAGGATCGGAAATGGAAGGAATATAAGTAAGACAGTGAGGAAAATTAGTATGATCGGGTAGTAGAGGTACATGGATGGCGACCCGTATCTCGTAAAGTTGAGCCACATGAACAAGCCAAAGAGCAAGAGACAGAAGCTCGGGAACTCGGCAAGCTGCCTCCAATCGAGTTGGTGGCGAGGGTCAAACTCGAAGATGAAGGGATAATTGACCTTGTAGGTTGTCCAAAGACTGCAGTCAAGGCAGAACAATGCAAACAAGTACATCATCAGAAAGTACCCTCCATAGATCTGCATCAGATAACTGGTTTGTTCCCTCACCACGGGATCTTCGTCGAACAGGAGCTCAGCACCATAGATCAAACCCTGGACAGCAAAGACTCCACCGGTTCCCAAGAAGATACCAGTCAAAAAGGTGCTGCCAGACTCATCCCTTGGCTTCCTAGTGAGTCGACGGAGCTTTCCGGCAGCGATCTTATGGTTGCCTTTTTCAAAGTACCTGGCATAGAGGTCTTCTACGGCCTTGATGTGTCCATCCAGCGCCTCGCTGGTCACGAACCAAGATTTGTTGACCTTTTCGTTCATGAACCTATATGGTGGTCGAGCATTGACTGCCTTGTCGTACTTCTTGTTGAGTTTTCGGAAAGCCGTCCGGTTGAGGAGCGTGTACGACTTCAAAAGCTCAAGACCTCTGTAGAACTCTTGCAAAGCAAGCTTCAGCTTCCGTTTTGCCGATCGGTAGGGCACTTCGCGTCTCCGTATCTCATAGTCTCGTTGATCAGGTCTCAACATGGGTCCCACATTCGGTGTCTGGGCCATTTTCAGCAGAGCCTTGGAATTGGGGCCCGGTGGCAGAATTTTTGCTCTAATGGGATCCATCCAGCCGTTTGGTGTCTTGCGATTTTGCGGCTTGTCAGAATTCTCTTGGTCGTGATTCTGGTTATTGCTGAATCCATTCTCTACTTCTTGCTGTCTTCTGACCTCGGCCAATTCGGCAGCTCGCCTGTCTCTCATTTCGTGTAGCTGATTCCTCAGAATGGCGAGTCGTTGGCCAGCCTGTTCTTCCTTTTGTTTGTAAAAGGTTTCAACTTTTTCAAGCTCCCCATCGAGAAACTCAAAGAACTCCTTCTCCCGTTGCCGGACCGCGTCCAATGCTTGAGAACCCTGGTCCAGTTTGATGCTCTCTGGGTGGGCTGGTCCTTGGCCATAGGAAAAGATTCGACGCAATCGGCTCGAAGAGCTGTCAGCCCTAATCAATCTCTGACGAGGCAGAGTCACAGAGTTCCCCGTTTCGTGATTGCCAAGGGGCAACATGGTCGAACTACGCTTCATGAGTGACCTTCCCAAAGTACGACTGGAAGTGTCTGCAGGTTCTGGGAGATGATGTTCACTCATATTCGATTCTGGACGCATTGCAGGAGCAGGTAGTTCAAAGGTTTGACGGCTTCCGACTGTGGTCAAAGGCGACGCTGGCCCGGGAGGTGTGGGCACGAAACTACCGTAATTCCCTTCATTGCCCGGTGAGCGTGTCAATGACATACGTTCTGGTCTCAAGGGTATTGATGTGGGTTCGGACTGTGCCGTGGTTGGGTCCCTGGTCCTATCTGAACCTCCCACTGTCTTGCCACGTCCTGTTGGAGTTTGACCAGGACCAAGCGAGTTTGCTCCCGACGAGGCGGTTGCCTGGTGACCTCCATTATGCCTTGAAGGTGTAGAAAAAGTTCCTCCATAAGAGGGGGTGGAATGAGGTGGCAGGTCTGCCTTTTTGGTTAGGTGAGGAGGTGCATTGGCCTTGTTGATGGCGCGTGACACGGCCTTCACGTATTTCTTCCCGGCCTTGTAATTCAAGTACTTGATCCGCCATTCTTTAGAAAAAGGTCAGGTCAGTAAAGATCCGTGTTAATGAGGTAAGCAACGAGGCTTGGGAAACAGCATTTGGCGGCGCGCAATTGAAACGCCATCCCAAGTAAGCAATCGACCAGCGGGCTCTTGCCTGCTAGGAATGAAGATGCAGAGGAGATCTCATTCGCAATGTGCCCGCACCAGAGGCGATGAGAGGCAGTGTTCATGGAGGAGATTTTAGAGATTACTCACCTATGCACAGTTAGCCTAAGCAGATTTTCACGAGGGAACCATGCTAAGACGCTATCAGAAGTCAAAAACTCACCTGGGACGAGGTCCGCCTCGAGCTCCTTTGCAAATTTCATGACGTCAGATCATAAGTATGCAAATTGGGCTCTCGCGGTCCATCGATATAGTACTTGGGCACCAAAATAAAAGAGTGTGACCACGATGATGGCGCCTGGGAAAGCCACAGGCTTTCGTTCCTGAGACCTCTCCTCAGACAAGGTATTAGAGATTGTAACCGTCAAAATGACGACGGGCGCCGCGAAACTCAACCGCCGCGCGCCAAAAAAGGGTGGGAAAAAATAAGAATTTATTGACCTTTCCGTTCAAGACAGGTCCTTCGCTGCTTCCCGAGCTTGGGCCCGTATCTAAAGCGACCTTAGGGGACTTGATGGGTCTCTGATTGGCTGGACGCCCGACGTGCTCCTTTAACTTCCAGGCCACTCCACTGAAGCCAGCACACGTGCGCCAGACATGGACCTGCACACGGGCAGTACACCCAATACAATCAAGACACCATTGAGCTCGGAACCAATATCGATCTATCCATTTTGATATATTGGTATAGAACAGCCTGTAATTTACAATTAAAGAGCCCAACAGACGATCTGTGATAAAGCGCAGATAACATTGTGAGTCAGTAGGATCATTTTCACGATTGGGAAATCAATTGGTCTCCAGCACGGTCGGTAGGGCATACCAAAGTACTATTCTGCCCCTCACGTTGCGAAGCAGGTTCTTGACGGCTATCGATCATTCCTGGTTACAACCTCATCAGCCTGCTTCGTTCTTTTATCCTTCTTATACCTTAGAGGATTGGCGCCAAATCATTCGCCAGATTTGACTGCTGGAGACTGGAAGAGACAACCACAAACAAAATGGCGCCTATACCTCGATCTTCTCTCCCCCGCCTCATCCTTTACCACCAAACGGTCAATGAGCGGGACGGCTCACCAATCTCTGTCCTGCCGCTTATCACTCGACCAGACATCTCACTCACTCATATCATTGTGGCCGCCATTCACATCAACGAGGACCCACTCAAGTTGACGCTCAACGACCACGCGCCCTCGCACCCGCGGTTCGCGACGCTATGGGCGGAGCTGCGCCTGGCCCAGGCCAACGGCATCGCCGTGCTGGGGATGCTGGGCGGCGCGGCCAAGGGCACGTACGCCCGGCTGGACAGTGCCGTCGTCGACGACGCAACCTTTGAGGCCTACTACGGGCCCGTACGGGACCTGATCCGGGACCGGGGCCTCGACGGGCTGGACCTCGACGTCGAGGAGCCCATGTCCCTGGGCGGCATTATCCGGCTGGTCGACCGGCTGCGCGCCGACTTTGGCCCCCGCTTCTTGATCACTCTGGCTCCTGTCGCCGCCGCGCTTTTAAATTCCCGCGCCAATCTCTCCGGTTTTGATTACGAGGCCCTCGAGGTCATGCGCGGTCGCGACATTGCCTGGTATAATGCCCAGTTCTACTGCGGCTGGGGCGACGCCGCCACCCCGCTCATGTACGACATGATTGTGGCGCGCGGCTGGGACCCCAAAAAGGTCGTCATGGGTCTCGTCACCACGCCCGAAAACGGCAACGGCTTCGTCCCCTGGCCGGTGCTCAGCGGGACTCTGAAGGTGCTGCAGAACACGTGGAAGGACGGCGCTTTCGGCGGCGTCATGGGCTGGGAGTACTTCAACAGCTCGCCCGGCGGCAAGGAGAGGCCGTGGGAGTGGGCTCAGAACATGACCAAGTTGCTGCGGAGTGGAGGGGGATCCTCGCGCATACCGGAGCCAAGTTCCGCAAGTCAAGCGGGAAGTGCGGCTGCAGCGGCCGATCAAGCAATTCCAGCTTCCACAATTTCTACAGTAGCAGAGGCGGACCCGGACGTCGAATCAGCTGCGGAACCACCCGTGCCAAAAGACTTTCAGTACGATACCGACTTTGGCGAGGGTTCGGACAATGAATGATCAAGCTGGTATAAGGGGTTTTTCAAACATGAGGTAGAAGTGATTGCATTTGCATCAGCGTGGCGTTTATACATCATGGGAGCAATTTAATAATTTAGATAAAATTGTGTATAGAACCCTCTTTGCAGGCATGAGATATGGAATAGATGATAATCCATGTCTCGGCCAGCGCAAGACCATTTATTGCATGTTTCGAGTGTTTGCCGACAGCATCGTTGGGAATAGCAGAGCTATATCTCTTTCTACCTTTCTTGCCATGCCCTTCACGGCCCGAATACCAAATTTGTATAACCACATGCAAAGGTCACTCATGGCACGACGTGAGTGGTTAGATGAATTGTTTCTTCTTTAGTATTTATGCTTTATCTAACTCCTGTCTTGGAGTATACGCTGTTTAGCGAATATTCTTGTGCGCTCTATATCTAGCTTCTATCGTTTTACCCATTCGCTGCGAAAAGTAAGGGTCGCAATGAAGCTCTAAAGTACATTCTCGTTATCATGAAAAGTTGAAAAATTGAAGGACAGAAATTCTCGCAGTGTGTGCAATGAAGTGTTCCGTGTACGTATCGGCGATTTTGCGAGATGGAAAATAAAAAGAACAGACTTAAACCATATCTGCCCTGTCGCTCCGGCGGTCACTCCGCATGGTCATGGTTCTACCGAACAGTCTATGGCCGTGACCACCATGCTGGCTGCCAGATGCCAGACTAGCCGTGCGCTCGAGGTTAGGGTTAGCACCACTTGCAGTAGGCTCCTCCTCAGCAATCCGTGGAGGATGGGCGAAATGTGGGTGAGTTCTACGGCCAACAAAAACATCTTGGTAGAAATCCTGATCTGGTAACGAAACTCGGGAACCGGAGCGGGCGCGTCGTGATGCCGAAAGCTTCGAGTAGTCAACCGGCTGATTGCTGGCCTCATAGGCCGGTGGCTGAATATTGGATTGGTAAACAGGGAAGTCCCGGCCGGAAATCTGGTACTGTCGTCTCGGCTGCTCGATACCAATGTTGACCATCTGCGTCATCAGCTCCAGTGCGAATTTGTTGTGGCGAACCAGACGAAGCAGCTCATTCTGGAAACTGGACTTGTGGAAGCAGATGAAGTTGACCGTAATACAGTAGGCATCTTCCACTCCCTTCATTTCCGTAATGATCTTGCTGGTGAAGTCACGCCTGTGTTCCAGAACGTACTCTGACATTCTTGCTTGAAGTTCCTCGATATGTTCCCTAGGAGTACCGTGCTTCATTCTCAACTCGAATACGTCGGCCAGTTGTCCAGATCGTCGGTGATTGAGGATGAACAGAGTGTTGAGAATCGAGTTGGGAGCCTGGACAATGTGACCTTCCATCTTCTTGAATTCGGTGTAGAGTAGAGAAATCGCCGTCACGTAGTAGTCGTCTCCGGTTCCTGCGGCTCCAGTGTTACCATAGATGGTGACACGGTCGCCAATATCAAAGGGATGCTTGACGAAGACGAAGATGATGGACTGCAAGAACTCTTGGGCAGTGGCTTGGAGGAGCCAAGAGAGACCTGAATTACTTGATTAGTATACATATGCTACCATGTGCATAGAAAAGAGAGAGCTTACCGAGGATGACTGTTCCAGCAGAGGTAAGTGCCGTGGCAGCAGAGGCCGAAATTATCGAAATGAAAACAACAATGGTGATGACAACGACAACGACAACCAAAACCTGGTCAAGTTTGCGAATTACTGAGTCGAGATCCTTGACTGACGCAGCAATGGCCTTCTTTTCGCGGTGGACTTCGTCGCAGAAAGCTTCCAGCTCATCCATGGAAACATCACCATTCAAGTCGCGATCGAAGATACCGAAAGCATTCTCTGCATCTTCAGGGGTAGGGAAGGCAGGATTCAGATCATCGGGGCGCAGCACGTCAGAGTCCGACTTCGCATAGGTGCGAAACAGTCTACGCGCCAGCACCTGAGCAGAACTAGAAGACCTGAGCAGCTCGGATACAACCTTGCGAGGATGGTTGCTGAGTAGAATTTCCCGCCCAGTAAAGTCGCCAGCAACGCGATTGGCAACATCACCGACTTTGTTGAAAGCCTGGCGAGCATTGTTTTGGAAAAACTTCATCGGTGTGCGTGTACCCGATCCTGTGAGGCCTGGTGAGTTCTTGACGGAATCTTCAGACACCAATATGTCCTTGCTGTGCACATATAGGTGTACGAGGTACGCGATGCTCTGTTTGTTTGTCTCAATTCTTGTAGCATACGTCCGCAAGTGGAAAGAGTTGGCAATCCATTGAATAATAATCTTCTCGGCCCAGTTGAGGACGGCAAAGATGAACAGGGCGATAATGACCTTGTGAACGGTACTGATCCAGCCGACACTAGGATAGGGGTCATCGCCACCAGCAGAGACCTTGTGTGCTTCATCGTCAACCACGGGCAGGAATGAGATGAGCACGGCAAGCATCCAAAGGAAGAGCGCTGTTGGGAGCTCGAGCGACTTGCCCATGGCCATCCACTTCTTAGGATTTCCAGATCCGACGACCTTAGCGGCGAACCTGGCAACGAAGGGGAAGATGGCAGTCATGATACGGGCCGCCCACAGAGACAACCAGACAATCTCCAACCAGATGCCGAACCAGAGAAGCTGTGTTCCGCCCTTGCCTCCTACCGGCGTTTGGTGTCGTGGGTCGAGGAAGATGCCCATGAAGATGGGGATGAGGAGAATTGCAGTGATGGGGAGCAAGTACATAAAGTATCTCACTACTCTGGGAAGCTTCTTCAAGTACTTGAAGATTGCGTTTAGTTTGCTCGGAGGCGTTTCCGAGGGAGGCCCACCAAGGGTGACTCCAGGAGCTGGCGCATTAAAGACATCTTCCTGGACAATCTCTTGGTTTGAGCGAACCTTGGAGACGGATCGAGCGAGGTGTTGTTCTTCCTGGTTGCTAACCATCTGCTGAATTTGAAGCATGGTCAAATCATCTACCAGACGTGTAGCCTGCTCGCGATCCCTGTTCTCTTCCATTGGCGATAAATATCCACTGGGAGACCGAGCCTCGCTGGATGCTCTGTCCATGCTTTCTCTGGGTAATTGCAGGCGGAGGTTTGGGAATTTCTCCTTCTCGTTGTCAATTTCGTGGTGCTGATCTACTGCCGTATCCGAGACTGTAGGAATATGTGTCAGGGTAGGCGAGTTGTCCTTCTCATCCATATCCTGTGAGCCCGTTTGTGCTGCGCCATCCGACCAGGATGATCCAGCGCGAGGTGGTGCAACCATGCTGGTCTAAATGAGACGAATTATGATGTTGCGTCCAACTGGAAGTGCATAGGCAGTGTATTGACTGCTTGGAGTTCGAAGCGTCGTTCTGAAGCGGCGCTCAGTTAATAAATAATATCGTTGGGAGGTGATTTGGACCGGCCCTGTCACACCAAGAGATATAAACCACACTCGGTTCCTCGAGGTGTCCGTATATTGGTGTATTTTGGCGGCGGTTGGCCTAGTGGTGCAATAGTGAGGATGAGAGGAGCCTGCAGGCCTGGGACGGAAAAGTTGAGGAGTTGACGGAAGGAAGAGTGAAAAACGAATGTTGGTCTCCAGAGACAATAGGTAGATCTTGTGTAAAAATGGAAAAGAATGCAGTGGAGAGGAAAGATGGAGAATGGGTGGTCTCGATTGTTCGAGCACTCGGGGTCGGACATATCAAAGGATCAAGAGGTGAACAAATCTCAGATCTAGTATTTTTGGGTAACCCCCCCCAGGACCACCTATGCGCCATAGCTTGCCAAGCTTGCTTGGTTGCGTGCAGCTTCCCTCTGAACTCAGTGGACTGAACCCAGAATGGAAACAAGAGCTGTAGTGGGTGGCCCCCCGACGACCGATTGAATCAGTGGATCTCCTTGATTCCCATCCACGATCCAGTGGATGAACCAGCCAGTCTCACACACAGTAAGGACTGATGACGCGCTTGCAGGTCCACAGCTCGCTCAAATTTTGATAGGCGATTCTCGGCAGCGGGTCTCTGTGGACCTTTGCCAAGCAGCCGGGCCAGTCCTTAGCTTGCGTGGGCCAACACTTGTATCAGATACTGTAGTACTACCACTGTGGTTACTGGTGTGTATGCGATAAAAATTGCATCCATCTCTTTGTTTCTCGGATTCAACGAAAAATGCACGGCGCGTAAGATCTCTCCCAGGCCCGTTTGTGCAAATCTCTAGATTGTCCTTGAAACTCGGCAGAAGTAAGTTTGCGGGCTGACTGGACGAGCCGAATAGATCGCTGTTTTACTCTCTGTTTTTTTTTCTGGTCTTACCACCCGATTAATGATTCCACTTCCCGAGTGCACCACAGTATTCAGTGGGGGACAGCGAACTCTATTTGGACATCCGCAAAGGGAACACATAAAAAAGTCCATTCACTACAAACAAAACACACAAGGAATGTCTTGGTTACTTGCAGCTTGTGAAAAGATAACAACATGCCACGACAGCCATTCAAGGATGGTAGCCCCTTTTTGGTGTTCCCATCCCTGAACTACAAGCAACAAGAAAAATCAACAAGGCAATCCCGTTTGGATGAGTTATCCGCTGGCGAAAATGCATCAGCGGGTGGCGACCGGCCAGTCCTTTCTCTCCCTTCCCCATTGCATCAAAATCTATTCAAGCCAATTTGTCCGCTAAAGTAATAGTCTGCGAGCTGCTTTTAACAGCCCTACACTACATTACATACTTGAACCCTTCATCACAACGCCACGTCAGGCAACATACGTATTGAACGGACCGATGATGATGATATTGTTTGCCTTCCGCCGCTTTGCTTGGCATTGCAGTTGGTGTTGTTGCGTATCTCATCATCCTTTCAATCAGGGAACCAGAGATTGTATCAAGCGCAACAGCACAACAACATTTTCGATTATCACGAGCCAATGTTCTTGCTCGCACCGCATCAAGTCTTCATTTCACCAACATCCAGGGGTCTGACGCAGGGACCAAAACGGTGTAGGCGCGCCTCAGTCGACACAGTGCCGCCGTCTCTTCAGTTGTCTCAGCTCCCGGATCAAGGCTGGTCATCCTATTCGCTGCCCACCGGGTCGCCATACCGCAGTGCTAAACCTGGTTTATGAGCCTGCCTACCTACACTAGCTCAGCGTTTTTTTATGGCGTTCAAGGCACGGCGCGGACGGGAGTGGATACGACTAATATAGGACGACACACACGTCAACAATGTGGTATGGTTTTGCCGTGTTATCGCCTATGCGTGTCACTCTGTAACACGAAATGATCAGCGTTCACACCAGGGCAGCATTCAAGCTGAATTAGACCGCTGCTTTCCTACCTTGCCTGCATACTCCATAGAGATGCCACCGTACGCGCAACCTCCCTTATGGACGATGGGGCATTGCAGGTGCTTCACAAATACTGTACAGTATACTCTACCAGCCGAGGCTCGGGCTCCCGATTTTGATCTCGTCCGATTGGGCCCTACCCTTGGCAGGCACCTTGTTCTTCTAGTCACTCTGCCAAAAATGGCTGGCTGAGAATTATCGTGGGAGTTACCGGAGTTATTACCCCCACGGCCGACCTGGACCAGGAAAAAAAAAACGCCCTGTCAAAAACTGACGTCATGCCTCACAATTGGCACTTCTAGCTGCCACACGCAGAGGGTGAGTACCTTGATCAATGAGCGATTTGTTGATCTCCACGTACGCGTTGGAATGGGAAACTTGTTCATCCCCATTCGCAATCAATAGTCGAGTATGACAGCTCTGAAGTGGATCAAAGATGATGTCGCTGGACGATACAAACTTCCCGGACTGACGAAACGGCCGTCAGCAGCTTCACAACCTTGGAAATCCTCCAGGGGAGGGCAAGAATAACCGTCACAATACAGATCGTCCAGGGTCCAAAGTTGACACAATTTGCGGGGAGTCTGTAGTATGCGCCTGCGATCTCCGAGCATTATTATCAAGACCAAGAAGATCTCTAGCGTATGGTAATCGACATATCAGACGGTGCAGACACTGGACAGTCAGTCGTACGCATGTTTACGACAAACTTGAACACTACACGACCTAGGTGCGTAATAGGCCTGAGCCTGTAGCGTGCTCTCAGCCGCCTGGGTCACCCAACTATTACGCGCCTCACCAGTGACTCGCCTCAGTCACACGCCTCAGCATTACAAGCTTGACTGGCCCATGGCCAGATGTTGTGACACGGTGCACTCTCACACACAGTTGGGCGGTATGTAAAAGATGAACTCAGAATCAGTATTCATCAAAGCAGCAGCAGATGAACCCCCAAGACCCCCAAATAAATCGGGTCTTTTGTTTCAATGTCTGATTGTGGCTTGCTCGAGTGCAACCCCTGACAAGCCATCCCGTCGAGCCCGTGCCGCTATCTCACAAACTCGAGCGCCACTGGACACTGAACGGATGCGCCGCTATCTCTTCACATGCAAGGGGCAGAATTTAGAAAGGGCTTATCGTAGTCTGATTCGTTGGACAAGTGTCAAGGATGCAACCTCTATGTAGTGGCTCCTGGAAGTGTGAGAATGAAATTTTGAGCAGCACACAACCTTCGACCGCGCGCGCACTGAGAGACACCGTGCCAATCATTAAAAGGCACCTTCAATCTTCAATCCAAGCGGTTTCCAAGGGACCAGTGGGCTGTGTCGAGTCACTGCAACCTTGATCTCGGCAAATGGACGTTTCACGCAAGGATCGCCCTCGTATGGGAGCTTTTGCAAGACTTCTAGGCCCGAGTCTAGAACCTCGACAAAGTTCGCACGTTCTTTAGAATGAATATAGTCATTCTTCTATTTTTGTCACGTATATTGCAGATACATGCATCATCTCCAACACAGCGCTTCGGAGCACAGCATGCGTTGTGTGTTCATTGCAAGTTTGATTCTTTCGAAAACGTTTTTGCAGAACACGCTGCAATTGCCAATCGTCTTTTGATTGCGCGCAGAAACACGAGAAGAACTCCGCCGAGCGAACAGGCAAAATCCCAGTCATGCCTTGATGGACTACTTCTTGGTATGTGGCTCTCGTCCTCCCCTAATAATTTTGTGAATCAAAAGAAACCCAGTCTTGAGTCGCAAGCAGTCGTACGATTGCCTTACACTGCCTTTCAACAAGTGTCCTCATTTCTCTTAAGATCATTGCTAATGTGCCGGCGGCTCTCGGTATGCTCAAAGCAAAGTGGGAGGCCTCGATGCCGTGCGGCGTGTGCAGCATCAACGTCTGCTTCCATTTATGCGATCTGCTCATCTCAGGTCCTGAGTCCCGTTTCTCATTCAAGTCACACCCCAAGATGTATTAACCAATGGACGAAAATCGTCCAACCCGAGCTCAACATTGCCTGTATCCTAGAACATTGCTGTGTCGTTCTCATCAAGTGCACAGTACTACATAGGTTCATCAGGAGTTGCACTTGTACTTGCAAGTCAGTGAAAAGTAACACACATATCGTATTGACTTGGAGAGTCGGTGATACAGACTACGGCTTCTTATAAGTCTTATCTGGACCACTGAGCCACTCTAAGTTCAGCCCCCACAGCCACTTTTAGTGGGCATCTCCAGCGCCCCTGCATCAATATATGCAGATAGAGATCACCACGAAATATCTACATCGTGGTGCAAGAGTCCGGAAATTGTAACCTCACAAGGTCACCCACTCAAAGTTGAAAGACACCTCTGGCTCGCTGACAATTCAACGTGGCGTACTTTCATCACGCTGCAAGGCTCTTTTGGTCCTCGCGAGCAATGCAAGTCTCAACGCGCAGCTACACTCAGACGTACAGCCTGACAAGGCTCCAGAATGTTTTGGGCGTTGGGGCAACCTCCGAATAATTCGCTCTGAACCAGGGCGAAGTCATCAGATTCCGTCGCTGCCTTGAAATCGGCCTTTAGAAGTCAGAGAATTACTCCAGCATTTTACCAACCGTGACGGCTGGGACTGCTAAACATCAATCACTTGGGTTGGATTTAGCGCAACGAGAAACAGTCGACAACGCTGAAATTCGTAGGTTTATATCCCTCCCGGGGCCTGTTTCCCCCCCTCAGTTTCCTACCTTGTAGGATGCTTGACTGCCTACAGTGTACTGTAGGTGATTATCTGTGTACACCGCGAAAGGTGGCCAAAGGATTGATCCCCGTCTGCGAGCACGCGCTCACCAGATCGATGCATACAGTATGTACGACTGGAGTCTCGGGGTGGGCACTTCCACAATTTGATTGCATTTGGGAAAGCGCTCGTCCACTGAGTATAGCCAAGCAACAGGAAATACTGAGGTGAAAGGCAAAATGGTGTTTGCTCTGATGCTAGTTGTCTCGCGGCAGAAGGTGGAAGAAAATTTGAGGATGTTGAATGCCAAAGGTGTGGGAGAGTCGAGATTCCTGCGGTTGCATATCTCACGAGAATCCCTGACCAAGGCATTGGGGGCAGTAATACATGCGGCCACACGGTTTCAATGATCGCCCAACCTCTGTAATTTTGAATAATGTGGCATTTCCATCGCGGTCAGGAATTTGGGGGCTACAATACGACCTTGTTCAATAGTAGGAAGATTTTTCGCTGCTTGCCCACAGTTCCCTTTGATGTCCTCATCTATCTCGCCCCGCCTTTGTCGAGAGACACCTTTTTTTTATCGAATTTGTTGTACCCAGTTTCAACATCAAAGTACACTGAAAATGCCGCTGATTTCGACAGTTTCTACGAGTGCCGCGTCATCTTCAAGCTGTAGCTGGGATCTGCCGAGTGACGTACAGCTCATCAATCTAGAAAGCATCACGATTACTGCTGGATCTTCAACATCATCAACAGAGTATAGCGACCCTAAAAATGTTATCCAAGTGTGTAACGCCACAGCAACGAGTGAGTCATCGAGTACCTGGCTTCTTGAAGACAATACGGCTGGTTTCTGGCAAGCATCGTTCGATTATAATTTCCAACCCTCAAGTGTTCGACTTTACAATACTCACGTAGACGGACGTGGAACGAAAACATGGACATTCAGCGCTATTCCTGTAGGCAGCATAGCAAATCTCAGCTACACCGACCCGGGAATCGGAGATGATGCATTTTGCACCAGTGAATGTCCGCTCAGCGACAACTCGAGCATCGCATTCCAGGAGTTCATTTTTGTCAATAATGTATCCGTCAGTACCTTCAGGATCGATGTCAGCGCCTGGTATGGCGCAGGGGGTGGTTTTGATGGCATTCAAGTCGCGGGAATCGGGATTCCAAGCTCAGTTTCGACTCAGTCACCCCCAGCGGCTACCAGTGCGACTAGTCCTACTGCTTCGACCTCTGCGCCTTTGACGCATGATAACCAGGGATCTACAGATACTGGTCTCTCGTCAGGGGCCAAAGCGGGTATCGCCCTTGGAGTTGTCGGTGCATTCTTGCTCCTGGCTAGTCTCGTCTACCTCACGGTTCGCTGGCAGCGACTCAGACTCAGCCAGCAGGAGGAGAGCTCTCAAGGCACAGATAAGCCCGAATTGCATGGGGTCTCAAGAAGCGAGGTTCATGGGCATAGTATGAGACCAGAGCTCCCGGACGAGTTTGCACGCGGAGTTCAACTAGACAGTCGGGAAAAGCCAGTAGAGCTGAGCGCTGAACGCTTTTGATTTTGTTAATACCATCTTTATTATTTAAGTACGACTTCGATACGTACTTCTGGCTATGATGAACAAACTAGACATGTATTCTCCAGGAGATATCTTCTCAGGCACGGGAAATGAATCTTTATGTCGAATTGGAAACCGCAAAGCACGCAAGATTATAGCAATTCGTGATTTCGAGCTGCTTGGAACTCTATTTTATCAGTGCAGGGGAAAACCAAGAATACCAAGAGTATTTACAGAAACAGGTATTTAACACAAGCCAAGTATTATCAACGCATTGATTCTCGGACATATGCATCGTCCATGAACTGGGATCAGACATTCGAAGCTAACAGCTCACTGGGCAAGTTTTCACTCGAACTTGAGCTCGTTCTCATCGTGTATTTACCCCTGAGCACTCACTGCTGTTTGGCCAAGGAACGAGTCGCTGGCCATTCACAGTCATGTACTGCAAGAAGAGACGGTCACAGCGCAGGATCATCTCTGCCTCTATTCTTGTCGCGTCGATAACTCACAGGACATGAGGGGCTAAGATGGTCGTAATTTACTGCCTTGTCTCTACGAGAAGTGAATGCTAGATCTCTTCATAGTGTCTAATATCACGTACGAATCAATTTTTTTTCGAGTATTATCCAGTAGACAACGACTGACTATGCGCTCCTGGCTACTTATCTCAATAGTCGACAGCCAGAAATGAGACGCCTGTAGCAGCATTTCATGGTAGCAGCCAGTGTGCCAACGATCTTCAAGTTCACCCAGGCAGATGTATCCAACAACACTCGCAATGATGCATCCGACATTGTATATTAGGCTGCTCGATGCGGTAGATCAGAGGCAGCGACCCTTTTACTTGTGCAGAACTCTGAGAAGACCATGATAGCCCATGCAGCTTAGAGCAACAGTACGAGACAACTCATCAACACCATTTCAGGACCTCACTGGCTGCTGTTGAAAGACTGCAAGCTTCAATGTTGGAATGGTTCCCCGGACTGATGTTTTTGACAATCAGCCAAACCTCGGTCTGTCCCTAAGCATGTCGTTGTTTTCCGGGAACATCAAAATATGAATTGGTAAACGTATTGTCTTCTTATACCGGTCTGAAAACCTCAGTCATGTTTTCATTGCCTCGGGTTTGTTTATGATATCGAAAGTGATGATTTATGGGTTTCATTTGTGGTCAAGCAGCCTGCTTACTAGCACTAGCCACAGTCTCGATCACCATATTCCGAGCCAGTGACGCAGCCGAGCCATTGGGACCGTCGAGAAGCCGGCAAGCAATGTATTCTAGTTTTCTACCGGAAGAAGAATCCTTCCATCATTTTGATTCCCGACTAGCCAGTGTGGCATCGGTAATAGAAACGGGTGTAATTACCACGTGGCATTGCCGAGTGCGACTGAGATTCGTCTGGATCCGGTTGGCAACGGCGAGTCAAGCGGCCCCCCCTCAAGATATCTACACTATTGCCTTTTTGGCTCCCAGATGGACAGGAATGGGTTAGATGAACCGACTTTGCTATGCCATTCAAGGAGACGCTATTTGCGGAAGGAAAAACAAGTGTACATTATATTTCAGTAATTTCTCACAGGCTTTCGCCAAGGCTCCGGAATCAATTCCTCGGCTCGACCGGAACGGCAGTATTGTTGAAAATCGTCTTACTCGAATAGCAAAGGGAAAACAACAGACCCAAAGCACAGCGGATAGGTAGATAGGTAGGTAGCACCTGTTATTACCCCTGAGAAGGAAGAATCTTCCATTAAGAATTTAGTCAGAGAGCTAGGAGTTTTAGATCGGTTGAGCCACGAGGCAGGTCTGTTGCGGATCTGGAGTGCAGGAAAGATGCGGGTTGCGGGCACTTTTTGAGCCTTTTGCCTTTGGGGTTGACGCCGATGTATCCGTGCACCGCCACGAGCTTTGTTCTTTGGGCTTGTCTGGGGCGCGCGTTCTTAGCTGGGCTGAGCTGAGCTGAGCCCCTCCCCTATTCCGTCCAGCATTTTTCTTTTCTTTTTTCCCTCTCTGACAGGCTGCGGAGTTTGGGAAGAAGCACCCGGGCTACTAGGTCATGTAGGCAATAAGCACTGCTAGAGGATTGCTAAAGCTCCACCACGAATGGGCGCTGGGCTGGACTTGGCTGCGCGTCCAGTGCTGAATCGTCTTGTCTCTCTCCACTGCTCCAGCTTGCTGGTGGGACATTTTACAGCACAGCATACACCACACACACACAGCACGACAAGCTTAGCAAGCAAGCAAGCATCTGTCTCTCTGTCTGTTTTGTTTGACAGCATTGGTCAGCCTTTCGCATCCTTCCACATTCTTTCTTTTGCATAGAAGCCTGTCTGTCTCTATTTTCGTCAAACGTGTCAGATTATCCCCCAAAAAGAATAATCTCCATAATAACCATAATCTCGCATTCACTTACACCATCCAAATATGAGGTAGCCTGGACCTCACGCTAGAGAAGAGAGAAGAGAGACTTGCCTGCTTTTGCGTCCAGGCAAAACCTCCATCACTATTCGCATCGCAGCATCCATCGATTGCATTGACGACTCGGGGGCGCACACTTCATGGACGAGGATCCGCCCGCATCTCCCTCGTCGTCTTTCCCGCCAAATATGGCCCGCCGATGGGCTCGCAGAATCGAGCGTTATTGCTGCTCCTGCATAACCTACTTTCCATTGGCATTTGTGTACGGCTTGACAACATGGGCTGTCTGGGTTGTCGTCAGTATCGGTAACAGCAAACCGAAATCAAGTTGGATCGGTAGGTCGCAAACCTGTTGTATTGTGTTGTGCTGTCCTGCATCTGCGAGACTTCTTTGCCGTTTCATTACCGGATGCTAACCGGATGCTTCCCACCTGCTAGGAACGCAATCATCGATAGGCGGTGTTTTGCTCTATCTTCTACTGAACTGGTGCTACACAACAGCCGTCTTCACCGATCCCGGCAGCACCACCAACGCCTATGGCTACTCGACGCTACCCACGAATGCCGCGCCGACCGCCACCTCCTTCACCGTCAAGTCTAATGGCGAGCTGCGCTTCTGCAAAAAGTGTCAGGCCCGGAAGCCCGACCGTGCCCACCACTGCAGCACGTGTAAGAGATGTGTTCTAAAGATGGACCACCACTGCCCATGGCTTGCCACCTGCATTGGCCTGCACAACCACAAGGCCTTTCTGCTGTTCCTGATTTACACGTCGCTCTTCTGCTTCTACAGCTTTGCCGTCTCGGGATCATGGGTCTATTACGAGTTGGTAGCTGAGACGCAATACGTCCAGACCTTCATGCCTGTCAACTACATCATGCTGGCCGTCATATCCGGCATCATCGGTATAGTGGTTGGCGCTTTCTGCAGCTGGCATATATTGCTGGCCAGCAGAGGCCAGACAACCATCGAGTGCCTCGAAAAGACCCGCTACTTATCGCCTATACGGAAACAGTTGCACCAAACCTACAACGCACAACACAACGGCGATGGCTATGCCTTGCCCAAGTATGGTCAGCAGCTCTTGGATATCCACCAAAATGCCATCCCTGGGGTTACCAGACCGGAGGAGGGGGAGGTCAGGGTGAGCATGGACGGGGGTCACGATCATTTCCGACCCAACGCGCACATGACGTTTGAGGAAATGGAGAGGCAACGGGCGAGGAAACGATACGACGAATATCTTGACGAGCAAGATTCGGACAAGCTGCCCAGTGCGTTTGACCTTGGCGCCAAGAGGAATCTTCTCCATCTATTTGGACCTTCGGCTCTTCTTTGGGCATTGCCTATTATGAATACTACGGGCGATGGCTGGGCCTGGGAAGCGAGTCCAAAGTGGCTAGAGGCTCGGGAAAAGATAGCTCGCGACCGCGAGGAGCAGAGACAGCGCGAGCAAGCGGCAGGTTGGGGTACCGAAACACCAACATTCATTCGGAACCAGGATTACAGTCCAGAGCAGCACGGTGTGACCCGGCAGTATCTCGCCTCTCCAACAGTCTCGACTGGAAGGAAAACCCCGTCCAAGGCTGATAGAGTGCTTGGGAGGGATCCCAATCTCTATGCCGACGAGCCGGCCAGCTCATTTCCGATGAGGAAATTGAGTCCATATGGTGCCGATATTGAAGACGACTATGATACCAGTAGTGACGAGGAACAAGGCACAGCTGAGCAACGGGCCATGAATGTCGTTACTAACGGGGCATGGGCGAGGAGTGGTGCCAGCGGTCTCCTGCGGAAACCCACGAATTCGAGTCTATCGCCGACTGGCGGTACGTCGCAAAATGACGACGAAGTGGACTGAGTTGATTTGTATGATATATAATGATACCGAGTTGTTGAAAAACTTTTTGTTTTCGGATTACCCCTGGTTTGGTTTTCTTCGATTATATCATATCGCATACTCCGGGCGTTCAGACTTGGTACGATTCGGCCGGAGTGCATAGGGCGCATTGGGCCTCCCAGGAACAGGTTAATGGCCGGATATTCAAAGCTGAAGGGAATGCTTTATACTCGGGTTTTATTTCAGCGATTCGGATTACAGAACAATAGCACAATAGAATCTCAAGAGATATCGACTTGAAACTGTCGTCTTGATGGACCACTTGGCCCCTAGCTTGTGTTTTGACAATCCTGGCTTCTATTGGTAGCTGTCCAATATACCTTTATTTTCACGTGCATTCCTGTTCTACATGGCCACTCAATGTGCAAAAGTGGAACGAATGTGACGGTAGGTAGATGAGAGCTAATGGGCATCGTCTGTGATGTGACAACTTATATCTCTCTCTACAATATGGACAATCCAGATTATCACTTTCAAGTCTGATAACGGAGCCACGGATAAGAACTCGAAAAGAAGGAAAGAAATGCCATCGCCATCAACGAAATGATAGCTTGTCTGAAGTTTCCGTTCATGTGGTTTGAGCTGTCACCCTTCTCTATTGAAGTCCCAACTCTTTCGATCAAGACTGCTTTCTCTCAGGCTTGAGAATCCTATTGAAAGACTTTAACTGACAGAAACGAGGAGGCATTCACGCACCCGAATGGAGAAACACCCCAAACATCACCTGATCCGACAAGTCAATACCTGTTACTGTTGCAATGTACACCACCATTGACTCTTGCACATGATGGCTTTCCCAACCCATCAGGCTTTTTGTTTCGACTACCAAAGAGAAGCGTGCCATGGATATACATCTGGAGCTCTGGCTAATCGGATCACACCACGGCCCTACAATAGAGTTCCATGTCGATTCCAATATCATTTGTGTCTTGTTGGTAATATATTTCTCCGAGGGAGACCCGACGAAGCCGATCCTTTCTGTCTTTGCTTGTTGCAACCTGCTCCCGAGAACGGTGGGCCGACGTGCCTAGAACAGCCAGCATGGAAAGGCTTTGATGGGTATCTTTTTGACATGTCTTTCCAAGGTATTCAATAACCACGGGTTTCTTTTCTTGAGAGCTTGGGATCATAGGTAGACTTGTACATTTACCGCGTCAAGCGATCGTGCACAGCTTCCTCTACTCTCTACCTCTCTTCCTCTCTTCCTCTATGTCCCTGTCCCCTCTTACAGTTTCCAGAAACCCGGCTTTTCCTGGAACCTTGCACTGCACCCCCCATCATCAGTCCTCCACCTGTCAGCCCTGCACGTTTGGGAAAATCATGCATGCAGTACAGGGCCTTTTTCTGCGTTATGCATATTGTAGGTACTCCAAAATGACTACTTCTCTTCTCCCCCACACCCACCTTGGAAGGATGAATTTTGACATGGAAGATCCGCAATGCCGGATCCGAAGCTTGCGAAGGGAAAAAGTTCATATGACTAGGCACCTAGGTTGGCCAGGCCATGTATGTAGTAATTTTGTATACCTGCAGCATGCGTCTATATAATGCATCTACTTACATAATGCCCTGCCGTTTTGCTTGCTTCAATGTATGCTTCCTGCATATGCTGATGCACTCTCCACCTGCCCCCTTGCTCGACTGCGGAGGAATCATTAAAGGGATAGGTCAAAAACAAACCTACGTCGGGTTTCTGAGGAGGAGAGAATATCCAGGGATGAAAGGATGACGTCGGGACGAAGAACAAAATGCAGCTTGGGGGGAAAGTCCTACCGCGATACCCTCACCCTCTCATTAGTCGGCGATATTCAGTATCAAGAAGATGGTGTAGTTAATAGCACGACATATATACATGCAGACACAAGCATGTTTGGGTGCAGTGCATGAAATGAATCAATGACTGTCGCGATATGCACGTCTGTAACTGTATAATCCCGGCCGAGATATCAGAACATTGCATGTGGACATTTCCCCATCTTATCATGTATTCTATAGCCACCTCTATAGCAAAAAGCAACCTCTCCTCTGAAACCCTCTCTTATAGTTCCAGGAACAATCATAGACAGTCTTTCGCCTGGCAAATTTGGATCCTTTACTCTGACTGCATGACTTGGCCCCAAATTGTGCATGGGCGGGCCATGAAAGCCGACAAGGCAGACCATCCAAAGTTGCATAGACAAACGTAGCAAACATGCAGCGAGTCTGAGCAGGGCAAGTTTCCTTGCCTCGGGGTATGCAGTTGAAATGGTCATGGACCGTTCAAATACTCGCTATTGCAAATAGTAACAGCTACCGGGGAGAAAACAAACTCCAATACTCCTATAATATCTGGGCATATCTGCTATTCTAGCGGATGCATATCGAAAGTTCCTAGGTTCCCAAAACAGATGTCTCCCACAAAATCCGGGTGAGTATTCCATGTTTACAGTAACATTACGGGGGAAAAAAAAGATAACCTCAACCCGAGTCACGACCACGACGCATAAGTGACGCATCTCGTACACGACGATTGTATAGTGATCCTCTGCTCGTGATATCAAGTTTCATTGAATATATTTTGACAAATCAACATCTGGGGAACTCAAGTCAGTAGTCACGTGTAATCCCAAGAGAGTTGAGCCAAAAGACCCAAGCTTGTCAGACGTGAAAGCCTTGTAAATCCTATCGACTGACTGACTGATCAGTCATGGGAAATAACCGGTGTGCTCGCGCCTTGGATGAGAGATAGGCCGTGTAACCAGGTGTCACAGTGAAGTTGGCCCGCTATCAATTCTCTGATCAAAATGGCGTCAATCCTAGCAATGCTTACTGGACTTTTCTACGCATGGGTGTGTAACATGGAACCGAGTCGTTTTCTTTGGGCTTTCTTATACATGAGTCGTAGTAGATGGTACCGGACGTTTAGTCATATGCATAACACTGTAAGACCAATGGTAGATTTTTCTTCTACAAAATGTATTAAACAGAATTTAGTAATAAATATACTTCTGCTACGAATATTCTTCCACTTGAAAGTAAACTGCATTCAACTGGTCGCACCAGTGAATTGACAGCTTTCAGTTATGCTTCTTCCATCCAGTAAACAACGCTCGCGTATCAAATGAGGCAGCATGGTACAAATTCGACTACTGGATCTACGGAGTATGCATACAAAAATGAACATGCAATCCCTTCAAGTACCCTTTCAGGATGATTGTTTCTTCAAAGTCCCACAAAAGACTGCATAATCAAATATTGTCTGTGCCAATTTTTAATCACCATCCCTCTGGTAGCGCAGATGCCACGTTTCGATACACAAGACAAGGCGGGTAGAAATATTTTTTAATCCTGCTCAAGGGTCCGATATGATCAGATGATCATACCATGAATAAAGGACCTGTCGGGCAATGTTGCGCTGAGCCTTCTATTGGGCAGGGGAAATTGAGTAAACGGTTAAAAGAGAAGAAAAAGAAAACCCTGTGTGTGTGTTACAACGTTAGCAACCGTCATCCGGTGAAGAGGGGGCTTTTTGGATTTCTTCATCTATCATCTACCACTCCAGTGACATTCAAGTTACATTTGCGACATACATTTGTCCAAGACATTAACTACACGAACCCACACAAGAGCTAGAGCAATGAAGTAGAAAAGTGTTACCAAAACGCATGCCGACACACGTATTCAGACGAATGGCCGCAATGGCCAGGGCTTATTAGTAATATACATGTCGTTGCACAATATACTAAATTTATCTAAAATAAATAAAAAATACGGAGATAGGATAGGAAGGAAATTACGGCCGTTGGTGCGCGCACAATAAGTAAAATCCGAGGAGGAGAGGAAGAAAAAGAAGAAGAAGGAAAAGCAACTTGCATCACGTGGACACGGTCCGACTTTTCAATCAAGGCCGCATTGTATCACAACATTAGATCGACGCTGCCATTGTTCGAGTGCCAGAAGGAAAAAGCAAAAACGAGACAGAAGCAGGAAGAATGAAATAACATGAGACACATGTTGATAACCCCCTGAGCAAAGATGCCTTATTTCTGCAAATACCCTTTTTGCTGCCGAAAGTGGACGGGGCCTCGGTGGGCAGTACGGATCTGCTGCAACGAGCCGAAAGGCAACAATCGGGCAACGGGTGACTGCTGACTCTCACGATCGCGCAATTGGCCGACAAGTTTTCTTTTACGGCAGATTTATTTGCATGCATTTTCAATTTATCCCTTTTACTTTTTTGACTCCTCTCAGAAGGCGAACCCAATCAGAATGTGCTTGTGACCGACCTACCAGCAACATGGAAAAAAAAAAGAAGAAAAAAAAGAGAAAGAAAGAAAGGATGACCGAAACCCGGAGTGAGAGTGTTAAGAAGAGCAGAGAGGCGTCCGCCTTTCCCAAGGCGACCAACTGGCCCATTTATCGGTACCGTATTATGATAGAAAGCCGGGATACATCATGGTACTCTCACACGCAGAGATTAATATCAGAACACGGCTATGACGGAAATAACAATATGAAGACTTTGATGTAGTCGTCGAACATTTAGAAGCCACCCTGAGTGAGACAGACAGACAGACAAACAGGACACCCAATTCCCAGCTGGGCGGAAACGACCGAGGCAGGTCCAAGGGTCTTACAGGCAGAGAGGCAAGGTCTCTGAATGGACGAGATCGGCACCAGGGCAAGACATTGATTTGTCCAGCGGAGATTCGGATTGGGGAAAGAAACATTGGACAATTTCCCTGCTTTTGCCTTGTATGCAGGCTGCCGAAACGAGGCTCATCTCGCATTTTTTCTGCGATTTGTACCACCCAGCTTTTTCTTTCTTGTCGCTAGGCCCACGTAAAAGGGAGACAGATAGAGAGAGAAAGTACAGAATATGCAAAGAGATCCATCCGGTTCGCAACCAAGTCTCCATTTCTCACCATCTTCTCATCAGACCAGCTACTTACATGGCACGGCATGAATTGCGGCGCGCGGGCTGGGTAACCCTAGACAAGGCGGGACGGGGGAAAACAAATTGTGCAGGTGAGACACGACGACAACACCGCCGGCGCCCCAGAGCTCTTGTCCTTGGCATTTCTGTTGCTAAGAGGTCGAGTTCAGCTTTGCGCTGGTGGGGGCATACACACAATAAAGTATGTCGTCAGCCGCAAAATACATGACGGAAGAAAAGATGAAGAGAGAAGGGGGCATGAAAAGCACGTCATGGTAGTACAGAAATGATTCAATTATTCTTCTTCTCTTTTGGATATTCTACAGCTGGAATCAAGATGAGGCGATACATCTGCTGGGAAGAGAGCACGCATGTGCCTGTGTGTATGTGTGTGCGTGTGTCACCTCACTCTTGAGAGCTAGCTATAAGAGGGGGGGTTAAAGAAAAGACGCAAACAACGTTCCGAGTCAAGACCCATTACCCCAAATGGGTTGGATGGGAAACAAATTGCGATCTCCTTCTCTCTCTTATTATCGATTTTGGATGTATTTGGCACAAGGTGTGGAATATGCAGGAGGACACGAAAAAAAAAAAAAAAAAAGGTTCCCGCATCTCAAATGTCAACTTGTCATAATGATTAGCTGAAAGATATGATGAAGAAGATGATGCCACTATTGCTCAGCCTTGGTGTCCTCGGCTGGCTGTGAGCTTCCGAACCCAAGGCACAAGAAAAAGAAAAAGTACTTGTCAGATCGCTTGTCCTGCATTGGGGGGTGAAATTTTGGTGACAGGGTTAGCATTAATTAGAGAATAAAAAATATTTTGGGCGCTCGGGGCAAAAAAAGAGAGGCTGAGAGGGGTATTTTCGCTTTCGGACTCAGGGAATAATAGTTCAATCAAGGGAAAGATAGAAAGGGGGGCGGGCTGAGGTTACGCTCGAGATTCGCCATGCATCTCAACTTGTACACAAGACGCGGTTGTCTAATTTTTCTTGTCATACATTGGGACCTGGAACCTTGGTGGTTGGGTAAGATATGTCTATGTGCAAGGTACGGCGGCATGGACGTTTTGGCAGCTGACCTTGTGCTTCTTTTTTTTTTGCCTTGTTGTTTCGCCCAATGATGGTCTGCCTTGGCATTTGATGTGTGATTATTGTTGGCAGGTCAAATAGACAACATCTTGCGCGACTCTGACTAATTGCTGCTCTCTGTTGAGCCGAGTTCATGCAAAGAGATGAAAAGAGAGAAACAAAAGCCATCTATCATATCTTGGCCCAAACAATACGAGGATGATGATATAGGGCGATCTAGGCCAGGGAAGTTTGCCGATATGACCTTGCCTGGCCTTGGCAGGAATATCCCCCCCAGCCCAGCCTTGCATGCTGACGGCTGTGTTCAACTAAAACTGGCGGTCAGAGATCCCACAGCAGAGAAGACTGCAGCGATTGCAGTGAAGGAACCAGGTCTTGTGCAACCAAGAAAAAAGTATTACGTATGCAGTCTTTGGCATCTGAAAGTGCGCGGCTCATGTAGTTGATTTGATGATGAGTCTCGTATCTTTTGCCTATCGTGACTGCTCAAGGATGCTTGGAAAACATGACGTTGTTTTATCTTCTGAGACCCTGCGGCGTGATAGACGATGCATGGGATGAGCTCTCTTTCCCTCCCGTTCGCTAGAATCGTGTTTCACCAGCCGCCAACGATCTATTCAGGCCGTCATGCTGAGTAACACTTGGTAGGAACAAAAGTCTGTTACAGCTGTGTATATTCATGAGCCCTAGATCAACTATGTTCTAAATATGTACAGCCTATGTGGCCCACCCAGGGGGGATGATCTGATGCTTTGCTTCGTGCATGTATGTTGTACTCAGCTTGAGGAGGGGCTGATTGATCCTCCTCGCCCGAGGATCATTGCACAATGGCTGGCCCATGGCCGCTCGGAACCGGACAGGCGTTTGTGTGTGTGCGCGCGCGTGTGGTTGCCCGATCTCCCCAAATGCTGCGTGAGCAACGGGCTGCCGGCTGGGTGCTCCAAAGGGCAGGACAGGGCAGGACAGGGCAGAGCAGGGCAGGGGGGGCCAAAAGGGCCAAGATCCAAAAGATGCTCCCGGACTTTGAACTCCAGGGTCTTTCCACATGGTCTTTGCGACGCTCTGCTGATCATCGCCTCTTCGCTCTTGGGCGATATCGGTCCAATAACAGCACGGTCGTCATATGCAAGTCTGGTGGGAATTGGTACCATAGGGCTGTGTCTGGAGAAGCAAAGTACCCGGTACGTACAGATACTCCCCAGGGTGGAAGTGGCCTTCCGTCCGGTCCGAATTCGACCACAACCGAGAACCGAATGGGGTCCCCTTTGACGATGCAGGAAGGACTATGCAGAACTTGGTAAGAAGACAGAGAGGCATCTGAGAAAGTGCTGTGATGTGTCACATCACATGACCCTTCAAGTTGCTGACTTGGCAGTAGTTTGCACTCTTTTCAAAGTCACGATGAGAGACTGAAAAATGAGTCAGCTTGATAGCGTGGCGGCACGGAGCACATGAGGAGGGAGTGGGAAAAAATAATAAGGGGACTGTATACACTATAGTTGGTAAACAACCCCAGGACCCCAGCTATGGATGGTTATGGGGGTGCCCACATCCCGCAGCACGTCGTCTACACCTGCCTACCTACCACCTACATACCTAGAGCTTACGGTCACGCTGGGACGCGCATTGAGCAGCGCTGAAGCATTAAACAGATTGTCTGTCTGATTGCCGTCCGGGCGGGGGGGCCAGCCAGGACTTTCAGACGAAAAGCCTCTACCTAGGTAGGTATCACCCAGCCCAGTAGGTATGGGGCTAGGGTAGGTCAGACGAAAGGTCAAGAATGCAGCTGTGTGCGATGCTGTTCTTGGTGAAGATTGGCCAGTCTCACTTGTCTGTTACGTCGTGCTGTCGCGTAGTGGGAGGCAGTGGTGTCCTGTACAACGTCCCGAAAGGGTCGCTTGCAGATTGGCCCCCTTCTGCACCAAATGAAAGATCGATCAAAACTTCCTGATGCAGCGGGCTCATCTCAGAATGCATGTCCACAGCCGTTAGAGAAGCATCGCCTCCAAAAGCTCGCCAAAGAATGACACCGGGGCCCCTTTTTTTGCCCTCTTTCCCCCTCCAGGTGGCTGGGGTGGTTCTTCTGCGTGTGTTTCCGAACGTGCTTTGTCTAGTGGCTGTCGCCTTGCACCCCCAGATAATACAGTGTGCCCTGACCTCCCTTTGCCGTAAGCGACTGACGAGAGATGATGATGAGGAAGAAGAAGAAGGGCGATCCATCCATCCTATCGAAGCGGGCCTTTCCGTCAGCATGGTTTCTTTCCTAACAGAGAAGAGCGCCCCAAAGTCTCGGGAGTGATACATACACCTCGTCGACACACGCTTACCACGTGGCGGAGAGGGGCAACGGGAGATGTGATGGATCATAGGTCGCATCCATCCTTGTGCACACTTGCTTTGGCTGGCTGGGGTTTCATGTATCCGCACGCAAAAAATCAATGCAACCGTTCCTTATTCGAGACCAAGTCGCCATTGCACAGCAGAACACACCAATGTGCTGTCAAACTCTAATAAATCATGTTAGTAAGCCGGTACCGACGGTCATCATGCAGTCTGGAGATCATGCGGCGGAGATGGTGGTCGCGGCAACGTGATGCCGAATTGCATCGACCTGGTGTTCTGGGGGACTGTCTTGCCCTTGTCGGCTAGTATAGGCGGTTTATGCAAAGCTTGCTCAGCGCGTACTCACAAGAGGTGTTATTGCCGGTGTTGTGGAGTGCAAGCAACCAAACATTCCTCTCCAGCGGGCGTGTGGTGTGGTGTAGTGTAATGAGGTGAGGTGAGTGAGTGCATGGAGTATAGAGGAAGGTGGTGCAAAGCCCGCCACCATCATTCATGCCAAAAATCTGATCCTCAACCCCCGGCCCCGAGCAAATGCCAGATATACCCAGCAAAACTAGACCATGGATTCCAAGCCAAACACACCCACCCAAGTGGGAATTGAGAGTTGCGGGAGGAGCTTCCGCCACAAGCCTCACTTTGCGTCAAACCATAGGTTCTGTCTGGAATAGCTTCCGGTACGGGGATTTCGTTGAGGCGGCACGTTGTAAGCACTCATGCTTGCTATACATACATGTATTGCGGGCAGGTGCTAAGAATATCGTATTAGTGCAGTGCAGTGCTAGGTGTTCCTAGGTAAGATGGATCCTACATTACGGAACGCACAGGTCTGAAAGACGACAATGTAGTATTGGGGACGACAGGCTAGAGCTTACCGCCGACCGCCTTGCAAAAGTGCTGGGGGCGTTTCAACCCAGCCAGACTGTAGTTGTGTAACAAGAACAACTTGTGGTTGCCTTGAATGCTGTATATTGTCATTCCCGGGTCCACTCCTTCTCTACTGCTTGGCTGCTTGCCAGGCCACGGGCCAAGGAACGAGCGGAATAGTACTGCTTGCTCCTATTTGCTAGGCCGGGCCGGGGGACAAAGCGCGCCCAGCAAAGCAAGTTGAGGGGAGTGGGAAAGGGATAAAAAAAAGAGAGAGGCCCCTCCCTCCCCGATGGATCCGACAAGTTGGTAGAGAGCCCGGTAATCGTTCTATTCCTGTGGAGATGTTTGCTGGGGTGCGGCTTCGAGCATCAGCACTGGAAGGATTCTAGAAATTCCAACCTGTGCTGGGTGGCTTGGGGGTGAGTGTAAGGGCGAGGATGGCGGACGGTGCGCCCAGCCATTGTTTCGAGGGCAAGTATCCTGCGCTTGCATGCTTGTACTCCGTCTCGATTGCTATAATCCACACGGTCCAATTCAATGGTCCGTTTGGACTTGCTCCCACCTTCTTCCTCGTGCTGCTGCTCTTTCCAGGCTGGGGCAGCTGTTGTAAGGAAAGGAGCTTTTGTCCTTTACAGTAGTGGTAATTTCGGGGCGGCGGAAGGTCAATTGTCTCGACCAGAGTGGCCCCAACGGCCAGAACACAAAGGCCCTTCCGGAAGATTCACCCCAGAGTTCAACTTGGCCCGGCTGGCGCGGGGGGGCCAAACATGCTCAAATAGAGTTCGAGTGCTTTAAAAGGAAACAGCTTCTTCAGATAAGGTTTCTTCAATGACATCGCAGACAACGTTCCCCACGACGTCCGCCAACGCTTCTCAACGGTCGCTCAGGATATTATACTCTCCTGGCCGCCGATCGTATACTCTAGGCGGATGATGGTTAGAATGGGGGGCCTGTCTGAACCGGAATGGCGCCCTCAAGTGGTTGCTTTCCACCCTAGAACATGCAGGTAAGTAGTACATAGCAGTAGGTAGATAGAGGCACCTATAGCCGACACCCCTGGGATCGTCTGGCGCGAGTCTGATCATTGCGGAGAATTTGTTGCCTTTCAGTTCACACGTGGATGTCTGGCAAACAACCCCCTCTAGAGACTGCAGATGGAAACCCTAACGGCGGACTTTACTCTACATAGCAATAGCAGCCTAGCAAGCTCATGCGTCTAGGTTATTGCTTCGTAGGTTTGGAAGAAAATGGCCCCATCCTCCCGCCCATCGTCTCGTGCAAATGGGATCCGGTGCCTCGAAAGCTGCAGTCCAGTTGGGGGCTTCTCTTTTCATGAGGGGGCCAATCTTGATCGTACTTTGGGGTCGCCCGACTCGCCAGCAACCCATCTAACCTATTCTTGATCCTTTCCCCAAAATGCTCAAATCCGAGCAACCAGACAAAGAGAAGGAGAGAGAGGCTTTGCTGAAAGACGAGCATACGTAGTCGGTACGTGTCATGGCAATTGATGAAACGTAGCCTCCCCCACAAGACGGCGCCCTCCCAAGGCTCAGAGCGCGGGATTCGGATCGTCTTCCTATTCCCCACAGTGCAATCAAGCTGCAAGAGATGATGCGCATATTGTCAAAGCGTCAGATTGATTGCTTCTGCTGGGAAGCCCCTTGAAAGGCTGCCATGGTCGCTTTGTCTTCGAATTTAGGTAGTCAAAAGTAGTACACTGTGGTAGTATAGTTCCCCTCAAGTAGTTTCGTCCGTCAAACTACGAAATAAAACACAAGACGAACCGATGGAGCTGCGGGACATTAAAGTTTTCGTGCTTTGTGTGCTGCTACTATGGTGGGATCGACTCGGCTTTCCCCCATTGAGAAAATGGCACCCAGCATGGACAGCCTCAGTGCCTCAGTGCCCAGTGCCTCAGCAGTAACTCCCTTGCCTACATACATTATAAGGTACATTTGCCTATAGCACATTATGACATGCAAACTCTTGCAAGGCGAGCCCCCGGTAGCCGCGTGAGCCAAATGGTTTTAGTGCCTGGAAGCGAACCTGATTTGCTCCATGCTTGAGCTGGGACATGATTTTTTCTTTTCTCTGTGGAAAGCTTGGCCAATTTTGCCCAGGCAGCAGCTATTTTCAATGCCAAGCAAACAAGCGATGATCGTAGGATTCACCATATTGAGACAGACAGGTATCGTTGATCCTTAGATGCCGGTACCCGTCAACGCAAAGGCAGCGTGACTGAGTGCCTCAAAGAAGCGAACATGTTCGCCTCTGTGCCGGTGTGAGCATAAGCTACTGACGGCGCGCCCTGCTACGGACGACAAAAGAGTCCGCCCAGGCACCGCCCCGAGAAGTTTAGCGAGAACCGTCCAACGGAACTGAGTGACGACATAGGGCAGGACTGGCAGGTTCCGAGAGGAAGGGACACAGAACGCAGAAGAAATCAAGACCCCATTCGTAATACGACCTCAAAGCTCTCCAAACGGATCTTCTAGAAACGGCAAGTCTCAAGTGCCTGAGTGGAGTCCAGGGCAAAGCACGGGTGTAGTGCTTTGTACACTATGCGTGGTTGGTGGGCTTCTGTCAAATTTCGGAACCACAGCAGACATCGTGTTCAAGCGCGCCTGTTACAAACACGAACAAATAGTTTGGGATCTTGCCGCGCTCTGCGCCATCGTATTCATACAGGCTGATAATGCATATTGGTGCAAGGGGCGAGACGATCGACCCAAACGTGGTAGCTAGGTCGTGGGTTGTCGTGGGTTGTCGCGTCAAGAACAACAAGAATGGGCCAATCTCAGATTCTGCACCGAATACTACGACCACATCCATCACACATATGAATCTCCAAACGGTGACTAAACAATTTCTTGCCACCCCCTAAATAGTAGCAATGCAGGGGGTGCACCATGGTAGATAGAGCAGCTCGGATGTGTTTGTAATTGCGATTACCTTGCATGGCGGTTGATGCCCGGCTGGTTGCACGGCCATTGTTCAGGGCGAGCTGAAGGTATTTGGTTGTCATGAGAAAGCACGCAACTGACACCGGGAACTGGAGTCCTAAGATCTGTCCTTGCTTGAAATTTTCCCT